TCGCTATATATGTGTGTGGGAGTGGAGGTCGTGAAGATGGATTATAAATATATAATTTAGGGTTGTTTTATATATTGTGAACAGATATACTTGGTATAATTAAATATTTGTGTGAGTATTTGGTTTCTAAGCTACCCCTACACAAACACCTCTGTGTGATGTCAGATCTTAAATGTGAACGAGCTTTGAATATCAAAACTTGTTTGTTGTTAAACTAAGCAATATTCCGCCTATATGACGGCTGCTGGTATATAATCGAGACATCACCAGGTGAACCAGTAACTAACATTGTAAGCAACGATCCACGCGGTCGAGGTACGATGGCACGGGTCAACCAAGTTACAAACAAGTGTGACCAACCCATCCATTAAGCCACCTCGTATGACAAGCATTGCGCTACTTGGGAATCCTCACGGGGTTTGAATAGTAGTAGTAGTAGTAGTAGTAGTAGTTTGAATATCAACGTAGTCTCACTATGTTGTTGATATGTGTTTAGAAATACTTTAATACATCTCTTAGACATGGTGGATATGGCATTCCTTCATAATTTTATTGTAATTAATTCAAATAAAATGTGTGTACTATTTGTGAACGCCGTCCATGATATGCATGGACAGATTCAATCATGAAATAAATTCACCAGTGAAGATCCAGGGTAGAATAGGTCTTCAGCAACCCATGCTTATCGTAAAAGGCGACTATGCTTGTCGTAATAGGCGACTAACGGGATCAGGTGGTCAGACTCGCTGACTTGGTTGATGCATGTCATCGTATCCCAATTGCGTGGATCGATGCTCATGATGTCAATCACTGGATTGTCTGGTCCAGACTCGATTATTTACAGACCGCCTTCATATAGATGGAATGTTGCTGAGTGCGGCGTTAAACAACAAATATACAAACAAACAAACATGAAATAAATTAGGTTTAAAAATGTCGTTTCAAGCATTGAAAGGGTAATGTCAAATTGGCTACCTTAACTGAATATGGCAGAGAAATTCATCGCTGAAAATACTTAAAACACCTTCGTCTTGTCAGTTTTCCTCAACTAATTTTAATATCTCATTAAAAAAATAATAATTTACAAATAAAAGATGAACAGCTGAGAATGAATGAGTTGAATGGCTTGCCAAATATACTTTTGTACAAAAGATTATACGAGTATTTATATCAGAGAGGTCAATACTTTTACAACAGGAATAAGCGAGCGCTGCTATACCGCCAACCATCAATTTTACTATACGATGTGGTAAGAATAAGAGTTATCGTTCTTGTTTGAAGTAGTTGGGTGGCTTTCCATTCGTGACAAACTCGTGTTATTCCGGGACAAGTCGAATAGCGTCTTCTTGCAGGTCACGGAAATGGGCGAGTGGTGACGATTGGTCGGGTGGGGGACGAATCCTCATTCGGCTTGTCCCGGAATAACACGAGTTGGTCACGAATGGAATGAACAGAAAGTAGGATTTACTTGTTACGTGGGCAGGCCAGAGGCATTCCATCTGCTCGTTCTTCACGTTTTACCAGGTAAACAATACAAATAGAGCTGATTTTTGCACAAACAACCTTCATTTACTCACTTTTCTGTTTAGTAAATACAGACACAAATTGAAATAAAATCTCTACATACTACTATTGCTGCTACTGCTACTACTACTGTTCCTATTACTACTACTGTTGCTGCTGACACTACTACTGCTACTACTACTGCTACTGTTGCTACTGCTACTACTACTATTACTACTGGTACCACTGTCACTACCAGTACTACTATTGCTTCTGCTACTACTACTACTACTACTACTACTACTACTACCACTACCACTACTACTATTGCTGCTGTTGCTACTACTACTACTACTACTACTACTACTACTACTTCTACTACTACTACTACAGCTACTATTGCTCCTGCTACTACTACTACTATTGTCACTACCACTACTACTATTGCTGCTGCTACTACTACTACTACTACTACTACTACCACTGTCATTACCAGTACTACTATTGCTGCTGATGCTACTACTACTACTACTCCTACTACTACTGTCACTACCACTACTACTATTGCTGCTGATGCTACTACTACTACTACTACTACTCCTACTACTACTGTCGCTACCACTTCTACTATTGCTGCTGCTACTACTACTACTACTACTACTACTACTACTACCACTACTACCACTACTGCTACTACAGCTGCTGATACTACAACTACTCCTACTACTACTACTACTACTACTATTGCTACTACTGCTGCTACTGCTACTACTACTATTACTACTGGTACCACTGTCACTACCAGTACTACTATTGCTTCTGCTACTACTGCCACTACTACTACTACTACTACTACTACTACTACTACTACTGACACTGCTACTGCTACTACCACCACTACCTCTACCACTACTACCACTACTAATGTTGCTGCAACCACTACTACTACTACTACCACTACCACTACTACTACAACTACCACTACTGCTACTACTACTACTACTACTACTACTACTACTACCACTACTACTACCACTACTGTTACTACTAATACTCCTACTACTACCACTACTACTGTTGCTGCTGCTGCTACTACTACTACTACTACCACTACTACCACTACTGCTACTACTACTACTACTACTACTACTACTACCACTACTACTACCACTACTGCTACTACTAATACTCCTACTACTACCACTACTACTGTTGCTGCTGCTGCTACTACTACTACTACTACTACCACTACTACCACTACTGCTACTACTACTACTACCACTACTGTTACTATAACTAGTTCCAGGATAAGCTACATTCGTAGGACAACATCAAGCAAGCCATCAGGAGATCACTTAAGGGACCTGCTGCCAGAGTGTTATTTAGGTTAGGCCCACATGTTGATGGAATCTCTATTTTAGCCAAGATGGACAGCGTCTTTGGCGATGTGGATGCGACGGAGACACTCTTAGCCAAGTTCTATCCTGCCAAACAGACCGAGACTGAGTCAGTAGCTACCTGGGCCGTGCGTCTGGATGATCTTTTGGGACAGGCCATAGATACAGGAGAAGTGGAATCTCACAAGTAAGACCGGATGCTTAGATCCTTGCTATGGACAGGACTTTTGCCTAACTTAAAGGACATTTCTGGCCACAAGTACGACCAGAGCCTCACCTTCAGTGATCTTCCAATCAGCCTCAGAAAAGTAGAACAGGAATTAAAGACACTGAAGAGCCCCTGTCTACTACTCTTACTTCTACTGTTACTAAGAAGAATCCTATTCCTGGTATGGCGGCTGTCTCCAAGGAAAACAAGGAATTGGCAGAGGTCAAGGGGATGATCAGAAAACTTTCAGGTAAAATGGCTGAGAAGAAGTACGACAACCCTCTCAAGCACAGACACAACCCTCAGTTGAATTCGAGGTGCATGGTATCCACCTTTTCGGGCAGTCCATGAGATGCCATGGCAACCTCAAGGTCCTCCAGTTCGGTTTTCATCCCCTGCTTCTATTCAGGCTCGGAACAATGCACGGGGACAGCAAGCCTTTCACCCAAGGACAGTTCGGCCAAGGCAGGATGGACAACTGATGCATATGGACAGCCTACTCCCATCTTCTACCGTTGTGGACAACCTGGACACGTCAGCTACAAGTGTACAGTTAGGATGGACCACAGCTTGAACCCGTGAAACTGAGGAGAATCTAAATGTGGGACAAGTTATGGATTTCAGTGTACAGGGTCCCAAAGATGGTGATATAACTGGCCTTGTGGGTACTGCATCAGAAGTGGAAGTTGCCGTTTATGGGGTGAACACAAAAGCCGTACTGGATACCAGAGCTACAGTTTCAACCATGAGCGAGTCCTTCCATCGAGATCCCCTGTCCCACCTCCCTATACAGCCACTTAAAGGTATCCTGCATGTACAGTGTGCTGATGGTAAGCCATTACCATATTCCGGAGATGTAGAGACACCACTTAGGTAACCAGTATGTCTACAGCTGACCAGCAAGGTTTATTTCTTGTTGTTCCTGACAGTGACAACAACGAGAACGCACCTGTTCTTATTGGCACAAACATTTTGCATGTGCTTATGGTCATGGGAACATATTGTTACAGCGTGCTAATCTATTTAGCCCCTGGTACCTTGCCTTCAGATGTCTTGTACTTAGGGAGAAGGAGTTAGTCAAGCGCCAGAATAGGTCAGCTGTAGTGAAGAGCGCTGAGTTCAAGAGATTTATCATCCCACCTAATAGTGAAGTAAAGATTCATGGATATCTGGATAAACCTCTTGATTATCACTCCACTTGTGTTGCACTGCAAGCTACTAAGACTTCCACAATACCAGATGACCTAGGCAATGCCCCAAGTCTAGTCTCCTACAACAGTTTAGTGAAGTGTATACTGACCATGCAGTATTTAAGTAGATAACATATTGTATAGATGTATTACCATACAGTTTAGATTGACTCAAAACTTGACTACTTGCTACTACTACTACTACTACTACTACTACTACTACTACTACTACCACTGCCACTACCACTATTGCTGCTGTTCCTACCTTTACTAGTACTTCTACCATTGCTGCTACAACTACTACTACTTCCACCACTGCTACCACAAGCTACAATTCCTTCTGCTGCTGCTGCTACTACTACTACTACTACTACTACTACTACTTCTACCACTACTACTACTATTGCAACTTGAAGTACAACTTGAGTAATTGTTAATTATGAGTATACTAAATGTAATTCATAACCCGGAAGAAACCCTCAGGCCACAGGTTTAAATGAGCTCTGCCCCACACTGACGAGTAATAGAATGGTGGGAAACTAGTCAGTCCCCACTGGGACTTGCCTGATACTAATTAATCTCTCAAGGCATGGTTTGTTTGTTTGTATGTTTCAGAGTCCCCTTCTTGGAATCTGAAATGCATGCATCGAACAATCTAAATGAGCAGTTGAAGGATGGAAACTGACGACAACGTGCCACAAGATGGCGCTGTGGCTAGGCCTTCTACAGATACTGTAGCTGTCACAGAGGGAAGTCAGCAGCAGGGGAGACAACCCACTACAACATCAACACCAGATGGCGCTGTGGCTAGTCCTTCCACAGATACTGTAGCTGCCACAGAGGGAAGACAGCAGCAGGGGGGACAACCCCCTACAACATCGACACCAGATGGCGCTGTGGCTAGTCCTTCCACAGATACTGTAGCTGCCACAGAGGGAAGACAGCAGCAGGGGGGACAACCCCCTACAACATCGACACCAGATGGCGCTGTGGCTAGTCCTTCCACAGATACTGTAGCTGCCAAAGAGGGAAGACAGCAGCAGGGGGGACAACCCCCTACAACATCGACACCAGATGGCGCTGTGGCTAGGCCTTCCACAGATACTGTAGCTGCCACAGAGGGAAGTCAGCAGCAGGGGGGACAACCCACTACAACATCAACACCAGATGGCGCTGTGGCTAGGCGTTCCACAGATACTATAGCTGCCACAGAGGGAAGTCAGCAACAGGGGGCACAATCCATTTCAACAACCACCCACAACTACATAGGTGAGGCTGTATGCAGACTCTGTCTTAGTCTTCCTTTTTGAGGATACCAAAAGGGGGGGAGGTCATCTAGGCACCATAATTCACTGTGTAGAGTATAATCCCATGGTTGTTGGAGAACCCTATGATTGTGAGTTCCAGTTCAAATTTTACAGAATCAGAACTGTATTTTGGGTTTCCCCAAAGTGGTAATCATCTAAGACTTGCATCACTTCCCTCATTTAGCTGACATCCGTAACTCACTCACTCACTCACTTCAGTGGAGAGCCAGCCACACATAGACAAAACCAGGAATCTGACTAGAAGATGTTTAATTTCAGTGGAATATATCCTAACTTCATTCCCTCTTCACTCCAGATTGTAAAGTTTCACATTTTGACGTGTCCAACTCTCCTGGCATGGCAGTCGGGGATAGCAAACACCAAGGCTGTATATCTCAAGGTAGGAATTGTCAGTCGTAGATTTATCAATAAATTTGTATATAGCCAGCAGGGCTTGCTCCTTTCAAAAGTTTTATACTGGCCCTTTTCCAAATTACCTGTCTTACAACTAAATGATGGAGGCTGTAAAGCAGCCGAACCTGAGTTCACAGAGCGACTGAGTTTCCCAGGAGGACTCAGAAAGTTGTAGAACTCCTCACCCCTAACACATCTTTTCCTGCACTCTCAGATTTAAACTCCGCTTCCATTTGCCTCATTTCATGGCGAATGTGAGCAAATATGGGTGTTGTTGTACACGTCATTACAGAATGGTCGCCGGTTGTGTCTTTCTACCAAGATGATCTGGATATATCATTTTTTTCTTTCCCCCTATATATTTTCTCATCAACATTACATGAGTCACGAGCAGTGTCCAATTGAAAAAAGTAAATATACAGAGAGAATGGATGAAATATTGACTAGCCAGACGTGCCATCTAATGTACATGTCAGCAAGCCTAGGTAATTTTAACTGGACACGGGCCAACGGGCCAGTAGTAAAATCGACCCCTGTAAGTTATGAAACAACCTTTTGTGTTTAAATGACCTGCTGTACTACTGGCTTTTTGACCCTGGTTGTTTGTTGTTTGAAGTTAAAGAATATATCTCTAGTACATAGATTTACATAACTTATGTTGTTTAGATTTATGCTTGCAAACACTGAATTACAATTTTTATTTTTGAAAGAGAATAACAAAATATAATGTTCATATAGCCATTATGTTTGTTCTCATTGTTTCCAGGGTGTCTGAGTGTCAGGATCAACCAGCTCAGTGATATGTTTGTGGAAACCCATGCTCTTGACAAAGCACAAGAACTTCTGAAAAGACACAAACACGTGGCCATCTGCGGAGCCCCTGGAGACGGGAAAACTACTGCAGCTCTCAGGATCTGTGAAGCATATATGAAGAAAAAGTATCAAGTATTGTTTGTTGAAAGTATTGAAGAGTTTGACAGTGATGTTGTCATTGAACGAAAATGTGACATGCTGGTTGTGTTTGACGATGTGTTTGGTTCTGTTACATTTCCAAGCAGCTTGGAGAAGATACACAGAGTATTCAATGCCTTGGTTGATGTTTTACTGCGCTTTGCAAGAGACAAGGAACTGACAGCCAAAGAAAAACAAACCAAGAAGAAACATGACAAAAGTATGAAGAAGGAAGATGAGAAGCAATGTGAAGATGAAAAGACACCAATCTGTAACTACAAGCTTCGCTTTATATTCACATCCAGAAGCTACAACTGGAATGAAGGATGTGAAAGACTACATCAGTTCAAAGTAAATCTGTTTAAGCCGGAAGCCATTGTTGATATGATCAAGACCTGTTTAACCAGTGACGAAAAGAAACGTATCATGGCATTGTTCAGGAGAAGTCAAATGTGCGATATCTCAAGTAAGGACATGAAAACCATTACTCAGTTAAAAGACAGCATGTTTGGATATCCGTTGACCTGTAAGCTCTACTTCACCAACCCAGTGTTCCAGATGCACAGTATTGTGGACTTTTTCCTGAAACCATTGACCTACCTGAGATGTGACCTTGACACCATTGTTCGTGAAGGCAGCAGTAGATCGGCAGCTCTGGTTCTCCTCGTCCTGTGTGGAGGGAAGTTGGACCTTGTTTCCTTGATGATGGGGACAGACGAGAAGGTCAGAGATCTGCTCCGCGTTGTAAAGGAGAAGGTAGCATCATGCACTGATGCAGACATCAGCAGGGAGATCAGCAACTTTACCGGCACCTACTGCATAGTGGAAAATCATCTAGTCTCCTTCTCACATCCATCCATCCACGATGCTGCATCTTGTGCCCTGGGCAATCTCAACATTGTGTTATTAGTAAAGTATTGTTCTCTGCAGTTTTTATACGAAAGAGTTCGACTGAGCAAGACTGATTCTCTGCAGACAACCCAAACTGATGATGTTACAAACATGATCCAGATCACTTCCCGTCTTTACCCATTACTGATCAGCAGGCTGGTGGAGGGTATCCGGGAAGAATGCTTTAGATGGACAGTAGGCCACCCTGTATTCAGAAACGATCAATTAGCATCCTCACTGATGACGGAACTGGCCAATGACTTGCCTCATAAAGTTCACCAAAAGGACAGGACATCTGGTGAATGTTTTCTATATTGGGTTTCCCTGTCAAATAATGATTTGTTGTTCAGAAGGTCACTCATACTAATAAGTAAGAATGGAAATCTTTCACATGAAAGTGTGATAGACCTGAATGACAGTGCCACAGGTTGCGTGAAGGCTGGAATTGTGAGGAACCTGCAACACATCGTTGTGTTGCTGAAGAAGCATGGGGAATTTGATGTAGACAGAAGGATGCAGACAAACAAAACACAGCTCATCATTGCTGCAGAGGCTGGACACTTGGATGTGTTCAACTTTCTACTGCAAGAAGGAGCAAATGTTTCAATGAGGGACAGGGACGGAAACAAATGCCTTCATCATGCATGTCAATCTGGAAACAAAGATATTGTCAAAGTTGTTGTTGAGAAGTTTCCAGATATGACTGATGATCCTGATGGACTGGGAAACACATCTGCAATGTTGTGTGTGATGTCAGGACACGAAGAGATCCTGAAGGTCCTGGTGTCACACGGTGCTGATCTGAAATGGCGAGATTATTGTTATTTACATATGGCATGTGCAAGATGTCATATATCAATCATCAGATATTTGTTGTCTTATGAAGATATCAACATTAATGAAAGAACAGTATATGAACAGTCACCAGTCATGGTGGCAGCTGAAGCCGGACATTCTGATGTTTATCACCTTCTTGTGTCAGAGGGAGCTGATCTCTCACTTACTGCTAACAGGGGCAGAGACTGTCTGATGTTGGCGTGTAAGGGAGGTAACATATCTATAGTTGAGCACCTCCTGTCCTTGAAAACATTCAACATCAACAGGAGAGATTGGTTGGGGAGTACACCAGTCATGATGGCAGCTGAAGCCGGACATTCTGATGTTTATCACCTTCTTGTGTCAGAGGGAGCTGATCTCTCACTTACTGATAACAGGGGCAGAGACTGTCTGATGTTGGCGTGTAAGGGAGGTAACATATCTATAGTTGAGCACCTCCTGTCCTTGAAAACATTCAACATCAACAGGAGAGATTGGTTGGGGAGTACACCAGTCATGATGGCAGCTGAAGCCAGACACTATGATGTTTATCACCTTCTTGTGTCAGAGGGAGCTGATCTCTCACTTACTGATAACAGGGGCAGAGACTGTCTGATGTTGGCATGTGAGGGAGGTAACATATCTATAGTTAAGAATCTCCTGTCCTTGAAAACATTCAACATCAACAGGAGAGATTGGTTGGGGAGAACACCAGTCATGATGGCAGCTAAAGCCGGACACTGTGATGTTTATCACCTTCTTGTGTCAGAGGGAGCTGATCCCTCACTTACTGATTACGATGACAGAGACTGTCTGATGTTGGCATGTGAGGGAGGTAACATGTCTATAGTTAAGCACCTACTATCTCTGAAAAAATTCAACATCAACATGAGATATTGGTTCAACCGTACACCAGTCATGATGGCAGCTGCAGCTGGACATTCTGATGTTTTTCACCTTCTTGTGTCAGAGGGGGCTTATCTATCACTTACTGATTACAATGACAGAGACTGTCTGATGTTGGCATGTGAGGGAGGTAATATGTCTATAGTTAAGCACCTACTATCTCTGAAAACATTCAACATCAACAGGAGAGATAGTTTGAACCGTACACCAGTCATGATGGCAGCTAAAGCCGGACATTCTGATGTTTATCACCTTCTTGTGTCAGAGGGAGCTGATCTGTCATTAATTGATTGCAGGGACAGAGACTGTCTGGTATTGGCATGTGAGGGAGGTAACAAGTCTATAGTTATGCACCTACTATCTTTGAAAAAATTCAACATCAACAGGGGAGATATGATTGGGAGTACATCAGTCATGATGGCAGCTGAAGCCGGACATTCTGATGTTTACCACCTTCTTGTGTCAGAGAGAGCTGATCTCTCACTTACTGATGACAGGGACAGAGACTGTCTAATGTATGCATGTGAGGGAGGTAACAAATCAATAGTTAAGCACCTCCTGTCCTTGAAAACATTCAACATCAACAGGAGAGATAGGTTGGGGATTACACCAGTCATGATGGCAGCTGATTCCAGACACTCTGGTGTTCATAATCTACTTGTGTCAGAGGGAGCTGATCTATCTGGTGTTCACAAGTAATGGAGATCACCTACCTGTATAAAAGAACCTCTTAGCGTTGAAAATGTTTGACATAAAGATGGGGAATTGAGAATGAAACGTCAGGTATGGTTGCAGAAAACCTCCTGATCTGTATGTACTCCAGACTTTAACCTTATATCTTTTAACTTATCCTGCATTACTACTTAATGCAATACCTGCTTACATTTGACAGAAGCGAAGCTGTGTGTGGTCCAGGTGAAGAGAAAAAGTTGTTCCAACTAACCTGATGCAGGACCAAAGCGCAGTACCCTGGTGGCCCCGGAAGCGATGATGTCAAACAACCTCACGTTACTGCTTGTCACAGGACAGACATGTTGCTTCAGTAAATCGTCCAGTGTGATCTTGTGTTTGGTGCCTTCTTGTTGTTCCGATCCACCATTTTGACTTTCTTTACGTGTTTTCGTGGCATATGTCTTTCAGTGTGGCGTGTGGCGTGTGGCGTGGTCTTGTTACATGCTCAAATACCTTTCAAGTGTTTTACACTTTCTTATTATACTGTTTAATCTAAATTACACTTTGTGTTTATTCCATTAACTTGGATAATCTCGGATCATTCTGTCTTCAGGTTCAATTTATGATTGCTCATGGTATCAGTTGCCTTGGTAAAGAATCTTTAACACATCCTCACCCACGTTGCCTTAATTATGCGCATATTTGTACTATTGATTGATGTGTGATTATTGTACGCCCTTTCAAGCTTTCACAGATGACAGGAGGTCTAATGTCTTGCTCAGCAGGCCCAGTGGCATTCCAGGAGATTGTCAGAAGGTGATCTATTCTTCCTATCTTGTATGGCCACCATTAGAGTCTAGAACTGACTGACATCGTCTTCCCATGGAAACAATCAGATCCCGAATTGTGGCCTGGAGAATGTTCACATGCAAATGAAAACCCAACGTGTTTATAGCCCAACAAGTCATGTTGCGTGTGCATGTCATGCTGCTGTGTTTCGGCGATTGTGTTTGTTGTTTGTCGCCAGTCTGCAATATTCCAGCTGTATCACGGTGCCTTTATGGGGAAGTCTGTCTCCTAGCAGATCGTAGACATCTACCGTTTCCATGAATCCCATGATTATGAGTGTGGCGCTGTCAAATCAAGGATCACTATCTGAATTGAATCGTGTAATTGAATCATCCAAGCATGGATATTATCCCAAACTTGATTTTCAAATGCTGCCTTTTGTGCCAACTGGCAATGAATTTGACTACATTACAATACCATATGTATCCAGAGCTTACACAATTTTGTTGAAAATTACAATAATTTAATAGGTACAGCAAAACCCTATGCCACAAAGTGGAAGGGGGATATAGGAATGGGTGCCGTCCTTCTGTCACATTTCGTTTCCGGAGCAGATCTTGAAAAATGTTCCATATTTCTTCACCAAACTTTGCACATCGATAGGTCTAGTGGTGAACTGGTGCCTTTTGATAGTTTGGGATTTAAAAAAAATAATTTTGTTCGAGTTTCCATGGCAATGACTTTGACATAGACAGATGGTGGCGATAGTCCTCGTTTCCAGAGCAGATCTTGAAAACCGTACCATATTTCTTCTCCAAACTTGGCACATAATGTCATATCGCAGTATTGAATACATTTCCTTTCTTGTTGGTAAGTTCTGCATTGCTTGAGTGTATGTTACTCCAAAAGTGTCATCGACACAGTTGTTGCATTCACTGACTAATTTCATGCAGAAACACAACGCATTACAAATACAACAGTGTAATTGATCTTAAACCTACTCAAATGTATAAGCCTCCTATCCTGTATATATTCTTGTCAACCATACTCTGTACTTCACTTGCTTGATAACAGTGTTAGAACCTACACCGAAACCATCGCTCCTAATTGTAATAAAGAAGTTGTTCGTCCATATGTCTCATCCTTTATCATTACAAATATAGTTACATATTCTATCATAAACTGCAGATGGCAAAACAATGCCAGTAATAACTTTTCTTAGTGCTGCAATTAGGCCATTTACAAAAAGGCCCAGTGAACATAGTTCACAGGAGCTAATGCATTGCACACAACTGGACATGTCATATTAGCGGGGGATATGAGTATTTCAAGCGTCCTAAACGTCCTTTCGTGCTCACTGACGTTCTTTATTGAAAACGTCCTTTCGTGCTCAATGACGTTCTTTTGTACACATTGTGCTTTCGTTTCTTATGTCGTCTTTTCGTAACATTTGACTATTAGTCTTGCATACTTTTGACATTATTTCAACTTTGTATGTTTAACCGGCGCCTGTTTGTTTTGTATGTTGACCTTTAGTAGTAACATTTAGTTCTTTATTCATAATATTTGACCTCAATTGCGTACTTTTGTCCTTTTTTTCAACTTTATATTTTTTGACCGAATGGCCGCCCATAGAAGTCATGAGTAAGGTATCCCTGCCCCACATGACCAAAACTACATTCGGTGTAATATCCATTTCGATGGTATACCAAGAGATTAACAATACGTTGTTACCCTGTCTGGCGCTCGGCATTAAGGGGCTAAAACAAGGACTGGTCCGCTCGGAGTCAGTATACTGTGTCTGAGTGGGGTATTCATGTTAAACTGCGGCATGGTATCTCAGTGAGCTAGCACTATAAATCGGCATCAGTCCAGACTAGTAGAAGCAGCCACATACACGTGCATGCACGTCGCTATATAAGTGAATAATTCTTGGACGCGACGTTAAACCCCATTTCACCTCACCTCACCACCTTTACTCAATTTAAGCTGAAACTGTATTTAAGAGACCAAACATGGTGTTGTCAGATTACAATTATTCACAATGGCCTTTCGATGTGTTGCATGCGAGAAGAATGTCGGAAAAAAACAACATGATGTATCCTGTGATAACTGTGATTGCCGAGGACTTCTTACCTGTCCGTGTAAATACATCACAGACATCCAATAACATGTAAATACATCAAATACCATGTAAATAAACCATATATATGACTACAAAATTCGTTTTTATCATTACTAAAAATAGAGGTACCGTTTACGCCCGACACATAGTAGCCGTTTTCGCCAAATGCTGTGTCGTTTTCGCCAGAGAAATCGGTGACGTTTTGCTGAGGTGGCGTTTCAGCCTGCACCCCTTCAATAAAGACAAGAACAAAAAATAGAAGGAATTTTCACTTTCGATTACAAATATATATGTTGTACTAATATATTATGTTGCTGCTCTGGGATATTAAAATTTAATGTGTACCAGCTAGCAGTGACATATATTGAGACAGTCCACTTCCATAACTAGTGCTTTAACAATGATCTTTAACTGTGTTTTATTAGCATATAAACTAGGAGGGGGTAGGGGGGTCGTGTAGATGGATTATAAATATAAAATTTAGGGTTGTTTTATATATTGTGAACGGATATACTTGGTATAATTAAATATTTGTGTGAGTATACGGTTTCTAAGCTACCCCTACCTACACAAACACCTCTGTACGTGTGATGTCAGATCTTAAATTTGAACGAGCTTTGAATATCAAAACTTGTTTGTTGTTAAACTAAGCAATATTCCGCCTATATGACGGCTGCTGGTATATACTCGAGACATCACCAGGTGAACCAGTAATTAACATTGTAAGCAACGATCCACGCGGTCGAGGTACGATGGCACGGGCCAACCAAGTTACAAACATGTGTGACCAACCCATCTATTAAGCCAACTCGTATGACAAGCATTGCGCTACCTGGGAATCCTCACGGGGTTTGAATAGTAGTAGTAGTTTGAATATCAACGTAGTCTCACTATGTTGTTGATATGTGTTTAGAAATACTTCAATACATCTCTTAGACATGGTGGATATGGCATTCCTTCATAAATTTATTGTAATTAATTCAAATAAAATGTGTGTTCTATTTGTGAACGCTGTCCATGATATGCATGGACAGATTCAATCATGAAATAAATTCACCCGTGAAGATCCAGGGTAGAATAGGTCTTCAGCAACCCATGCTTGCCGTAAAAGGCGACTATGCTTGTCATAATTAGGCGACTAACGGGATCAGGTGGTCGGGCTCGCTGGTTGATGGATGTCATCGTATCCCAATTGTGTGCATCGATGCTCATGATGTCAATCACTGGATTGTCTGGTCCAGACTCGATTATTTACAGACCGCCTTCATATAGATGGAATGTTGCTGGGTGCGGCGTTAAACAACAAATAAACAAACAAACAAACATGAAGTAAAGGTATTAGGTTTAAAAATGTCGTTTCAAGCAATGTCAAATTGGCTACCTTAACTGAATATGGCAGAGAAATTCATCGCTGAAAATACTTAAAACACCTTCGTCTTGTCAGTTTTCCTCAACTAATTTTAATATCTCATTTAAAAAATAATAATTTACAAATAAAAGATGAACAGCTGAGAATGAATGAGTTGAATGGTTTGCCAAATATACTTTTGTACAAAAGATTATTCGAGTATTTATATCAGAGGTCAATTCTTTTACAACAGGAATAAGCGAGCGCTGCTATATCGCCAACCATCAATTTTACTATACGATGTGGTAAGAATAAGAGTTATCGTTCTTGTTTGAAGTAGTTGGGTGGCATTCCATTCGTGACCAACTCGTGTTATTCCGGGACAAACCGAATAGCGTCTTCGTGCAGGTCACGGAAAGGGGCGAGTGGTGACGATTGGTTGGGCGTGGGACGAATCTTCATTCGGCTTGTCCCGGAATAACACGAGTTGGTCACGAATGGAATGAACAGAAAGTAGGATTTACTTGTTACGTGGGCAGGCCAGAGGCATTCCATCTGCTCGTTCTTCACGTTTTACCAGGTAAACAATACAAATAGTGCTGATTTTTGCACAAACAACCTTCATTAACTCACTTTTCTGTTTAGTAAATACAGACACAATTAGATATACGCCTTTGCTATAATCATACTACAACACTACTGCTACTACTACTACTACTACTACTACTACTACTACTACTACTACTACTACTACTACTGCTACTACTACTACTGCTACTACAACACTACTGCTACTACTACTACTACTACTACTGCTACTATTACTACCACCACCACACTACTGATACTGATACTACTACTACTACTGCACACAATTGATACTTCTACTACTGTTACGACTACTACTACTGTTGCTACTACTACTACTACTACCACTACTGTTGCTGCTGCTACTACTACTACTATTACTGCTATTACTGCTACTACTACTACTGCTACGACTACTACTACTGCTGCTGCTACTGCTACCACTACTGCTACTACTACTGCTACTACTACCACTGCAATTAATACTGTTGCTGTTGTTGCTACTATTACTAGAACTGCTACTACAACTGCTGCTGCTGCTACTACTACTACTGCTACTACTACTACCACTGCAACTACCACTGCCACTAACACTAATACTGTTGCTGTTGTTGCTTCTATTACCGGTACCACGAATATTACTATTGTTGCTACTACAACTACTACTACTAATACTACTACTACTACTACTAGTAGGAGTTTGAATATCAACGTAGTCTCACTATGTTGATGGTATGTGTTTAGAAATACTTCAATACATCTCTTAGACATGGTGGATATGGCATTCCTTCATAATTTTATTGTACTTAATTCAAATAAAATGTGTGTACTATTTGTGAACGCTGCCCATGATATGCATGGACAGATTCAATCATGAAATAAATTCACCCGTGAAGATCCAGGGTAGAATAGGTCTTTAGCAACCCATTCTTGTCGTAAAAGGCGACTATGCTTATCATAAAAGGCGACTAACGGGATGAGGTGGTCAGGCTCGCTGGTTGATGGATGTCATCATATCCCAATTGTGTGGATCGATGCTCATGATGTCAATCACTGGATTGTCTGGTTCAGACTCGATTATTTACAGACCGCCTTCATATAGATGAAATGTTGCTGGGTGCGGCGTTAAACAACAAATAAACAAACAAACAAACATGAAATAAATTAGGTTTAAAAATGTCGTTTCAAGCATTGAAAGGGCAATGTCAAATTGGTTACCTTAACTGAATATATCAGAGAAATTCATCGCTGAAAATACTTAAAACACCTTCCTCTTGTCAGTTTTCCTCAACTAATTTTAATATCTCATTTGAAAGCAGAGACCATAAAATAGATGGTTTTTGTTAAAAAATAATAATTTACAAATAAAAGATGAACAGCTGAGAATGAATGAGATGAATGGTTTGCCAAATATACCTTTGTACAAAAGATTATACGAGTATTTATATCAGAGAGGTCAATACTTTTACAACAGGAATAAGCGAGTGCTGCTATACCGCCAACCATCAATTTTACTATACGATGTGGTAAGAATAAGAGTTATCGTTCTTGTTTGAAGTAGTTGGGTGGCATTCCATTCGTGACAAACTCGTGTTATTCCGGAACAAGCCGAATAGCGTCTTCTTGCAGGTCACGGAAAGGGGCGAGTGATGACGATTGGTGGGGTAGGGGGAGAATCTTCATTCGGCTTGTCCCGGAATAACACGAGTTGGTCACGAATGGAATGAACAGAAAGTAGGATTTACTTGTTACGTGGGCAGGCCAGAGGCATTTCATCTGCTCGTTCTTCACGTTTTAGCAGGTAAACAATACAAATAGTGCTGATTTTTGCACAAACAACCTTCATTTACTCACTTTTCTGTTTATTTAATACAGACACAAAATTGAAATAAAATCTCTACAAAAGGATATTGAAGGATTAACACTTAGAAACAGGCGATGCCACTCTTCATTCACTACTGCTGCTGCTACTACTACTACTACTACTACTACTACTACTACTACTACTACTACTACTACTACCATTATCACTACCACTACTACTATTACTAATACTACCACACTACAGTATACTGATACTGATACTGATACTACTACACACAATTACTACTACCACTACTACTACTACTACTACTACTACTACTACTACTACTACTTCTGCTTCTACTATTACTAACACTGCAACTGCTACTACTACTACTACTACTATTGCTGCTACTGCTACTACTACTGTTCCTATTACTACTACTGTTGCTGCTGATACTACTACTATTACTACTGGTACCACTGTCACTACCAGTACTACTATTGCTTCTGCTACTACTACTATTACAACTACTACTGCTACAACTACTACTATTGCTGCTGTTGCTACTAGTAATAGTACTACTACTGATGCTACTACTATTACTACTAGTACTACTACTACTTCTACTACTACTACTACCATTGCCACTTCCACTACTACTATTGCTGCTGCTACTACTACAGCTACTACAACTATTGTTGCTGGTACTACTACAACTGGTTTGACTACAACTACTGCTACTACTACTTCTACAACTACAACTACTGCTACTACTACTACTACAACTACTACTACTACTACTATTGCTACTGCTACTACTACTACTAGAACCACTACTACTAGCACTACTACCACACTACTGATAGTACTACTACTGCTACTATGCTCCAACTATTATTACTACTACTACTACTACTACTAATGCTACTACTTCTACTACTAATACTACCACCGATATTACTACTACTACCACTACTACTATTGCTACCAGTACTAGTACTACTACTGATGCTACTACTACTGCTAACACTACTACTCAACCTCTACTACCACTACTACTACTACTACTACAACTACTACTATTGCTGCTAGTACTAGTACTACTACTGATGCTACTACTATTTCTACCACTACTACAACTACTACTTCTATTACTACCACTGCCACTACTACTACTAGTAATATTGCCACTGCTACTACTACTACTACTACTGCTACTACTAGCACTACTGCCACACGACTGATAGTACTACTACTGCCACTGCCACTACTACTATTGCTGCTGTTACTAGTACTACTATTACTACTACTATTGCTGCTGCTACTACTACTACTATCACTACCACTACTACTATTGCTGCTACTACTACTACTACTCCTACTACTACGGTCACTACCACTACTACTATTGCTGCTGCTACTACTACTATTACTACTACTACTACTACTCCTGCTACTACTACCACTACTACTACTACTACTGCTACAACTACTACTATTGCTGCTGTTGCTACTAGTAATAGTACTACTACTGATGCTACTACTATTACTACTAGTACTACTACTACTTCTACTACTACTACTACCATTGTCACTTCCACTTCTACTATTGCTGCTGCTACTACTACAGCTACTACAACTATTGTTGCTGCTACTACTACAACTGGTTTGACTACAACTACTGCTACTACTACTACTACAACTACTACTACTACTACTATTGCTACTGCTACTACTACTACTAGAACCACTACTACTAGCACTACTACCACACTACTGATAGTACTACTACTGCTACTATGCTCCAACTATTATTACTACTACTACTACTACTACTACTACTAATGCTACTACTTCTACTACTAATACTACCACCGATATTACTACTACTACCACTACTACTATTGCTACCAGTACTAGTACTACTACTGATGCTACTACTACTGCTAACACTACTACTCAACCTCTACTACCACTACTACTACTACTACAACTACTACTATTGCTGCTAGTACTAGTACTACTACTGATGCTACTACTATTTCTACCACTACTACAACTACTACTTCTATTACTACCACTGCCACTACTACTACTAGTAATATTGCCACTGCTACTACTACTACTACTACTGCTACTACTAGCACTACTGCCACACGACTGATAGTACTACTACTGCCACTGCCACTACTACTATTGCTGCTGTTACTAGTACTACTATTACTACTACTATTGCTGCTGCTACTACTACTACTGTCACTACCACTACTACTATTGCTGCTTCTACTACTACTACTCCTACTACGACGGTCACTACCACTTCGACTATTGCTGCTGCTACTACTACTACTACTACTACTCCTGCTACTACTACCACTACTACTCCTACTACTGCTACTACTACTACTACTCTTACTACTACTACTGCTGCTGTTACTATAACGATTACTACTACTATTTCTACTACCACCACTGCCACTACTACTTCTACTACTACCACTGTTACTACCACTACTACTATTGCTGCTACTACTACTACCACTGTCACTACCACTACTACTATTGCTGCTGCTACTCCAACTACTACTGTCACTACCACTACTATTATTGCTGCTGCTACTACTACTACTACTACTACTACTACCACTACCACTACCACTACCGCTACCGCTACTACTACTACTACTACTGCTACTACTGCTGCTGCTACTGCTACTACTACTATTGCTGCTACTACTACTACTACTACTACTACTACTACTACTACTGCTGCTGTTACTATAACGATTACTACTACTATTTCTACTACTGTCACTACCACTACTACTATTGCTGCTGATGCTACTACTACTACTACTACTACCACTGTCACTACCACTAACAGTATCGCTGCTACTACTACTACTACTACTACTATTGCTGCTGGTACTACTGCTGCTGGTACTACTACTACCACTGTCACTACCACTACTACTATTGCTGTTACTACTACTACTACTACTACTTCTACTACTACTACTACTACTCCTACTACCACTGTCACTACCAGTACTATTATTGCTTCTGGTGCTACTACTACTACTACTACTACTTCTACTACTACTACTACTACTACTACTACTACTACTGCTACCACTTTCACTACCACTACTAGTATTGCTGCTACTACTACTACTACTACTACTACTATTGCTACTACTGCTGCTGCTACTGCTACTACTACTATTGCTGCTGCTAATACTACTACTGCTACCACTACTACTACTTCTACTACTACCACTGTCACTACCACTACTACTATTGCTGTTACTACTACTACTACTACTACTTCTACTACTACTGCTACCACTTTCACTACCACTACTAGTATTGCTGCTACTACTACTACTACTACTACTACTATTGCTACTACTGCTGCTGCTACTGCTACTACTACTATTGCTGCTGCTAATACTACTACTGCTACCACTACTACTACTTCTACTACTACCACTGTCACTACCACTACTACTATTGCTGCTGCTACTACTACTACTACTACTACTACCACTACTGCTACTACAGCTGCTGCTGCTACTACTACTACTACTACTACTACTATTGCTACTAATGCTGCTACAGATACTACTACTATTGCTGCTGCTACTACTACTACTGCTACTTCTACTACTACTACTTCTACTTCTACTACTACTACTTCTACTACTACTGCTACTACTACCCCTTCTACCACTACTGCTACTACAGCTGCTGCTGCTACTACTACTACTACTACTACTACTACTAATGCTGCTACAGCTACTACTACTATTGCTGCTGCTGCTACTACTACTACTGCTACTACTACTACTACTACTGCCACTGCTGCTGCTACTACCACCACTACCTCAAACACAACCACTACTATTGTTGCTGCTACTACAACTGCAAATATCACTGCTGTTAGTATAACTACTACTACTACTTCTACTACTACCACTGCCACTACTACTACTACTACTACTACTACTACTACTACTGACACTGCTACTGCTACTACCACCACTACCTCTACCCACTACCTCTACCGTTACTACCACTACTACTGTTGCTGCTGCTGCTGCTACTACTACTACTGTTGCTGCTACTACTACTACTACTGCTACTACTACCACTACCACTACTACTACCACTACTGCTACTACTACTACTACTACTGCTACTATTACTACTACCACTACAGGGCGGTCGGGTAGCCTAATGGTTAAAGCGTTCGCTCGTCACGCCGAAGACCCGGGCTTGATTCCCGACATGGGTACAATGTGTGAAGCTACTACTACTACTGCTACTACTACTACTACTACTGCCACTGCTGCTGCTACTACCACCACTACCTCAAACACAACCACTACTATTGTTGCTGCTACTACAACTGCAAATATCACTGCTGTTAGTATAACTACTACTACTACTTCTACTACTACCACCACTACTACCACTACTACTATTGCTACTGCTACTACTGCTACTACTACTACTACTACCACTACCACTACTACTACCACTACCACTACTACTACCACTACTGTTACTACTACTACTACTACTACTACTACTACTACTACCACTACCACTACTACTACCACTACTGCTACTACTACTACTACTACTACTACCACTACTGTTACTATAACTAGTTCCAGGATACGCTACATTCGTAGGACAACATCAAGCAAGCCATCAGGAGATCACTTAAGGGACCTGCTGCCAGAGTGTTATTTAGGTTAGGCCCACATGTTGATGGAATCTCTATTTTAGCCAAGATGGACTACTACTTCTACTTCTACCACTGCCGCTACTACTACTACTAATACTACTATTGCCACTGCTGCTGCTACTACCACCACTACCTCTACCACTACCACTACTACTGTTGATGCTACTACTACTACTACTGTTACTACCACCACTACCTCTACTACTACCACTACTACTGTTGCTGCTGCCGCTACTACTACTACTACTACTACTACTACCACTACTACTACCACTACTACTACTACTACTAATACTCCTACTGCTACCACTACTGTTACTAGTACTAGTTCCAAGTTAAGCTACATTCGTAGGACAACATCAAGCAAGCCATCAGGAGATCACTTAAGGGACCTGCTGCCAGAGTGTTATTTAGGTTAGGCCCACATGTTGATGGAATCTCTATTTTAGCCAAGATGGACAGCGTCTCTGGCGATGTGGATGCGACGGAGACACTCCTAGCCAAGTTCTATCCTGCCAAACAGACCGAGACTGAGTCAGTAGCTACCTGGGCCGTGCGTCTGGATGATCTTTTGGGACAGGCCATAGATACAGGAGAAGTGGAATCTCACAAGTAAGACTGGATGCTTAGATCCTTGCTATGGACAGGACTTTTGCCTAACTTAAAGGACATTTCCGGCCACAAGTACGACCAGAGCCTCACCTTCAGTAATCTTCCAATCAGCCTCAGAAAAGTAGAACAGGAATTAAAGACACGTGAAGAGCCCCTGTCTACTACTCTTACTTCCACTGTTACTAAGAAGAATCCTATTCCTGGTATGGCGGCTGTCTCCAAGGAAAACAAGGAATTGGCAGAGGTCAAGGGGATGATCAGAAAACTTTCAGGAAAAATGGCTAAGAAGAAGTACGACAACCTTCTCAAGCACAGACACAACCCTCAGTTGAATTCGAGGTGCATGGTATCCACCTTTTCGGGAAGTCCATGAGATGCCATGGCAACTCAGAGTCTTCGAGCTCGGTTTTCATCCCCTGCTTCTATTCAGGCTCGGAACAATGCAGCAAGCCTTTCACCCAAGGACAGTTCGGCCAAGGCAGGGATGGACAACTGATGCCTATGGACAGCCTACTCCCATCTGCTACCGCTGTGGACAACCTGGACACGTCAGCTGCAAGTGTACAGTTAGGATGGATCACAGCTGGAACCCGTTAAACTTAGGAGGATGTGGGACAAGTTATGGATTTCAGTGTACAGGGTCCCAAAGATGATGATATAACTGGCCTTGTGGGTACTGCATCAGAAGTGAAAGTTGCCGTTCATGGAGTGAACACTAAAGCCCTACTGGATACCAGAGCTACAGTATCAACCATGAGCGAGTCCTTCCATTGAGATCCCCTGTTCCACCTCCCTATACAGCCACTTAAAGGTATACTGCATGTACAGTGTGCTGATGGTAAGCCACTACCATATTCTGGAGATGTAGAGATACCACTTAGGTATGTCACCAGCTGACCAGCAAGGTTTATTTCTTGTTGTTCCTGACAGTGACAACAACGAGAACGCACCTGTTCTTATTGGCACACACATTTTGCATGTGTTTATGGTCATGGGAACAGATTTTTACAGCGTGCTAATCTATTTAGTCTGTGGTACCTTGCCTTCAGATGTCTTGTACTTAGGGAGAAGGAGTTAGTCAAGCGCCAGAATAGGTCAGCTGTAGTGAAGAGAGCCGAGTTCAAGAGATTTATCATCCCACCTAATAGTGAAGTAAAGATTCATGGATATCTGGATAAACCTCTTGATTATCACTCCACTTGTGGTGTACTGCAAGCTAATAAGACTTCCACAATGCCAGACGACCTAGACATTGCCCCAAGTCTAGTCTCCTACAACAGTAAACAGAAGATGGGAGTTGATGTTTACATCTGTAATGTCACCACCAGGACTGTTTCTATACCACCCAATGCAATACTTTGTCAAGTACAGCCAGTGACCATTGAAGACATACCAAGACACCTGCCACTAGTGATGGACCAGTGATTGAGAAGATGGACTTTAAAGAAGCGGCTGTGACTCCTGATGAACTGGTCAGAGGCAAAGATGTTATCAGACAGCACTTGGACATCTTCTCAACTGGGGATACAGATGTTGGTTGCACTGACAGGCTGGTACATAGGATGAAGCTGACTGATGAGTGCCATACCGCATTCATACAGTTTTAGGTTTTGAAAATGTTTAAGTAATAATTTAGTTTAGTAAAGTGTACATTGACCATGCAGTATTTAAGTAGATAACATATTGTACAGATGTATTACAATGCAGTTTAGATTGACTCAAAACTTGACTACTTGCTACTACTACTACTACTACTACCACTGCCACTACCACTATTGCTGCTGTTCCTACCTTTACTAGTATTTCTACTATTGCTGCTACAACTACTACAACTTCCACTACTGCTACCACAAGCTACAATTCCTTCTGCTACTACTACTACTACTACTACTGCTACTACTACTACTACTACTACTACTACTATTGCAATTTGAAATACAACTTGGGTAATTGTTATTTATGAGTATACTAAATGTAATTCATAAACTGGAAGAAACCATTCAGGCCACAGGTTTAAATGAGCTCTGCCCCACACTGACGAGTAATAGAATGCTGGGGAACTAGTCAGTCCCCACTGGGACTTGCCTGATACTAATTAATCTCTCAAGGCATGGTTTGTTTGTTTGTTTGTTTCAGAGTCTCCTTCTTGGAATCTGAAATGCATGCATCGAACAATCTAAATGAGCAGTTGAAGGATGGAAACTGACGACAACGTGCCACAAGATGGCGCTGTGGCTAGGCCTTCTACAGATACTGTAGCTTACACAGAGGGAAGTCAGCAGCAGGGGAGACAACCCACTACAACATCAACACAAGATGGCGCTGTGGCTAGGCCTTCTACATATACTGTACCTGCCACAGAGGGAAGTCAGCAGCAGGGGAGACAACCCACTACAACATCAACACCAAGAGGCGCTGTGGCTAGGCCTTCTACAGATACTGTAGCTGCCACAGAGGGAAGTCAGCAGCAGGGGAGACAACCCACTACAACATCAACACAAGATTGCGCTGTGGCTAGGCCTTCTACATATACTGTACCTGCCACAGAGGGAAGACAGCAGCAGGGGGGACAACCCACTACAACATCAACACCAAAAGGCGCTGTGGCTAGGCCTTCTACAGATACTGTAGCTGCCACAGAGGGAAGTCAGCAGGGAAGACAACCCACTACAACATCAACACAAGATGGCGTTGTGGCTAGGCCTTCTACAGATACTGTAGCTGCCACAGAGGGAAGACAGCAGCAGGGGGGACAACCCACTACAACATCAACACCAGATGGCGCTGTGGCTAGGCCTTCTACAGATACTGCAGCTGTCACAGAGGGAAGACAGCAGCAGGGGGGACAACTCACTACAACAGCAACACCAGATGGCGCTGTGGCTAGGCCTTCTACAGATACTGTAGCTGCCACAGAGGGAAGACAGCAGCAGGGGGGACAACCCATTACAACATCAACACAAGATGGCGCTGTGGCTAGACCTTCCACAGATACTATAGCTGCCACAGAGGGAAGACCGCAGGGGCCACAATCCATTTCAACAACCACCCACAACTACATAGGTGAGGCTGTATGCAGACTCTGTCTTAGTCTTCCTTTTTGAGGATACCCAAAGGGGGTTGGTGGGGGGTCATCTAGGCACCATAATCCACTGTGTAGAGAATCATCCCATGGTTGTTGGAGAACCCTATGATTGTGAGTTCCAGTTCAAATTTTACAGAATCAGAACTGTATTTTGGGTTTCCCCAAAGTGGTAATCATCTAAGACTTGCATCATTTCCCTCATTTAGCTGACATCCGTAACTCACTCACTCACTCACTTCAGTGGAGAGCCAGCCACACATAGACAAAACCAGGAATCTGACTAGAAGATGTTTAATTTCAGTGGAATATATCCTAACTTCATTCCCTCTTCACTCCAGATTGTAAAGTTTCACATTTTGACGTGTCCAACTCTCCTGGCATGGCAGTCGGGGATAGCAAACACCAAGGCTGTATATCTCAAGGTAGGAATTGTCAGTCGTAGATTTATCAACAAATTTGTATATAGCCAGCAGGGCTTGCTCCTTTCAAAAGTTACTGGTCCTTTTCCAAATTACCTGTCCTACAACTAAATGATGGAGGCCGTAAAGCAGCCGAACCTGAGTTCACAGAGCGACTGAGTTTCCCAGGAGGACTCCGAAAGTTTTAGAACTCCTCTCCCCTAAAACATCTTTTCCTGCACTCTCAGATGTAAACTCTGCTTCCATTTGCCTCATTTCATGGCAAATTGTGAGCAAATATTGGTGTTGTTGTTGTTGTACACGTCATTACAGAATGGTGGCCGGTCTTTCTACCAAGATGATCTGGATATATCAATTTTTTCTTTCCCCCTATATATTTTCTCATCAACATTACATGAGTCACGAGCAGTGTCCAATTGAATAAAGTCAATATACAGAGAGAATAGATGAAATAATGACTAGCCAGACGTGCCATCTAATGTACATGTCAGCAAGCCTAGGTAACTTTAACTGGCCACGGGCCAACGGGCCAGTAGTAAGATCGACCCCTGAAAGTAATGTAACCTTTTGTGTTTAAATGACCTGCTGTACTTCTGAGTTTTTGACCCTTGGTTGTTTGTTATTTGGAGTTATAGAATATATCTCCAGTACATAGATTTACATAACTAATGTTTAGAATTATGCTTCCGGCAAAATAATCCGAGTTTTAGCAAACACTGAATTACAATTTTACCGGTAGCCATTATGTTTGTTCTCATTGTTTCCAGGGTGTCTGAGTGTCAGGATCAACCAGCTCAGTGATATGTTTGTGGAAACCCATGCTCTTGACAAAGCACAAGAACTTCTGAAAAGACACAACCACGTGGCCATCTGCGGAGCCCCTGGAGACGGGAAAACTAGTGCAGCTCTCAGAATCTGTGAAGCATATATGAAGAAAAAATATCAAGTATTGTTTGTTGAAAGTATTGAAGAGTTTGACAGTGATGTTGTCATTGAACGAAAATGTGACATGCTGGTTGTGTTTGACGATGTGTTTGGTTCTGTTACATTTCCAAGCAGCTTGGAGAAGATACACAGAGTATTCAATACCTTGGTTGATGTTTTACTGCGCTTTGCAAGAGACAAGGAACTGACAGCCAAAGAAAAACAAACCAAGAAGAAACATGACAAAAGTATGAAGAAGGAAGATGAGAAGCAATGTGAAGATGAAAAGACACCAGTGTGTAACTACAAGCTTCGCTTTATATTCACATCGAGAAGCTACAACTGGAATGAAGGATGTGCAAGACTGCATCAGTTCAAAGTTAATCTGTTTAAGCGGGAAGCCATTGTTGATATGATCAAGACCTGTTTAACCAGTGACGAAAAGAAACGTATCATGGCATTGTTCAGAAGCCAAATGTGCGATATCTCAAGTAAGGATATGAAAACCATTACTCAGTTAAAAGACAGCATGTTTGGATATCCGTTGATGTGTAAGCTGTACTTCACCAACTCAGGGTTACAGATGCACAGTATTGTGGACTTTTTCCTGAAACCATTGACCTACCTGAGAGGTGACCTTGACACCATTGTTCGTGAAGGCAGCAGTAGATCGGCAGGTCTGGTTCTCCTCGTCCTGTGTGGAGGGAAGTTGGACCTTGTTTCTTTGATGATGGGGACAGACGAGAAGGTCAGAAATCTGCTCCACATTGTAAAGGAGAAGGTAGCATCATGCACTGATGCAGACATCAGCAGAGAGATCAGCAACTTTACCGGCACCTACTGCATAGTGGAAAATCATCAGCCTCCTTCTCACATCCATCCATCCACGATGCAGCATCTTGTGCCCTGGGCAATCTCAACATTGTGTTATTAGTAAAGCATTGTTCTCTGCAGTTTTTATACGAAAGAGTTCGCCTGAGCAAGACTGATTCTCTGCAGACAACCCAAACTGATGATGTTACAAACATGATCCAGATCACTTCCCATCTTAACCCATTACTGATCAGCAGGCTGGTGGAGGGTATCCGGGAAGGATGCTTTAGATGGACAGTAGGCCACCCTGTATTCAGAAACGATGAATTCGCATTATTACTGATGACGAAACTGGCCAATGACTTGCCTCATATAGTTCACCAAAACGACAGGACATCTGGTGAATGTTTTCTATATTGGGTTTCCCTGTCAAATAATGATTTGTTGTTCAAAAGGTCACTCTTACTAATAAGTAAGAATGGAAATCTTTCACCTGAAAGTGTGATAGACCTGAATGACAGTGCCATAGGTTGCGTGAAGGCTGGCATTGTGAGGAACCTGCAACACATTGTTGTGGTGCTAAAGAAGCATGGGGAATTTGATGTAGACAGAAAGATTCAGACAAACAAAACACAGCTCATCATTGCTGCAGAGGCTGGACACTTGGATGTGTTCAACTTTCTATTGCAAGAAGGAGCAAATGTTTCAATGAGGGACAGGGAAGGAAACAACTGCCTTCATCATGCATGTCAATGTGGAAACAAAGATATTGTCGAAGTTGTTGTTGAGAAGTTTCCAGGTATGACTGATGATCCTGATAGACTGGGAAACACATCTGCAATGTTGTGTGTGATGTCAGGACACAAAGAGATCCTCAAGGTCCTGGTGTCACACGGTGCTGATCTGAAAGGGCGAGGTTATAGGTATTTACATAAGGCATGTGCAAGAGGTCATATATCAATCGTCAGATATTTGTTGTCTTATGAAGATATCAACATTAATGAAAGAACAATATATGAAGAGACACCAGTCATGATGGCAGCTGAAGCCGGACACTCTGATGTTTATGACCATCTTGTGTCAGAGGGAGCTGATCTGTCATTTACTGATGACAGTGACAGAGACTGTCTGATGTTGGCATGTAAGGGAGGTAACATGTCTATAGTTAAGCAACTCCTGTCCTTGAATACATTCAACATCAACAGGAAAGATAGGTTGAACCGTACACCAGTCATGTTGGCAGCTGAATCCGGACACTCTGATGTTTATCACCTTCTTGTGTCAGAGGGAGCTGATCTCTCACTTACTGATTACATGGACGGAGACTGTCTGATGTTGGCATGTGAGGGAGGTAACATGTCTATAGTTAAGCACCTCCTGTCCTTGAAAACATTCAACATCAACAGGAGAGATAGTTCGGAGAGTACACCAGTCATGATGGCAGCTGAAGCCGGACATTCTGATGTTTATCACCTTCTTGTGTCAGAGGGAGCCGATCTGTCATTTACTGATTACATGGACAGAGACTGTCTGATGTTGGCATGTGAGGGAGGTAACATGTCTATTGTTAAGCACCTCCTGTCCTTGAAAACATTCAACATCAACAGGAGAGATAGCTTTGGGAGTACACCTCTCATGATTGCAGCTGAAGCCGAACACTCTGATGTTTATGACCTTCTTGTGTCAGAGGGAGCTGATCTCTCACTTACTGATGACAGGGACAGAGACTGTCTGATGTTGGCATGTGAGAGAGGTGACATGTCTATAGTTAAGCACCTCCTGTCCTTGAAAACATTCAACATCAACAGGAGAGATAGCTTTGGGAGTACACCTCTCATGATTGCAGCTGAAGCCGGACACTCTGATGTTTATGACCTTCTTGTGTCAGAGGGAGCTGATCTCTCACTTACTGATGACAGGGACAGAGACTGTCTGATGTTGGCATGTGGGAGAGGTGACATGTCTATAGTTAAGCACCTCCTGTCCTTGAAAACATTCAACATCAACAGGAGAGATAGCTTTGGGAGTACACCTCTCATGATGGCAGCTGAAGCCGAACACTCTGATGTTTATGACCTTCTTGTGTCAGAGGGAGCTGATCTCTCACTTACTGATGACTGATGACAGGGACAGAGACTGTCTGATGTTGGCATGTGAGAGAGGTGACATGTCTATAGTTAAGCACCTCCTGTCCTTGAAAACATTCAACATCAACAGGAGAGATAGCTTTGGGAATACACCTCTCATGATTGCAGCTGAAGCCGAACACTCTGATGTTTATCACCTTCTTGTGTCAGAGGGAGCTGATCTACCTGTAATGGAGATCACCTACGTGTATAAAAGAACCTCTAAGCATTGAAAATGTTTGACATAAAGATGGGGAATTGAGAATGAAATGTCAGGTATGGTTGCAGAAAACCTACTGATCTGTATGTTCTCTAGACTTTAACCTTATATCTTTTAACTTATCCTGCATTACTACTTAATGCAATACCTGCTTACATTTGACAGAAGTGAAGCTGTGTGTGTGGTCCAGCCAAAGAGAAAAAGTTGTTCCAACCAACCTGATGCAGGACCAAAGCGCAGTACCCTGGTGGCCCCGGACGCGATGATGTCAAACAACTGCACATTACTGCTTGTCACAGGACAGACATGTTGCTTCAGTAAATCGTCCAGTGTGATCTTTTGTCTTTGGTGCCTTCTTGTTGTTCCAATCCACCATTTTGACTTTCTTTACGTGTTTTCGTGGCATATGTCTCTCAGTGTGGCTTGGTATTGTTACATGTTAAATTCATTTAGGCTCAAATACCGTGTTTTACACTTTCTTATTGTACTGTTTAATCTATATTACACTTTGTGTTTATTCCATTAACTTGGATAATCTCGGATCATTCTGTCTTCAGGTTCAATTTATGATTGCTCATGGTATCAGTTGCCTTGGTAAAGAATCTTTAACACATCCTCACCCACATTGCCTTAAGTATGCGCATATTTGTACTATTGATTTGATGTGTGATTTCGGTACGCCCTTTCAAGCTTTCACAGGTATCAGGAGGTCTCATGTCTTGCTCAGCAGGCCCAGTGGCATTCCAGGAGATTGTCAGAAGGTGATCTGTTCTCAATATCTTGTATGGCCACCATTAGAGTCTAGAACTGACTGGTATCATCTTCCCATGGAAACAATCAGATCCCGAATTGTGGCCTGGGGAATGTTCACATGCAAATGAAAACCTAACGTGTTTATAGCCCAACAAGTGATGTTGCATGTGCATGTCATGCTGCCGTGTTTCGGCGATTGTGTTTGGTGTTTGTCGCCAGTCTGCAATATTCCAGCTGTATCATGGTGGCTTTATGGGGAAATCTGTCTCCACGCAGATCGTAGACATCCACCGTTTCCATGAATCCCATGATTATGAGTGTGGTGCTGTCAAATCAAGGATCACTATCTGAATTGAATCGTGTAATTGAATCATCCAAGCATGGATATTACCCCAAACTTGATTTTCAAATGATGCCTTTTGTGCCAACTGGCAATGAATTTGACTACATTACAATACCATTTTGTAGTAAATTACAATAATTTAATAGGTACAGCGAAACGCTATTATTATCTCTCGCCACAAAGTGGAAGGGGGATATAGGAATGGGTGCCGTCCTTTCGTCACATTTCGTTTCCGGAGCAGATCTTGAAAACCGTTCCATATTTCTTCACCAAACTTGGCACATCGATAGGTCTAGTGGTGAGCTGGTGCCTTTTGATAGTTTGGGATTTTAAAAAAAAATAATTTCGAGTTTCCATGGCAACGTCTTTGACATAGAGAGATAATGGCCATAGTCCTCGTTTCCGGAGCAGATCTTGAAAACCGTACCATATTTCTTCACCAAACTTGGCACATAATGTCATATCGCAGTATTGAATATATTTCCTTTCTTGTTGGTAAGTTCTGCATTGCGTGAGTGTATGTTACTCCAAAAGTGTCATGGACACAGTTGTTGCATTCACTGACTAATTTCATGCAGAAACACAACGTGTAATTGATCTTAAACCTACTCAACTGTATAAGCCTCCTATCCTGTATATATTCTTGTCAACCATACTCTGTGCTTCACTTGCTTGATAACGGTGTTAGAACCTACACTGAAACCATCGCCCCTAATTGTAATAAAGAAGTTGTTCGTCCATATGTCTCATCCTATATCATTACAAATACAGTTACATATTCTATCATAAACTGCAGATGGCAAAACGACACCAGTAATAACTTTTCTAAGTGCTGCAATTAGGCCATTTACAAAAAGGCCCAGTGAACATAGTTTACAGGAGCTAATGCATTGCACACAACCGGACATGTCATATTGGCGGGGGATATGAGTATTTCAAGCGTCCTTAAACGTCCTTTCGTGCTCACTGACGTTCTTTCATACACATTGTTCTTTCGTTTCTTACGACATCTTTTCATAACATTTGACTATTGATGCTGCATACTTTTGACATTTATTTCAACTTTGTCTTTGTTTAACTGGTGTCTGATTGTTTTGTATGTTCATCTTTAGTTATAACATTTAGTTCTTAATTCATGATATTTGACTTTAATTGCGTACTTTTGTCCTTTTTTCAACTTTGTATTTTTTGACCGAAGACATAGAAGTCATGAGTAAGGTATCCCTGCCCCACATGACCAAAACTACATTCGGTGTAATATCCATTTCGATGGTTTCCAAGAGATTAACAATACGTTGGTACCCTGTCTGGCGCTCGGCATTAAGGGGCTAAAACAAGGACAAGGACTAGTCGGCTCGGAGTCAGTATACTGTGTCTGAGTGGGGTATTCATGTTAAACTGCGGCATGGTATCTCAGTGTGCTAGCACTATAAATCGGAATCAGTCCGGACTAGTACAAGCAGCCACACACACGTGCATGCACGTCGCTATATAAGTGAATAATCTTGGACGCGACGTTAAACCCCATTTCACCACCTCAGCTCACCACCTTTACTCAATTTAAGCTAAAACTGTATTTAAGAGACCAAACATGGTGCTGTCAGATCACAATTATTCACAATGGCCTTTCGATGTGTGGCATGCGAGAAGAATGTCAGAAAAAATCAACATGCTGTATCCTGTGATTGCCGAAGACTTCTTAGGTCGTGTAGATGGATTATAAATATAAAATTTAGGGTTGTTTTATATATTGTGAACGGATATACTTCGTATAATTAAATATTTGTGTGAGTATTTGGTTTCTAAGATACCCCTACACAAAAGCCTCTGTGTGATGTCAGATCTTAAATTTGAACGAAATTTGAATATCAAAACTTGTTTGTTGTTAAACTAAGCAATATTCCGCCTATATGACGGCTGCTGGTATATAATCGAGACATCACCAGGTGAACCAGTAACTAACATTGTAAGCAACGATCCACGCGGTCGAGGTACGATGGCACGGGTCAACCAAGTTACAAACAAGTGTGACCAACCCATCTATTAAGCCACCTCGTATGACAAGCATTGCGCTACTTGGGAATCCTCACGGGGTTTGAATATCAACGTAGTCTCTGTTGCTGGTATGTGTTCAGAAATACTTCAATACATCTCTTAGACATGGTGGATATGGCATTCCTTCATAATTTTATTGTACTTAATTCAAATAAAATGTGTGTAGTATTTGTGAACGCTGCCCATGATATGCATGGACAGATTCAATCATGAAATAAATTCACCCGTGAAGATCCAGGGTAGAATAGGTCTTCAGCAACCCATTCTTGTCGTAAAAGGCGACTATGCTTGTCATAAAAGGCGACTAACGGGATCAGGTGGTCAGGCTCGCTGGTTGATGGATGTCATCATATCCCAATTGTGTGGATCCATGCTCATTATGTCAATCACTGGATTGTCTGGTTCAGACTCGATTATTTACAGACCGCCTTCATATAGATGGAATGTTGCTGAGTGCGGCGTTAAACAACAAATAAACAAACAAACAAACATGAAATAAATTAGGTTTAAAAATGTCGTTTCAAGCATGTCAAATTGGCTACCTTAACTGAATATGTCAGAGAAATTCATCCCTGAAAATACTTAAAACACCTTCCTCTTGTCAGTTTTCCTCAACTAATTTTAATATCTCATTTAAAAGCAGAGACCATAAAATAGATGGTCTTTGTTAAAAAATAATAATTTACAAATAATAGATGAACAGCTGAGAATGAATGAGTTGAATGGTTTGCCAAATATACTTTTGTACAAAAGATTATACGAGTATTTATATCAGAGAGGTCAATACTTTTACAACAGGAATAAGCGAGTGCTGCTTTACCGCCAACCATCAATTTTACTATACGATGTGGTAAGAATAAGAGTTATCGTTCTTGTTTGAAGTAGTTGGGTGGCATTCCATCCGTGACCAACTCGTGTTATTCCGGGACAAGCCGAATAGCGTCTTCTTGCAGGTCACGGAAAGGGGCGAGTGATGATGATTGGTGGGGTGGGGGACGAATCTTCATTCGGCTTGTCCCGGAATAACACGAGTTGGTCACGAATGGAATGAACAGAAAGTAGGATTTACCTGTTACGTGGGCAGGCCAGAGGCATTCCATCTGCTCGTTCTTCACGTTTTACCAGGTAAACAATACAAATAGTGCTAATTTTTGCACAAACAACCTTCATTTACTCACTTTTCTGTTTATTTAATACAGACACAAATTGAAATAAAATCTCTTCAAAAGGATATTGAAGGGTTCACACTTAGAAACAGGCGATGCCACTCTTCATTCTTATACATAAGGATTCTACTTGACAATCTAAAAAACAAATAACACAGTTCACACTGATTTTAGATATAACCAAAGATGAATATAGATATACGCCTTTGCTATAACCATACTACAACACTACTGCTGCTACTACTACTATTACTACTACTACCATTGTCACTACCACTACTACTATTACTACTACTACCACACTACTGACACTGATACTACTACACACACTTACTACTACTACTACTGCTTCTGCTTCTACTACTTCTACTTCTGCTACTACTACTACTATTACTACTACTACTACTACTATTACTACTACTACTACTCTGGTACCACTGTCACTACCAGTACTACAATTGCTACTACTACTACTACTTCTACTACTACTACTACTACTACTGCTACCACTACTACTATTGCTGCTGTTGCTACTGGTACTAGTACTACTACTGATGCTACTACTACTACTACTACTAGTACTAATACTACTAATACTACCATTGTCACTACCACTACTACTATTGCTGCTGCTACTACTACTACTACAGGTACTACAACTATTGTTGCTGCTACTACTACCACTGGTTTGACTACAACTACTGCTACTTCTACTACTACAACTACTACTACTAGAACCACTACTACTAGCACTAATACCACAGTACTACTACTGCTACTACTGCTGCAACTATTATTACTACTACTACTATTGCTGCTGCTACTACTACTACTACTAATAATCCTACTACTTCTACTACTAATACGTCCACCAATATTACTACTACTACCACTACTACTATTGCTACCAGTACTAGTACTACTACTGATGCTACTACTACTGCTACCACTACTACTACACCTCTACAACCATTACTACTACTACTACTACAACTACTACTATTGCTGCTAGTACTAGTACTACTACTGATGCTACTACTATTTCTACCATTACTACAACTACTACCACTGCTGCTGCTACTACTACTACTACTACTACTACTACTACTACTACTACTACTATTGCTGCTGTTGCTGCTAGTACTTGTATTACTACCACTGATGCTACTACTACTACAACTACTACAATTGCTGATGCTACTACTTCCACTGCTGTTACTATAACTACTACTTCTACTACTACTACCACTGCCACTACTACTACTAGTAATATTGCCACTGCTACTACTACTACTACTACTACTACTAACACTACTGCCACACTACTGCCACACTACTGATAGCACTACTACTGCCACTACCACTACTGATATTGCTGCTCTTACTACTACTACTATTACTACTACTATTGCTGTTGCTACTACTACTACTACTGTCACTACCACTACTACTATTGCTGCTACTACTACTACTACTCCTACTACTACTGTCACTACCACTGCTACTATTGCTGCTGCTACTACTACTACTACCACTACTACACCTACTACTACTAACAGTACTGCTACTACTACTACTACTGCTACTACTACTACTACTGCTGCTGTTACTATAACGATTACTACTACTATTTCTACTACCACCACTGCCACTACTACTTCTACTACTACCACTGTTACTACCACTACTACTATTGCTGCTGCTACTACTACTACTACTACTAATACTACTACTATTGCTGCTGCTACTCCTACTACTACTGTCACTACCACTACTACTATTGCTGCTGCTACTACTGCTACTACTACTACTACTACCACTACTGCTACTGCTATTGGGGCGGTCGGGTAGCCTAGTGGTTAAAGCGTTCGCTCGTCACGCCGAAGACCCGGGTTCGATTCCCGACATGGGTACAATGTGTGAAGCCCATTTCTGGTGTCCCCCGCCGTGATATTGCTGGAATATTGCTAAAAGCGGCGTAAAACCATACTCACTCACTCACTCACTACTGCTACTACTACTACTACTGCTACTACTACTATTGCTGCTGCTACTACTACTATTACTCCTACTACTACCACTGTCACTACCACTACTAGTATTGCTGCTACTACTACTACTACTACTACTACTACTATTGCTGCTGCTACAACTACTACTGTCATTACCACTACTACTATTGCTGCTGCCACTACTACTACTTCTACTTCTACTACTACTACTCTACTCCTACTACTACTGTCACTACCACTACTAGTATTGCTACTGCTACTACTACTGCTACTACTGCCACTGCTGCTGCTAGTACCACCACTACCTCTACCAGTACCCCTACTACTGTTGCTGCTGCTACAACTACTACTACTGCAAATATCACTGCTCTTACTATAACTACTACTACTAATTCTACTACTACCACTGCCACTACTACTACTACTACTACTACTACTGACACTGTTACTGCTACTACCACCACTACCTCTACCACTACTGCCACTACTACTGTTGCTGCTGCTACTACTACTACTACTACTACTACTACTACCACTACTGCTACTACTTCTACTACTACTACTACTACTACTACTACTACTACTACTACTGCTACCACTACTGTTACTATAACTAGTTCCAGGATAAGCTACATTCGTAGGACAACATCAAGCAAGCCATCAGGAGATCACTTAAATGACCTGCTGCCAGAGTGTTATTTAGGTTAGGCCCACAAGTTGATGGAATCTCTATTTTAGCCAAGATGGACAGCCTCTTTGGCGATGTGGATGCGACGGAGACACTCCTAGCCAAGTTCTATCCTGCCAAACAGACCGAGACTGAGTCAGTAGCTAGTACAAGTACAACCAGAGCCGCACCTTCAGTGATCTTCCAATCAGCATCAGAAAAGTAGAACAGGAATTAAAGACACTGAAGAGCCCCTGTCTACTACTCTTACTTCCACTGTTACTAAGAAGAATCCTATTCCTGGTATGGCGGCTGTCTCCAAGGAAAACAAGGAATTGGCAGAGGTCAAGGGGATGATCAGAAAACTTTCAGGTAAAATGGCTGAGAAGAAGTACGACAATCCTCTCAAACACAGACACAACCCTCAGTTGAATTCGAGGTGCATAGTATCCACCTTTTCGGGCAGTCCATGAGATGCCATGGCAACCTCAGAGTCCTCGAGCTCGGTTTTCATCCCCTGCTTTTATTCAGGCTCGGAACAATGCAGCAAGCCTTTCACCCAAGGAAAGTTCGGCCAAGGCAGGATAGACAACTGATGCCTATGGACAGCCAATTCCCATCTGCTACCGCTGTGGACAAGCTGGACACGTCAGCTACAAGTGTACAGTTAGGATGGACCAGAGCTGGAACCTGTTAAACTGAGGAGGATCCATAATGTGGGACAAGTTATGGATTTCAGTGTACAGGGTCCCAAAGATGATGATATAACTGGCCTTGTGGGTACTGCATCAGAAGTGGAAGTTGCCGTTCATGGTGTGAACACTAAAGCCGTACTGGATACCAGAGCTACAGTTTCAACCATGATCGAGTCCTTCCATTAAGATCCCCTGTTCCACCTCCCTATACAGCCACTTAAAGGTATCCTGAATGTACAGTGTGCTGATGGTAAGCCACTGCCATATTCTGGAGATGTAGAGATACCACTTAGGTAACCGGTATGTCACCAGCTGACCAGCAAGGTTTATTTCTTGTTGTCCCTTACAGTGACTATAACGAGAACGCACCTGTTCTTATTGGCACACACATTTTGCATGTGCTTATGGTCATGGGAACAGATTTTTACAGCGTGCTAATCTATTTAGCCTGGGGTACCTTGCCTTCAGATGTCTTGTACTTAGGGAGAAGGAGTTAGTCAAGCGCCAGAATAGGTCAGCTGCAGTGAAGAGCGCCGAGTTCAAGAGATTTATCATCCCACCTAGTAGTGAAGTAAAGATTCATGGATATATGGATAAACCTCTTGATTATCACTCCACTTGTGCTGTACTGCAGGCTACTAAGACTTCCACAATACCAGATGGCCTAGACATTGCCCCAAGTCTAGTCTCCTACAGAAGTAAACAGAAGATGGGAGTTGATGTTTACATCTGTAATGTCACCACCAGGACCGTTTCTATACCACCCAATGCAATACTTTGTCAAGTACAGCCAGTGGCCATTGAAGACATACCCCAGACACCTGCCACTAGTGATGGACCAGTGATTGAGAAGATGGACTTTGAAGAAGCGGTTGTGACTCCTGATGAACTGGCCAGAGGCAAAGATGTTATCAGACAGCACTTGGACATCTTCTCAACTGGGGATACAGATGTTGGTTACACTGCGGGTGGTACATAGGATTAAGCTGACTGATGAGTGCCATACCGCATTCATACAGTTATAGGTTTTGAAAATGTTTAAATAATAATTTAGTTTAGTAAAGTGTATACTGACCATGCAGTAGTTAAGTAGATAACATATTGTATAGATGTATTACAATACAGTTTAGATTGACTCAAAACTTGACTACTTGCTACTACTACTACTACTACTACTACTACTACTACTACTACTACCACTGCCACTACCACTATTGCTGCTGTTCCTACCTTTACTAGTACTTCTACCATTGCTGCTACAACTACTACTACTTCCACCACTGCTACCACAAGCTACAATTCCTTCTGCTGCTGCTGCTACTACTACTACTACTACTACTACTACTACTACTACTACTACTACTACTACCACTACTACTACTATTGCAACTTGAAGTACAACTTGAGTAATTGTTAATTATTAGTATACTAAATGTAATTCATAACCCGGAAGAAACCCTCAGGCCACAGGTTTATATGAGCTCTGCCCCACACTGAGTAATACAATACTGGGGAACTATTCAGTCCCTACAAAGACTTGCCTGATACCAATTAATCTCCAAAGGCATGGATTGTTTGTTTGCTTGTTCCAGAGTCCCCTTCTTGGAATCTGAAATGCATGCATCGAACAAACTAAATGAGCAGTTGAAGGATGGAAACTGACGACAACGTGCCACAAGATGGCGCTGTGGCTAGGTCTTCCACAGATACTGTAGCTGCCACAGAGGGAAGACAGCAGCAGGGGGGACAACCAACTACAACATCAACACTAGATGGCGCTGTGGCTAGGCATTCCACAGATACTGTAGCTGCCACAGAGGGAAGACAGCAGCAGGGGGGACAACCCACTACAACATCAACACCAAATGGCGCTGTGGCTAGGCCTTCCACAGATACTGTAGCTGCCACAGAGGGAAGACAGCAGCAGGGGGGACAACCAACTACAACATCAACACCAAATGGCGCTGTGGCTAGGCATTCCACAGATACTCTAGCTGCCACAGAGGGAAGACAGCAGCAGGGGGGACAACCCATTACAACATCAACACCAGATGGCCCTGTGGCTAGACCTTCCACAGATACTGTAGCTGCCACAGAGGGAAGACAGCAGCAGGGGGGACAACCCATTACAACATCAACACCAAATGGCGCTGTGGCTAGGCCTTCCACAGATACTGTAGCTGCCACAGAGGGAAGACAGAAGCAAGGGGGACAACCAACTACAACATCAACACCAGATGGCGCTGTGGCTAGGCATTCTACAGATACTGTAGCTGCCACAGAGGGAAGACAGCTGCAAGGGGGACAACCCACTACAACATCAACACCAGATGGCGCTGTGGCTAGGCATTCCACAGATACTGTAGCTGCCACAGAGGGAAGACAGCAGCAGGGGGGACAACCCACTATAACATCAACACCAGATGGCGCTGTGGCTAGACATTCCACAGATACTGTAGCTGCCACAGACGGAAGACAGCAGCAGGGGGGACAACCCATTACAACATCAACACCAGATGGCGCTGTGGCTAGTCCTTTCACAGATACTGTAGCTGCCACAGAGGGAAGACAGAAGCAGGGAGGACAACCCACTACAACATCAACACCAGATGGCGCTGTGGCTAGGCATTACACAGATACTGTAGCTGCCACAGAGGGAAGACAGCTGCAGGGGGGACAACCCACTACAACATCAACACAAGATGGCGCTGTGGCTAGACCTTCCACAGATACTGTAGCTGCCACAGAGGGAAGACAGCAGAAGGGGAGACAACCCATTACAACATCAACACCAGATGGCGCTGTGGCTAGGCATTACACAGATACTGTAGCTGCCACAGAGGGAAGACAGCAGCAGAGGGAACAACCCATTACAACATCAACACCAAATGGCGCTGTGGCTAGGCCTTCCACAGATACTGTAGCTGCCACAGAGGGAAGACAGAAGCAGGGGGGACAACCAACTACAACATCAACACCAGATGGCGCTGTGGCTAGGCATTCCACAGATACTGTAGCTGCCACAGAGGGAAGACAGCAGCAGGGGGGACAACCCACTACAACATCAACACCAGATGGCGCTGTGGGTAGACCTTCCACAGATACTGTAGCTGCCACGGAGGGAAGACAGCAGCAGGGGGGACAACCAACTACAACATCAACACCAGATGGCGCTGTGGGTAGACCTTCCACAGATACTGTAGCTGCCACAGAGGGAAGACAGCAGCAGGGGGGACAACCCATTACAACATCAACACCAGATGGCGCTGTGGCTAGGCCTTCCACAGATACTGTAGCTGCCACAGAGGGAAGACAGCAGCAGGGGGGACAACCCATTACAACATCAACACCAAATGGCGCTGTGGCTAGGCCTTGCACAGATACTGTAGCTGCCACAGAGGGAAGACAGAAGCAAGGGGGACAACCAACTACAACATCAACGCCAGATGGCGCTGTGGCTAGGCATTCCACATATACTGTAGCTGCCACAGAGGGAAGACAGCTGCAGGGGGGACAACCCACTACAACATCAACACCAGATGGCGCTGTGGCTAGGCATTCCACAGATACTGTAGCTGCCACAGAGGGAAGACAGCAGCAGGGGGGACAACCCACTATAACATCAACACCAGATGGCGCTGTGGGTAGACCTTCCACAGATACTGTAGCTGCCACAGAAGGAAGACAGCAGCAGGGGGGACAACCCATTACAACATCAACACCAGATGGCGCTGTGGCTAGACCTTTCACAGATGCTGTAGCTGCCACAGAGGGAAGAGAGAAGCAGGGAGGACAACCCACTACAACATCAACACCAGATGGCGCTGTGGCTAGGCATTCCACAGATACTGTAGCTGCAACAGAGGGAAGACAGCAGCAGGGGGGACAACCCACTACAACATCAACAACAGATGGCGCTGTGGCTAGACCTTCCACAGATACTGTAGCTGCCACAGAGGGAAGACAGCAGAAGGGGAGACAACCCATTACAACATCAACACCAGATGGCGCTGTGGCTAGGCATTACACAGATACTGTAGCTGCCACAGAGGGAAGACAGCAGCAGGGGGGACAACCCATTACAACATCAACACCAAATGGCGCTGTGGCTAGGCCTTCCACAGATACTGTAGCTGCCACAGAGGGAAGACAGAAGCAGGGGGGACAACCCACTACAACATTAACACCAGATGGCGCTGTGGCTAGGCATTCCACAGATACTGTAGCTGCCACAGAGGGAAGACAGCAGCAGGGGGGACAACCCACTACAACATCAACACCAGATGGCGCTGTGGCTAGACCTTCCACAGATACTGTAGCTGCCACAGAGGGAAGACAGCAGAAGGGGAGACAACCCATTACAACATTAACACCAGATGGCGCTGTGGCTAGGCCTTCCACAGATACTGTAGCTGCCACAGAGGGAAGACAGCAGCAGGGGGGACAACCCATTACAACATCAACACAAAATGGCGCTGTGGCTAGGCCTTGCACAGCTACTGTAGCTGCCACAGAGGGAAGACAGAAGCAAGGGGGACAACCAACTACAACATCAACGCCAGATGGCGCTGTGGCTAGGCATTCCACATATACTGTAGCTGCCACAGAGGGAAGACAGCTGCAGGGGGGACAACCCACTACAACATCAACACCAGATGGCGCTGTGGCTAGGCCTTCCACAGATACTGTAGCTGCCACAGAGGGAAGACAGCAGCAGGGGGGACAACCCACTATAACATCAACACCAGATGGCGCTGTGGGTAGACCTTCCACAGATACTGTAGCTGCCACAGAAGGAAGACAGCAGCAGGGGGGACAACCCATTACAACATCAACACCAGATGGCGCTGTGGCTAGACCTTTCACAGATGCTGTAGCTGCCACAGAGGGAAGAGAGAAGCAGGGAGGACAACCCACTACAACATCAACACCAGATGGCGCTGTGGCTAGGCATTCCACAGATACTGTAGCTGCAACAGAGGGAAGACAGCAGCAGGGGGGACAACCCACTACAACATCAACAACAGATGGCGCTGTGGCTAGACCTTCCACGGATACTGTAGCTGCCACAGAGGGAAGACAGCAGAAGGGGAGACAACCCATTACAACATCAACACCAGATGGCGCTGTGGCTAGGCATTACACAGATACTGTAGCTGCCACAGAGGGAAGACAGCAGCAGGGGGGACAACCCATTACAACATCAACACCAAATGGCGCTGTGGCTAGGCCTTCCACAGATACTGTAGCTGCCACAGAGGGAAGACAGCAGCAGGGGGGACAACCCATTACAACATCAACACCAGATGGCGCTGTGGCTAGACCTTTCACAGATGCTGTAGCTGCCACAGAGGGAAGAGAGAAGCAGGGAGGACAACCCACTACAACATCAACACCAGATGGCGCTGTGGCTAGGCATTCCACAGATACTGTAGCTGCAACAGAGGGAAGACAGCAGCAGGGGGGACAACCCACTACAACATCAACAACAGATGGCGCTGTGGCTAGACCTTCCACGGATACTGTAGCTGCCACAGAGGGAAGACAGCAGAAGGGGAGACAACCCATTACAACATCAACACCAGATGGCGCTGTGGCTAGGCATTACACAGATACTGTAGCTGCCACAGAGGGAAGACAGCAGCAGGGGGGACAACCCATTACAACATCAACACCAAATGGCGCTGTGGCTAGGCCTTCCACAGATACTGTAGCTGCCACAGAGGGAAGACAGCAGCAGGGGGGACAACCCATTACAACATCAACACCAAATGGCGCTGTGGCTAGGCCTTCCACAGATACTGTAGCTGCCACAGAGGGAAGACAGCAGCAGGGGGGACAACCCACTACAACATCAACACCAGATGGCGCTGTGGCTAGACCTTCCACAGATACTGTAGCTGCCACAGAGGGAAGACAGCAGCAGGGGGGACAACCCATTACAACATCAACACCAAATGGCGCTGTGGCTAGGCCTTCCACAGATACTGTAGCTGCCACAGAGGGAAGACAGAAGCAGGGGGGACAACCCACTACAACATTAACACCAGATGGCGCTGTGGCTAGGCATTACACAGATACTGTAGCTGCCACAGAGGGAAGACAGCAGCAGGGGGAACAACCCATTACAACATCAACACCAAATGGCGCTGTGGCTAGGCCTTCCACAGATACTGTAGCTGCCACAGAGGGAAGACAGAAGCAGGGGGGACAACCCACTACAACATCAACACCAGATGGCGCTGTGGCTAGGCATTCCACAGATACTGTAGCTGCCACAGAGGGAAGACAGCAGCAGGGGGGACAACCCACTATACCATCAACACCAGATGGCGCTGTGGGTAGACCTTCCACAGATACTGTAGCTGCCACAGAGGGAAGACAGCAGCAGGGGGGACAACCCATTTCAACAACCCCCACTTACATAGGTGAGGCTGTATGCAGACTCTGTCTTAGTCTTCCTTTTTAAGGATAGCAAAAGGGGGCCGGGGGGGGGGGGGGGGGGGGGGGGGGGTATCATCCCATGGTTGTTGGAGAACCCTATGATTGTGGGTTCCAGTTCAAATTTTACAGAATCAGAACTGTATTTTGGGTTTCCCCAAAGTGGTAATCATCTAAGACTTGCATCATTTCCCTCATTTAGCTGACATCCGTAACTCACTCACTCACTTCAGTGGAGAGCCAGCCACACATAGACAAAACCAGGAATCTGACTAGAAGATGTTTAATTTCAGTGGAATATATCCTAAATTCATTCCCTCTTCACTCCAGATTGTACAGTGTCACATTATGACGTGTCCAACTCTCCTGGCATGGCAGTCGGGGATAGCAAACACCAAGGCTGTATATCTCAAGGTAGGAATTGCCAAGGGTAGATTTATCAACAAATTTGTATATAGCCAGCAGGGCTTGCTCCTTTCAAAAGTTACTGGTCCTTTTCCAAATTACCTGTCCTACAACTAAATGATGGAGGCCGTAAAGCAGCCGAACCTGAGTTCACATAGCAACTGAGTTTCCCAGGAGGACTCCGAAAGTTTTAGAACTCCTCACCCCTCTTTTCCTGCACTCTCAGATTTAAACTCTGCTTCCATTTGCCTCATTTCATGGCGAATTGTGAGCAAATATGGGTGCTGTTGTACACGTCATTACAGAATGGTCGCCGGTTGTGTCTTTCTACCAAGATGATCTGGATATATCATTTTTTTCTTTCCCCCTATATATTTTCTCATCAACATAACATGAGTCACGAGCAGTGTCCAATTGAAAAAAGTAAATATACAGAGAGAATGGATGAAATATTGACTAGCCAGACGTGCCATCTAATGTACACGTCAGCAAGCCTAGGTAATTTTAACTGGCCACGGGCCAACGGGCCAGTATTAAAATCGACCCCTGTAAGTTATGAAACAACCTTTTGTGTTTAAATGACCTGCTGTGCTACTGGCTTTTTGACCCTGGTTGTTTGTTGTTTGGAGTTAAAGAATATATCTCTAGTACATAGATTTACATAACTTATGTTGTTTAGAATTATGCTTGCAAACACTGAATTACAATTTTTATTTTTGAAAGAGAATAACAAAATATAATGTTCATATAGCCATTATGTTTGTTCTCATTGTTTCCAGGGTGTCTGAGTGTCAGGATCAACAAGCTCAGTGATATGTTTGTGGAAACCCATGCTCTTGACAAAGCACAAGAACTTCTGAAAAGACACAACCACGTGGCCATCTGTGGAGCCCCTGGAGACGGGAAAACTAGTGCAGCTCTCAGGGTCTGTGAAGCATATATGAAGAAAAAGTATCAAGTATTGTTTGTTGAAAGTATTGAAGAGTTTGACAGTGATGTTGTCATTGAACGAAAATGTGACATGCTGGTTGTGTTTGACGATGTGTTTGGTCCTGTTACATTTCCAAGCAGCTTGGAGAAGATACACAGAGTATTCAATGCCTTGGTTGATGTTTTACTGCGCTTTGCAAGAGACAAGGAAATGACAGCCAAAGAAAAACAAACCAAGAAGAAACATAACAAAAATAACTACAAGCTTCGCTTTATATTCACATCCAGAAGCTACAACTGGAATGAAGGATGTGCAAGACTACATCAGTTCAAAGTAAATCTGTTTAAGCCGGAAGCCATGGTTGATATGATCAAGACCTGTTTAACCAGTGACGAAAAGAAACGTATCATGGCATTGTTCAGAAGCCAAATGTGCGATATCTCCAGTAAGAACATGAAAACCATTACTCAGTTAAAAGACAGCATGTTTGGATATCCGTTGACGTGTAAGCTGTACTTCACCAACCCAATGTTCCAGATGCACAGTCTTGTGGACTTCTTCCTGAAACCATTGACCTACCTGAGAGGTGACCTTGACACCATTGTTCGTGAAGGCAGCAGTAGATCGGCAGCTCTGGTTCTCCTCGTCCTGTGTGGAGGGAAGTTGGACCTTGTTTCCTTCATGATGGGGACAGACGAGAAAGTCAGAGATCTGCTCCACGTTGTAAAGGAGAAGGTAGCATCATGCACTGATGCAGACATCAGCAGAGAGATCAGCAACTTTACCGGCACCTACTGCATAGTGGAAAATCATCTAGCCTCCTTCTCACATCCATCCATCCACGATGCAGCATCTTGTGCCCTGGGCAATCTCAACATTGTGTTATTAGTAAAGCATTGTTCTCTGCAGTTTTTATACGAGAGAGTTCGACTGACCAATACAACCCAAACTGATGATGTTACAATCATGATCACGATCACTTCCCGTCTTTACCCATTACTGATCAGCAGGCTGGTGGAGGGTATCCGGGAAGGATGCTTTAGATGGACAGTAGGCCACCCTGTATTCAGAAACGATCAATTAGCATCCTCGCTGATGACGGAACTGGCCAATGACTTGCCTCACATAGTTCACCAAAAGGACAAGACATCTGGTGAATGTTTTCTATATTGGGTTTCCCTGTCAAATAATGATATGTTGTTCAAAAGGTCACTCTTACTAATAAGTAAGAATGGAAATCTTTCACCTGAAATTGTGATAGATTTGAATGACAGTGCCATAGGTTGCGTGAAAGCTGGCATTGTGAGGAACCTGCAACACATTGTTGTGGTGCTGAAGAAGCATGGGGAATTTGATGTAGACAGAAGGATGCAGACAAACAAAACACAGCTCATCATTGCTGCAGAGGCTGGACACTTGGATGTGTTCAACTTTCTATTGCAAGAAGGAGCAAATGTTTCAATGAGGGACAGGGAAGGATACAACTGCCTTCATCATGCATGTCAATCTGGAAACAAAGATATTGTCGAAGTTGTTGTTGAGAAGTTTCCAGATATGACTGATGATCCTGATAGACTGGGAAACACATCTGCAATGTTGTGTGTGATGTCAGGACACGAAGAGATCCTCAAGGTCCTGGTGTCACACGGTGCTGATCTGAAAGGGCGAGGTTATTGTTATTTACATAAGGCATGTGGAAGATGTCATATATCAATTGTTAGATATTTGTTGTCTTATGAAGATATCAACATTAACGAAAGAACAATATATCAACAGACACCAGTCATGGTGGCAGCTGAAGCCGGACACTCTGATGTTTATGACCATCTTGTGTCAGAGGGAGCTGATCTCTCACTTACTGACACCATGCACAGAGACTGTCTGATGTTGGCATGTAAGGGAGGAAAAATGTCTATAGTTAATCATCTCCTTTCTTTGAACACATTCAACATCAACAGGAGAGATTTGTACAACTGTACAACAGTCATGGTGGCAGCTGAAGCCGGACGCTCTGATGTTTATCACCTTCTTGTGTCAGAGGGAGCTGATCTGTCACTTACTGACATCATGCAAAGAGACTGTCTGATGTTGGCATGTGAGGGAGGTGACATGTCTATAGTTAATCATCTCCTTTCTTTGAACACATTCAACATCAACAGGATAGATTTGTACAACTGTACAACAGTCATGGTGGCAGCTGAAGCCGGACACTATGATGTTTATCACCTTCTTGTGTCAGAGGGAGCTGATCTCTCACTTACTGATTACAGGGACAGAGACTGTCTGATGTTGGCATGTGAGGGAGGTGACATATCTATAGTTAAGCACCTTCTGTCTTTGAAAACTTTCAACATCAAAAGGAAAGATAGGTTGAACCGTACACCAGTCATGATGGCAGCTAAAGCCGGACATTCTGATGTTTATCACCTTCTTGTGTCAGAGGGAGCTGATCTCTCACTTACTGTGATAGGGGACAGAGACTGTCTGATGTATGCATGTGAGGGAGGTAACATGTCTATAGTTCAGCACCTCCTGTCCTTGAAAACATCCAACATCAACAGGAGAGATAGCTTTAACTGTACACCAGTCATGATGGCAGCTAAAGCCAGACACTCTGATGTTTATAATCTTCTTGTGTCAGAGGGAGCTGATCTCTCACTTACTGATGAGAGGGACAGAGACTGTCTGATGTTGGCATGTGAGGGAGGTAACATGTCTTTAGTTAAGCACCTCCTGTCTTTGAACAAATTTAACATCAACAGGAGAGATAGCTTTGGGAGTACACCTCTCATGATTGCAGCTGAAGCTGAACACTCTGATGTTTATCACCTTCTTGTGTCAGAGGGAGCTGATTTATCTGGTGTTCACAAGTAATGGAGATCACCTACCTGTATAAAAGAACCTCTTGTCGTTGAAAATGTTTGACATAAAGATGGGGAATTGAGAATGAAACGTCAGGTATGGTTGCAGAAAACCTCCTGATGTGTATGTACTCTAGACTTTATCCTTATATCTTTTAACTTATCCTGCATTACTACTTAATGCAATACCTGCTGACTTTTGACAGAAGCGAAGCTGTGTGTGGTCCAGCTGAAGAGAAAAAGTTGTTCCAATTAACCTGATTCAGGACCAAAGCGCAGTACCCTGGTGGCCCCGGAAGCCATGATGTCAAACAACTTCACATTACTGCTTGTCACAGGACAGACATGTTGCTTCAGTAAGCTTTGTTGTTTCAATCCACCATTTTGACTTTCTTTACGTATTTTCGTGGCATATGTCGTTCAGTGTGGCTTGGTATTGTTACATGTTAAATTCACTTAGGCTCAAATACCTTTCAAGTGTTTTACACTTTCTTATTGTACTGTTTAATCTTTATTCCATTTACTTGGATAATCCCGGATCATTCTGTCTTCAGGTTCAATTTATGATTGTTCATGGTATCAGTTGCCTTGATAAAAAATCTTTAACACATCCTCACCCACGTTGCCTTAATTATGCGCATATTTGTACTATTGATTGATGTGTGATTATTGTACGCCCTTTCAAGCTTTCACAGGTGTCAGGAGGTCTCATGTCTTGCTCAGCAGGCCCAGTGGCATTCCAGGAGACTGTCAGAAGGTGATCTGTTCACAATATCTTGTATGGCCACCATTAGAGTCTAGAACTGACTGGCATTGTCTTCCCATGGAAACAATCAGTTTCCGAATTGTGGCCTGGAGAATGTACACATGCAAATGAAAACCTAACGTGTTTATAGCCCAACAAGTGATGTTGCATGTGCATGTCATGCTGCTGTGTTTCGGCGATTGTGTTTGTTGTTTGTCGCCAGTCTGCAATATTCCAGCTGTATCATGGTGGCTTTATGGGGAAATCTGTCTCCACGCAGATCGTAGACATCTACCATTTCCATGATTATGAGTGTGGCGCTGTCAAATTAAGGATCACTATCTGAATTGAATCGTGTAATTGAATCATCCAAGCATGGATATTACCCCAAACTTGATTTTCGAATGATGCCTTTTGTGCCAACTGGCATTGAATTTGACTACATTTCAATACCATTTGTATCCAGAGTTTACACAATTTTGTTGAAAATTACAATAATTTAATAGGTACAGCAAAACCCTACTGTTATCCCCTGCCACAAAGGAATGGGTGACGTCCTTCTGTCACATTTCGTTTCCGGAGATCTTGAAATATGTTCCATATATCTTCACCAAACTTGGCAAATAGATAGGTCTATTGGTGAACTGGTGCCTTTTGATAGTTTGGGATTTAAAAAAAAAAAAAATTCGAGTTGCCATGACAACGACTTTGACTTCACTTAATGTCTTATCACAGTATTCTTGTTGGTAAGTTCTGCATTGCTTGAGTGTATGTTACTCCAAAAGTGTCATGGACACAGTTGTTGCATTCACTGACTAATTTCATGCAGAAACACAACGCATTACAAATACAACAGTGTAACTGATGTTAAACCTACTCACCTGTATAAACACTGCCTCCTATCCTGTATATATTCTTGTCAACCATACTCTGTACTTCACTTGCTTTATAACGGTGTTAGAACCTACACCGAAACCATCGCTCCTAATTGTAATAAAGAAGTTGTTCGTCCATATGTCTCATCCTTACTCATTACAAATACAGTTACACATCCATCATAAACTACAGATGGCAAAACAATGCCAGTAATAACTTTTCTTAGTGCTGCAATTAGGCCATTTACAAAAAGGCCCAGTGAACATAGTTCACAGGAGCTAATGCATTGCAAACAACCAGACATGTCATATTAGCGGGGGATAAGAGTATTTCATGCTTGTTTTGGATGCAACATTCACAAAAACATTTTTGTCTGTATTAATCAATACCTGGATTAACGAAATAGTGGTAATGAGTAAGGTATCCGTTCCCCACATGACAATAGAAGTCATGAGTAAGGTATCCTTGCCCCACATGAAAATGGAAGTCATGAGTAAGGTATCCGTGACCCACATGACAATGGAAGTCATGAGTAGGGTATCCTTGCCCCACATGACAATGGAAGTCATGAGTAAGGTATCCGTGCCCCACATAAAAATGGAAGTCATGAGTAAGGTATCCTTGCCCCACATGACAATGGAAGTCATGAGTAAGGTATCCGTGCCCAACATGACAATGGAAGTCATGAGTAAGGTATCCGTGCCCCACATGACAATGGAAGTCATGAGTAAGGTATCCGTGCCCCACATGACACTAGAAGTCATGAGTAAGGTATCCATGTCCTACATGACAATGGAAGTCATGAGTAAGGTATCCATATCCCACATGACGATGGAAGTCATGAGTAAGGTATTCGTGCCCCACGTGGCTATGAAAGTCGTGAGTAAGGTATCCGTGCCCCACATGACAATGGAAGTCATGAGTAAGGGATCCGTGCCCCACATGACAATGGAAGTCATGAGTAAGGTATCCGTGCCCCACATGACAATGGAAGTCATGAGTAAGGTATCCGTGCCCCACATGACAATGGAAGTCATGAGTATGGGATCCGTGCCCCACATGACAATGGAAGTCATGAGTATGGGATCCGTGCCCCACATGACAATGGAAGTCATGAGTAAGGTATCCGTGCCCCACGTGACAATGTAAGTCATGACTAAGGTATCCATGTCCCACATAACAATGAAAGTCATGAGTAAGGTATCCGTGCCCCACATGACAATGGAAGTCATGAGTAAGGTATCCTTGCCCCACGTGACAATGGAAGTCATGAGTAAGGTATCCATGTCCCACATGACAATAGAAGTCATGAGTAAGGTATCCGTGCCCCACATGAGAATGGAAGTCATGAGTAAGGTATCCGTGCCCCACATGACAATGGAAGTCATGAGTAAGGTATCCATATCCCACATGACAATGGAAGTCATGAGTAAGGTATCCGTGTCCCACATGACAATGAAAGTCATGAGTAAGGTATCCTTGCCCCACATGACAATGACAGTCATGAGTAGGGTAGCCTTGTCCCACATGACAATGGAAGTCATGAGTAAGGTATCCATGCCCCACATGACAATGAAAGTCATGAGTAAGGTATCCGTGCCCCACATGACAATGAAAGTCATGAGTAAGGTATCCGTGCCCCACATGACAATGACAGTCATGAGTAGGGTAGCCTTGTCCCACATGACAATAGAAGTCATGAGTAAGGTATCCGTGCCCCACATGACAATGACAGTCATGAGTAGGGTAGCCTTGTCCCACATGACAATGGAAGTCATGAGTAAGGTATCCATGCCCCACATGACAATGAAAGTCATTAGTAAGGTTCCCGTGCCCCACATGACAATGGAAGTCCTAAGTAAGGTATCCGTGCCCCACATGAAAATGGAAGTCTTTAGTAAGGTATCCGTGCCCCACATGACAATGGAAGTCATGAGGAAGGTATCCATATCCCACATGACAATGGAAGTCATGAGTAAGGTATCCATATCCCACATGACGATGGAAGTCATGAGTAAGGTATTCGTGCCCCACGTGGCTATGAAAGTCGTGAGTAAGGTATCCGTGCCCCACATGACAATGGAAGTCATGAGTAAGGGATCCGTGCCCCACATGACAATGGAAGTCATGAGTAAGGTATCCGTGCCCCACATGACAATGGAAGTCATGAGTAAGGTATCCGTGCCCCACATGACAATGGAAGTCATGAGTATGGGATCCGTGCCCCACATGACAATGGAAGTCATGAGTATGGGATCCGTGCCCCACATGACAATGGAAGTCATGAGTAAGGTATCCGTGCCCCACGTGACAATGTAAGTCATGACTAAGGTATCCATGTCCCACATAACAATGAAAGTCATGAGTAAGGTATCCGTGCCCCACATGACAATGGAAGTCATGAGTAAGGTATCCGTGCCCCACGTGACAATGGAAGTCATGAGTAAGGTATCCATGTCCCACATGACAATAGAAGTCATGAGTAAGGTATCCGTGCCCCACATGAGAATGGAAGTCATGAGTAAGGTATCCGTGCCCCACATGACAATGGAAGTCATGAGTAAGGTATCCATATCCCACATGACAATGGAAGTCATGAGTAAGGTATCCGTGTCCCACATGACAATGAAAGTCATGAGTAAGGTATCCTTGCCCCACATGACAATGACAGTCATGAGTAGGGTAGCCTTGTCCCACATGACAATGGAAGTCATGAGTAAGGTATCCGTGCCCCACATGACAATGAAAGTCATGAGTAAGGTATCCGTGCCCCACATGACAATGAAAGTCATGAGTAAGGTATCCGTGCCCCACATGACAATGACAGTCATGAGTAGGGTAGCCTTGTCCCACATGACAATAGAAGTCATGAGTAAGGTATCCGTGCCCCACATGACAATGACAGTCATGAGTAGGGTAGCCTTGTCCCACATGACAATGGAAGTCATGAGTAAGGTATCCATGCCCCACATGACAATGAAAGTCATTAGTAAGGTTCCCGTGCCCCACATGACAATGGAAGTCCTAAGTAAGGTATCCGTGCCCCACATGAAAATGGAAGTCTTTAGTAAGGTATCCGTGCCCCACATGACAATGGAAGTCATGAGGAAGGTATCCATATCCCACATGACAATGGAAGTCATGAGTAAGGTATCCGTGCCCCACATGACAATGAAAGTCATGAGTAAGGTATCCATGTCCCACATGACAATGAAAGTCATGAGTAAGGTATCCGTGCCCCACATGACAATGGAAGTCCTGAGTAAGGTATCCGTGCCCCACATGACAATGGAAGTCATGAGTAAGGTATTCGTGCCCCACGTGGCTATGAATGTCGTGAGTAAGGTATTCGTGCCCCACATGACAATGGAAGTCGTGAGTAAGGTATCCGTGCCCCACATGACAATGGAAGTCATGAGTAAGGTATCCATGTCCCACATGACAATGGAAGTCATGAGTAAGGTATCCGTGCCCCACATGACAATGGATGTCATGAGTAAGGTATCCATATCCCACATGACAATGGAAGTCATGAGTAAGGTATCCGTGCCCCACATGACAATGGAAGTCATGAGTAAGGTATCCATGTCCCACATGACAATGAAAGTCATGAGTAAGGTATCCGTGCCCCACATGACAATGGAAGTCCTGAGTAAGGTATCCGTGCCCCACATGACAATGGAAGCCATGAGTAAGGTATCCGTGCCCCACATGACAATGGAAGTCATGAGTTAGGTATCCGTGCCCTACATGACAATGGAAGTCATGACTAAGGTATACATTCCCCACATGACAATAAAAGTCATGAGAAAGGTATCCCTGCCCCACATGACAATGGAAGTCATGAGTGAGGTATCCTTGCCCCACATGACAATGGAAGTCATGAGTAAGGCTATTAAATGTGTGTATTCCTCAGCTGTCATCTTCCCGAGGCAAGTGAGTTAACAGACTATAAAAGTTCAGTTTCCACCCTTACCGAACTGACTGGTATTATGGAGTTACAGTTTGGGTGGATAGTCCAATCAAAATCGCGCACTGAAATCGAAATCAAGTTCGTTAACTGTCGTGCAGACTTCGGTCGATTGCAGGATTTGCAAAACATGTGCACCGCCAACTCGTCAGCAGATATTTTCCAAATCTTTTCATGTTTTTAATCAATGTGCTCACGTGATTTGATGTATTTCGCGATGTAAGACCCGTTTTATCACAATATAGATCTTGATTATCGAGCAGATCGTCCTGACTGGGCGCCACCATGTTGGGTGAAACAAACGCAAGTGATACGAGAGGTGGAATCTCATTGGTCCATAGGAGAGGCTTAGAGGGGACATCCGTAACCAACAACAAGGCCCCGTCTCGAAGGCCGCCATGCGTCGAAACGGCGCAAGCCAATCAGAAGGCGCGTCAGGATATGGGTACTTCGATCAATGTCGTGTAGATGGATTATAAATATAAAATTTAGGGTTGTTTTATATATTGTGAACGGATATACTTCGTATAATTAAATATTTGTGTGAGTATTTGGTTTCTAAGCTACCCCTACACAAACACCTCTGTGTGATGTCAGATCTTAAATGTGAACGAGCTTTGAATATCAAAACTTGTTTGTTGTTAAACTAAGCAATATTCCGCCTATATGACGGCTGCTCGTATATAATCGAGACATCAACAGGTGAACCAGTAATTAACATTGTAAGCAACGATCCACGCGGTCGAGGTACGATAGCACGGGCCAACCAAGTTACAAACAAGTGTGACCAACCCATCCATTAGGCCATCTCGTATGACAAGCATTGCGCTACTTGGGAATCCTCACGGGGTTTGAATAGTAGTAGTAGTAGTAGTAGTAGTAGTAGTAGTTTGAATATCAACGTAGTCTCACTATGTTGTTGATATGTGTTTAGAAATACTTTAATACATCTCTTAGACATGGTGGATATGGCATTCCTTCATAATTTTATTGTAATTAATTCAAATAAAATGTGTGTCCTATTTGTGAACGCCGTCCATGATATGCATGGACAGATTCAATCATGAAATAAATTCACCAGTGAAGATCCAGGGTAGAATAGGTCTTCAGCAACCCATGCTTGTCGTAAAAGGCGACTATGCTTGTCGTAATAGGCGACTAACGGGATCAGGTGGTCAGGCTCGCTGACTTGGTTGATGCATGTCATCGTATCCCAATTGCGTGGATCGATGCTCATGATGTCAATCACTGGATTGTCTGGTCCAGACTCGATTATTTACAGACCGCCTTCATATAGATGGAATGTTGCTGAGTGCGGCGTTAAACAACAAATAAACAAACAAACAAACATGAAATAAATTAGTTTTAAAAATGACGTTTCAAGCATTGAAAGGGCAATGTCAAATTGGCTACCTTAACTGAATATGGCAGAGAAATTCATCGCTGAAAATACTTAAAACACCTTCCTCTTGTCAGTTTTCCTCAACTAATTTTAATATCTCATTTAAAAAATAATAATTTACAAATAAAAGATGAACAGCTGAGAATGAATGAGTTGAATGGCTTGCCAAATATACTTTTGTACAAAAGATTATACGAGTATTTATATCAGAGAGGTCAATACTTTTACAACAGGAATAAGCGAGCGCTGTTATACCGCCAACCATCAATTTTACTATACGATGTGGTAAGAATAAGAGTTATCGTTCTTGTTTGAAGTAGTTGGGTGGCATTCCATTCGTGACAAACTCGTGTTATTCCGGGACAAGTCGAATAGCGTCTTCTTGCAGGTCACGGAAAGGGGCGAGTGGTGACGAATGGTGGGTTGGGGGCGAATCTTCATTCGGCTTGTCCCGGAATAACACGAGTTGGTCACGAATGGAATGAACAGAAAGTAGGATTTACCTGTTACGTGGGCAGGCCAGAGGCATTCCATCTGCTCGTTCTTCACGTTTTACCAGGTAAACAATACAAATAGAGCTGATTTTTGCACAAACAACCTTCATTTACTCACTTTTCTGTTTAGTAAATACAGACACAAATTGAAATAAAATCTGTACATACTACTATTGCTGCTACTGCTACTACTACTGTTCCTATTACTACTACTGTTGCTGCTGACACTACTACTGCTACTACTACTGCTACTGTTGCTACTGCTACTACTACTATTACTACTGGTACCACTGTCACTACGAGTACTACTATTGCTTCTGCTACTACTACTACTACTACTACTACTACTACTACCACTACCACTACTACTATTGCTGCTGTTGCTACTAGTACTAGTACTACTACTGATGCTACTACTACTACTTCTACTACCATTGTCACTACCACTACTACTATTGCTGCTACTACTACTACTACTACTACTACTACTACTACTACTACAGCTACTACAACTATTTTTGCTGCTACTCCTACCACTGGTTTGACTACAACTACTGCTACTACTACCACTACTACTATTGCTGATGCAACTATTATTACTACTACTACTATTGCTGCTGCTACTGCTACTACTACTACTACTACTACTACTGCTACTACTTCTACTACTAATACAACCACCAATATTACTACTACTACCACTACTACTATTGCTACCAGTACTAGTACTACTACTGATGCTACTACTACTGCTACCACTACTACTCCACCACTACTACCACTACTACTACTACTAAACTACTACTATTGCTGTTGCTACTAGTACTACTACTGATGCTTCTACTATTTCTACCACTACTACAACTACTACCACTGTTGCTACTACTACTACTACTACTACTACTATTGCTGCTGTTGCTGCTAGTACTAGTATTACTACCACTGATGCCACTACTACAACTAAACTATTGGTGATGCTACTACTTCCACTGCTGTTACTATAACTACTACTTCTACTACTACCACTGCCACTACTACAACTAGTAATATTGCCACTGCTACTACTAGTACTACTACTACTACTACTACTAGCACTACCGCCACACTACTGATAGTACTACTACTGCCACTGCCACTACTACTATTGTTGCTGCTACTACTACCACTGGTTTGACTACAACTACTGCTTCTACTACTACTACTACTACTACTACTAATGCTACTACTTCTACTACTAATACTACCACCAATATTACTACTACTACCACTACTACCATTGCTACCAGTACTAGTACTACTACTGATGCTACTACTACTGCTACCACTACTACTACCACTACTACTACTACTAAACTACTACTATTGCTGCTAGTACTACTACTATTGCTACCAGTACTAGTACTACTACTATTTCTACCACTACTACAACTACTACCACTGCTGCTACTACTACTACTATTGCTGCTGTTGCTGCTAGTACTAGTATTACTACCACTGATGCCACTACTACTACAACTACTACTATTGGTGATGCTACTACTTCCACTGCTGTTACTATAACTACTACTTCAACTACTAGCACTGCCACTACTACTACTAGTAATATTGCCACTGCCACTACTAGTACTACTACTACTACTACTACTACTACTACTACAACTACTACTATTGGTGATGAACTACTTCCACTGCTGTTACTTTAACTACTACTTCTACTACTGCCACTACCACTACTACTATTGCTGCTGTTACTACTACTACTACTACTATTGCTGCTGCTACTACTACTACTCCTACATCTACTACCACCACTACTGCTACTGCTACTACTACTACTGCTACTACTGCTGCTGCTACTGCTACTACTACAATTGCTGCTACTACTACTACTACTGCTACTACTACTACTACTGCTGTTGTTACCATAACGATTACTTCTACTATTTCTACTACCACCACTGCCACTACTCCTTCTACTACTACCACTGTTACTACCACTACTGCTATTGCTGCTACTACCACTACTACTACTATTGCTGCTGCTACTATTATTACTTCTACTACTACTGCTGCTGCTACTGGTACCACTACTGATACTACAACTACTGCTACCACTACTACTACTACTACCACTGCTACTACTACTACTACTACAACTACTACTATTGCTGATGCTACTAAAACCAATGTTGTTACTATAACTACTACTTCTACTACTACCACTGCCACTTCTACTACTACTACTAGCACTACTACCAAACTACTGATAGTACTACTACTGCCACTACCACTACTACTATTGCTGCTGATGATGCTACTACTACTACTACTACTGTCACTACCACTACTACTATTGCTGCTGCTGCTACTACTACTACTACTACTACTACCCCTACTACCACTACTACTATTGCAGCTGCTACTACTACTACTACTACTCCTACTACTCCTACTACCACTGTCACAACCTGTACTACTATTGCTGCTGATGCTACTATAACTACTCCTACTACTACTGTCACTACCACTACTACTATTGCTGCTGATGCTTCTACTACTACTACTACTACTCCTACTACTCCTACTACCACTGTCACTACCTGTACTACTATTGCTGCTGATGCTACTATAACTACTCCTAGTACTACTGTCACTACTACTACTTCTATTGCTGCTGCTACTACTGCTATTGTCACTACCACTACTACCATTGCTGCTGCTACTACTACTTCTACTACTACTACCACTGTCATTACCAGTACTACTATTGCTGCTGATGCTACTACTACTACTACTCCTACTACTACTGTCACTACCACTACTACTATTGTTGCTGCTACTACTACCACTGGTTTGACTACAACTACTGCTTCTACTACTACTACTACTACTACTACTACTAATGCTACTACTTCTACTACTAATACTACCACCAATATTACTACTACTACCACTACTACCATTGCTACCAGTACTAGTACTACTACTGATGCTACTACTACTGCTACCACTACTACTACCACTACTACTACTACTAAACTACTACTATTGCTGCTAGTACTACTACTATTGCTACCAGTACTAGTACTACTACTATTTCTACCACTACTACAACTACTACCACTGCTGCTACTACTACTACTATTGCTGCTGTTGCTGCTAGTACTAGTATTACTACCACTGATGCCACTACTACTACAACTACTACTATTGGTGATGCTACTACTTCCACTGCTGTTACTATAACTACTACTTCAACTACTAGCACTGCCACTACTACTACTAGTAATATTGCCACTGCCACTACTAGTACTACTACTACTACTACTACTACTACTACTACAACTACTACTATTGGTGATGAACTACTTCCACTGCTGTTACTTTAACTACTACTTCTACTACTGCCACTACCACTACTACTATTGCTGCTGTTACTACTACTACTACTACTATTGCTGCTGCTACTACTACTACTCCTACATCTACTACCACCACTACTGCTACTGCTACTACTACTACTGCTACTACTGCTGCTGCTACTGCTACTACTACAATTGCTGCTACTACTACTACTACTGCTACTACTACTACTACTGCTGTTGTTACCATAACGATTACTTCTACTATTTCTACTACCACCACTGCCACTACTCCTTCTACTACTACCACTGTTACTACCACTACTGCTATTGCTGCTACTACCACTACTACTACTATTGCTGCTGCTACTATTATTACTTCTACTACTACTGCTGCTGCTACTGGTACCACTACTGATACTACAACTACTGCTACCACTACTACTACTACTACCACTGCTACTACTACTACTACTACAACTACTACTATTGCTGATGCTACTAAAACCAATGTTGTTACTATAACTACTACTTCTACTACTACCACTGCCACTACTACTACTAGTTATACTGCCACTTCTACTACTACTACTAGCACTACTACCAAACTACTGATAGTACTACTACTGCCACTACCACTACTACTATTGCTGCTGATGATGCTACTACTACTACTACTACTGTCACTACCACTACTACTATTGCTGCTGCTGCTACTACTACTACTACTACTACCCCTACTACCACTACTACTATTGCAGCTGCTACTACTACTACTACTACTCCTACTACTCCTACTACCACTGTCACAACCTGTACTACTATTGCTGCTGATGCTACTATAACTACTCCTACTACTACTGTCACTACCACTACTACTATTGCTGCTGATGCTTCTACTACTACTACTACTACTCCTACTACTCCTACTACCACTGTCACTACCTGTACTACTATTGCTGCTGATGCTACTATAACTACTCCTAGTACTACTGTCACTACTACTACTTCTATTGCTGCTGCTACTACTGCTATTGTCACTACCACTACTACCATTGCTGCTGCTACTACTACTTCTACTACTACTACCACTGTCATTACCAGTACTACTATTGCTGCTGATGCTACTACTACTACTACTCCTACTACTACTGTCACTACCACTACTACTATTGCTGCTGATGCTACTACTACTACTACTACTACTACTACTACTCCTACTACTACTTTCACTACCACTACTACTATTGCTGCTGATGCTACTACTACTACTACTACTACTACTCCTACTACTACTGTCACTACCACTACTACTATTGCTGCTGCTACTACTACTACTACTACTACAACTACTACTACCACTGTCATTACCAGTACTACTATTGCTGCTGGTGCTACTACTACTACCACTGTCACTACCACTACTAGTATTGCTGCTACTACTACTTTTACTACTACTATTGCTACTACTGCTGCTACTGCTACTACTACTATTGCTGCTGCTACTACTACTGCTACTACTACTACTTCTTCTACTACTACCACTGTCACTACCACTTCAACTATTGCTGCTGCTACTACTACTACTACTACTACTACTACTACCACTACTGCTACAACAGCTGCTGATACTACAACTACTCCTACTACTACTAATACTACTATTGCTACTACTGCTGCTACTGCTACTACTACTATTGCTGCTGCTACTACTACTACAGCTACTACTACTTCTACTACTACTACTACTGTCACTACCACTACTACTATTGCTGCTGATGCTACTACTACTACTACAACTAGTCCTACTACTACTACTACTACTATTGCTACTACTGCTGCTACTGCTACTACTACTATTGCTGCTGCTACTACTACTACCACTACTGCTACTACTACTACTACATCACTATTGCTGCTACTGCTACTACTAATATTGCTGCTGCTCCTACTACTACTACTTCTACTACTACCACTGTCACTACCACTACTACTATTGCTACTGCTACTACTACTACTACTACTACTACTACCACTGCTGCTGCTACTACCACCACCCCCTCTCCCACTACCCCTACTACTGTTGCTGCTACTACTACTACTGCTACCACTACTATTGCTACTAACACTTCTGTTACTATAACTACTACTACTACTTCTACTACTACCACTGCCACTACTACTACTACTACTACTACTGCCACTGCTGCTGCTACTACCACCACTACCTCTACCACTACCACTACTACTGTTGCTGCTACTACTACTACTACTACTACTACTGCTACTACCACTGCTGTTACTATAACTACTACTACTACTTCTACTACTACCACTGCCACTAATACTACTACTACTAATACTACTACTACTGACACTGCTACTGCTACTACCACCACTACCTCTACCACTACTACCACTACTAATGTTGCTGCAACTACTACTACTACTACTACCACTACCACTACTACTACTACTACCACTACTGCTACTACTACTACTACTACTACTACTACTACCACTACTGTTACTACTACTTCTACTACCTCTACCACTACCACTACTACTGTTGCTACTACCACTACCACTACCACTACTACTACCACTACTGCTACTACTACTACTACTACTACTACCCCTACTGTTACTAGTTCCAGGATAAGCTACATTCGTAGGACAACATCAAGCAAGCTATCAGGAGATCACTTAAGGGACCTGCTGCCAGAGTGTTATTTAGGTTAGGCCCACAAGTTGATGGAATCTCTATTTTAGCCAAGATGGACAGCGACTTTGGCGATGTGGATGCGACGGAGACACTCTTAGCCAAGTTCTATTCTGCCAAACAGACCGAGACTGAGTCAGTAGCTACCTGGGCCGTGCGTCTGGATGATCTTTTGGGACAGGCCATAGATGCAGGAGAAGTAGAATCTCACAAGTAAGACCGGATGCTTAGATCCTTGCTATGGACAAGACTTTTTGCCTAACTTAAAGGACATTTCCAGCCACAAGTACGACCAGAGCCTCACCTTCAGTGATCGTCCAATCAGCCTCAGAAAAGTAGAACAGGAATTAAAGACACTGAAGAGCCCCTGTCTACTACTCCCACTTCTACTGTTACTAAGAAGAATCCTATTCCTGGTATGGCGGCTGTCTCCAAGGAAATCAAGGAATTGGCAGAGGTCAAGGGGATGATCAGAAAACTTTCAGGTAAAATGGCTGAGAAGAAGTACGACAACCCTCTCAAGCACAGACACAACCCTCAGTTGAATTCGAGGTGCATAGTATCCACCTTTTCGGGCAGTCCATGAGATGCCATGGCAACCTCAAGGTCCTCCAGTTCGGTTTTCATCCCCTGCTTCTATTCAGGCTCGGAAGAATGCACGGGGACAGCAAGCCTTTCACCCAAGGACAGTTCGGCCAAGGCAGGATGGACAACTGATGCATATGGACAGCCTACTCCCATCTTCTACCATTGTGGACAAGCTGGACACGTCAGCTACAAGTGTACAGTTAGGATGGACCACAGCTTGAACCCGTTAAACTTAGGAGGATGTGCTTTTATTCAGGCTCGGAACAATGCAGCAAGCCTTTCACCCAAGGAAAGTTCGGCCAAGGCAGGATAGACAACTGATGCCTATGGACAGCCAATTCCCATCTGCTACCGCTGTGGACAAGCTGGACACGTCAGCTACAAGTGTACAGTTAGGATGGACCAGAGCTGGAACCTGTTAAACTGAGGAGAATCCATAATGTGGGACAAGTTATGGATTTCAGTGTACAGGGTCCCAAAGATGGTGATATAACTGGCCTTGTGGGTACTGCATCAGAAGTGGAAGTTGCCGTTTATGGGGTGAACACAAAAGCCGTACTGGATACCAGAGCTACAGTTTCAACCATGAGCGAGTCCTTCCATCGAGATCCCCTGTCCCACCTCCCTATACAGCCACTTAAAGGTATCCTGCATGTACAGTGTGCTGATGGTAAGCCATTACCATATTCCGGAGATGTAGAGACACCACTTAGGTAACCAGTATGTCACCAGCTGACCAGCAAGGTTTATTTCTTGTTGTTCCCGACAGTGACAACAACGAGAACGCACCTGTTCTTATTGGCACAAACATTTTGCATGTGCTTATGGTCATGGGAACATATTGTTACAGCGTGCTAATCTATTTAGCCCCTGGTACCTTGCCTTCAGATGTCTTGTACTTAGGGAGAAGGAGTTAGTCAAGCGCCAGAATAGGTCAGCTGTAGTGAAGAGCGCTGAGTTCAAGAGATTTATCATCCCACCTAATAGTGAAGTAAAGATTCATGGATATCTGGATAAACCTCTTGATTATCACTCCACTTGTGCTGTACTATACTCTACAAAGACTTCCACAATACCAGATGACCTTGACATTGCCCCAAGTCTAGTCTCCTACAACAGTAAACAGAAGATGGGAGTTGATGTCTACATCTGTAATGTCACCACCAGGACCGTTTCTACACCACCAAATGCAATACTTTGTCAAGTACAGCCAGTGGCCATTGAAGACATACCAAGACACCTGCCACTAGTGATGGACTAGTGATTGAGAAGATGGACTGTGACTCCTGATGAACTGGTCAGAGGCAAAGATGTTATCAGACAGCACTTGGACATCTTCTCAACTGGGGATACAGATGTTGGTTACACTGACAGGGTGGTACATAGGATGAAGCTGACTGATGAGTGCCATACCGCATTCATACAGTTTTAGGTTTTGAAAATGTTTAAGTAATAATTTAGTTTAGTAAAGTGTACACTGACCATGCAGTATTTAAGTAGATAACATATTGTACATATGTATTACAATACAGTTTAGATTGACTCAAAACTTGACTACTTGCTACTACTACTACTACTACTACTACTACCACTGCCACTACCACTATTGCTGCTGTTCCTACCTTTACTAGTACTTCTACTATTGCTGCTACAACTACTACAACTTCCACTACTGCTACCACAAGCTACAATTCCTTCTGCTGCTACTACTACTACTACTACTACCACTACTACTACCACTACTACTACTATTGCAACTTGAAATACAACTTGGGTAATTGTTATTTATGAGTATACTAAATGTAATTCATAACCCGGAAGAAACCATTCAGGCCACAGGTTTAAATGAGCTCTGCCCTACACAGACGAGTAATAGAATGCTGGGGAACTAATTAATCTGGTTTGTTTGTTTGTTTCAGAAATACATGTTTCAGAGTCCCCTTCTTGGAATCTGAAATGCATGCATCGAACAAGCTAAATGAGCAGTTGAAGGATGGAAACTGACGACAACGTGCCACAAGATGGTGCTGTGGCTAGGCCTTCTACAGATACTGTAGCTGCCACAGAGGGAAGTCAGCAGCAGGGGGGACAACCCACTACAACATCAACACCAGATGGCGCCGTGGCTAGGCCTTCTACAGATACTGTAGCTGCCACAGAAGGAAGTCAGCATCAGGGAGGACAACCCACTACAACATCAACACCAGATGGCGCTGTGGCTAGGCCTTCCACAGATACTATAGCTGCCACAGAGGGAAGAGAGCAGCAGGGGGAACAACCCACTACAACATCAACACAAGATGGCGCTGTGGCTAGACCTTCTACAGATACTGTAGCTGCCACAGAGGGAAGTCAGCAGCAGGGGAGACAACCCACTACAACATCAACACAAGATGGCGCTGTGGCTAGGCCTTCTACAGATACTGTAGCTGCCACAGAGGGAAGTCAGCAGCAGGGGGGACAACCCACTACAACATCAACACCAGATGGCGCTGTGGCTAGGCCTTCTACAGATACTGTAGCTGCCACAGAAGGAAGTCAGCATCAGGGAGGACAACCCACTACAACATCAACACAAGATGGCGCTGTGGCTAGGCCTTCCACAGATACTATAGCTGCCACAGAGGGAAGACAGCAGCAGGGGGAACAACCCACTACAACATCAACACCAGATGGCGCTATGGCTAGACCTTCTACAGATACTGTAGCTGCCACAGAGGGAAGTCAGCAGCAGGGGAGACAACCCACTACAACATCATCACCAGATGGCGCTGTGGCTAGACCTTCCACAGATACTGTAGCTGCCACAGAGGGAAGTCAGCAGCAGGGGGCACAATCCATTTCAACAACCACCCACAACTACATAGGTGAGGCTGTATGCAGACTTTGCCTTAGTTTTCCTTTTTGAGGATAGCAAAAGGGGGGGGGGGGGGGGGTCATCAAGGCACCATAATTCACTGTGTAGAGTATCATCCCATGGTTGTTGGAGAACCCTATGATTGTGGGTTCCAGTTCAAATTTTACAGAATCAGAACTGTATTTTGGGTTTCCCCAAAGTGGTAATCATCTAAGACTTGCATCATTTCCCTCATTTAGCTGACATCCGTAACTCACTCACTCACTCACTTCAGTGGAGAGCCAGCCACACATAGACAAAACCAGGAATCTGACTAGAAGATGTTTAATTTCAGTGGAATATATCCTAACTTCATTCCCTCTTCACTCCAGATTGTAAAGTTTCACATTTTGACGTGTCCAACTCTCCTGGCATGGCAGTCGGGGATAGCAAACACCAAGGCTGTATATCTCAAGGTAGGAATTGTCAGTCTTAGATTTATCAACAAATTTGTATATAGCCAGCAGGGCTTGCTCCTTTCAAAAGTTACTGGTCCTTTTCCAAATTACCTGTCCTACAACTAAATGATGGAGGCCGTAAAGCAGCCGAACCTGAGTTCACAAAGTGACTGAGTTTCCCAGGAGGACTCCGAAAGTTTTAGAACTCCTCACCCCTAAAACATCTTTTCCTGCACTCTCAGATGTAAACTCCGCTTCCATTCGCCTCATTTCATGGCAAATTGTGACCAAATATTGGTGTTGTTGTTGTTGTACACGTCATTACAGAATGGTGGCCGGTCTTTCTACCAAGATGATCTGGATATATCATTTTTTTCTTTCCCCCTATATATTTTCTCATCAACATTACATGAGTCACGAGCAGTGTCCAATTGAATAAAGTAAATATACAGAGAGAATGGATGAAATATTGACTAGCCAGACGTGCCATCTAATGTACACGTCAGCAAGCCTAGGTAACTTTAACTGGCCACGGGCCAACGGGCCAGTAGTAAAATCGACCCCTGAAAGTAATGTAACCTTTTGTGTTTAAATGACCTTCTGGGTTTTTGACCCTTGGTTGTTTGTTATTTGGAGTAATAGAATATATCTCTAGTACATAGATTTACATAACTAATGTTTAGAATTATGCTTGCAGCAAAATAATCCGAGTTTTAGCAAACACTGAATTACAATTTTTATTTTTGAAAGAGAATAACAAAATATAATGTTCATATACCGGTAGCCATTATGTTTGTTCTCATTGTTTCCAGGGTGTCTGAGTGTCAGGATCAACCAGCTCAGTGATATGTTTGTGGAAACCCATGCTCTTGACAAAGCACAAGAACTTCTGAAAAGACACAACCACGTGGCCATCTGTGGAGCCCCTGGAGACGGGAAAACTACTGCAGCTCTCAGGATCTGTGAAGCATATATGAAGAAAAAGTATCAAGTATTGTTTGTTGAAAGTATTGAAGAGTTTGACAGTGATGTTATCATTGAACGAAAATTTGACATGCTGGTTGTGTTTGACGATGTGTTTGGTTCTGTTACATTTCCAAGCAGCTTGGAGAAGATACACAGAGTATTCAATGCCTTGGTTGATGTTTTACTGCGCTTTGCAAGAGACAAGGAACTGACAGCCGAAGAAAAACAAACCAAGAAGAAACATAACAAAAGCATGAAGAAGGAAGATGAGAAGCAATGTGAAGATGAAAAGACACCAATCTGTAACTACAAGCTTCGCTTTATATTCACATCCAGAAGCTACAACTGGAATGAAGGATGTGCAAGACTACATCAGTTCAAAGTTAATCTGTTTAAGCCGGAAGCCATGGTTGATATGATCAAGACCTGTTTAACCAGTGACGAAAAGAAACGTATCATGGCATTGTTCAGGAGTAGTCAAATGTGCGATATCTCCAGTAAGGACATGAAAACCATTACTCAGTTAAAAGACAGCATGTTTGGATATCCGTTGATGTGTAAGCTGTACTTCACCAACCCAGGGTTACAGATGCACAGACTTGTGGACTTCTTCCTGAAACCGTTGACCTACCTGAGAGGTGACCTTGACACCATTGTTCGTGAAGGCAGCAGTAGATCGGCAGCTCTGGTTCTCCTCGTCCTGTGTGGAGGGAAGTTGGACCTTATTTCCTTGATGATGGGGACAGACGAGAAGGTCAGAGATCTGCTCCACGTTGTAAAGGAGAAGGTAGCATCATGCACTGATGCAGACATCAGCAGAGAGATCAGCAACTTTACCGGCACCTACTGCATAATGGAAAATCATCTAGCCTCCTTCTCACATCCATCCATCCACGATGCAGCATCTTGTGCCCTGGGCAATCTCAACATTGTGTTATTAGTAAAGCATTGTTCTCTGCAGTTTTTATACGAAAGAGTTCGACTGAGCAAGACTGATTCTCTGCAGACAACCCAAACTGATGATGTTACAAACATGATCCAGATCACTTCCCGTCTTTACCCATTACTGATCAGCAGGCTGGTGGAGGGTATCCGGGAAGGATGCTTTAGATGGACAGTAGGCCACCCTGTATTCAGAAACGATCAGTTAGCATCCTCGCTGATGACGGAACTGGCCAATGACTTGCCTCATATAGTGCACCAAAAGGACAAGACATCTGGTGAATGTTTTCTATATTGGGTTTCCCTGTCAAATAATGATTTGTTGTTCCAAAGGTCACTCTTACTAATAATTAAGAATGGAAATCTTTCACATGAAAGTGTGATAGACCTGAATGACAGTGCCATAGGTTGCGTGAAAGCTGGCATTGTGAGGAACCTGCAACACATTGTTGTGGTGCTAAAGAAGCATGGGGAATTTGATGTAGACAGAAGGATGCAGACAAACAAAACACAGCTCATCATTGCTGCAGAGGCTGGACACTTGGATGTGTTCAACTTTCTATTGCAAGAAGGAGCAAATGTTTCAATGAGGGACAGGAAAGGAAACAACTGCCTTCATCATGCATGTCAATCTGGAAACAAAGATATTGTCGAAGTTGTTGTTGAGAAGTTTCCAGATATGACTGATGATCCTGATGGACTGGGAAACACATCTGCAATGTTGTGTGTGATGTCAGGACACGAAGAGATCCTGAAGGTCCTGGTGTCACACGGTGCTGATCTGAAAGGGCGAGGTTATAGGTATTCACATATGGCATGTGCAAGAGGTCATAGATCAATCGTCAGACAATTGTTGTCTTATGAAGATATCAACATTAATAAAAGAACAATATATCAACAGACACAAGTCATGATGGCAGCTGAAGCCGGACACTCTGATGTTTATGACCATCTTGTGTCAGAGGGAGCTGATCTCTCACTTACTGACATCATGCACAATGACTGTCTGATGTTGGCATGTAAGGGAGGAAAAATGTCTATAGTTAAGCACCTCCTGTCCTTGAAAACATTCAACATCAACAGGAGAGATAGGTTGGGGAGTACACCAGTCATGATGGCAGCTAAAGCCGGACATTCTGATGTTTATCACCTTCTTGTGTCAAAGAGAGCTGATCTTTCACTTACTGATGACAGGGACAGAGACTTTCTGATGTTGGCATGTGAGGGAGGAAAAATGTCTATAGTTAAGCACCTCCTGTCCTTGAAAAAATTCAACATCAACAGGAGAGATAGGTTGGGGAGTACACCAGTCATGATGGCAGCTAAAGCCGGACATTCTGATGTTTATCACCTTCTTGTGTCAAAGAGAGCTGATCTTTCACTTACTGATGACAGGGACAGAGACTTTCTGATGTTGGCATGTGAGGGAGGAAAAATGTCTATAGTTAAGCACCTCCTGTCCTTGAAAACATTCAACATCAACAGGAGAGATAGGTTGGGGAGTACACCAGTCATGATGGCAGCTAAAGCCGGACATTCTGATGTTTATCACCTTCTTGTGTCAAAGAGAGCTGATCTCTCACTTACTGATGACAGGGACAGAGACTTTCTGATGTTGGCATGTGAGGGAGGAAAAATGTCTATAGTTAAGCACCTCCTGTCCTTGAAAAAATTCAACATCAACAGGAGAGACAGGTTGGGGAGTACACCAGTCATGATGGCAGCTAAAGCCGGACATTCTGATGTTTATCACCTTCTTGTGTCAAAGAGAGCTGATCTTTCTATCACGGAACTGTTCTGGGTGAACAATACCTTCAAAATGACGTGCTGGTTTTCTTGGGGAATTAGTCAGCAAAGAGCCAGAGTCACAGGAGACTAATCACAATTTTATTTTCAAGAACAATTAACAATTTACAATATCTTAGAATATAACTTAGGGTGCCACAGAGAGTCGGTACACACTCTGGGCTGTGGGAGAGAGGTCTGCTTGGTAAGAGAGTCAAACCCCTTCTCTGCCTAAAACCTGCCTACAGTATGTATTTAACAAAAATTTAAACAATAAAATGGAATGTGATTGGATGATACACGATTGGTTGTGTCCTAAGCTAAATGGATGGCTAGACAGAGGGGAATACTAAATCCTGTTTATCCTGTTGGACTGGCACTAATCTTGTTGACATATTTACTGGATGCTTTGAAAGAAATTAGGGTGTCACTATAGATGAGCTTGTATGGGGGCTAATCCTTAATGCACTATAGACGAGCTTGTATGGGGGCTAATCCTTAATGAGTCTTAATTGAAGTAATGTTATTCTAATATACCCCGGTAGGTGATGACAGATATACTTAAATAAATATCCTTTGTCTGGGAGATGGGATCTTGATACCTTTGGCTAGCATTTATCTAAAAGCTTCAAATCAATTAAACTATGTAGACGTAACTCTTGTCTTATTGAATAGTATGTCTAGAAGACGCGCTCCCATTACCTTAGGCTAGCAACCATCTAAAAAGCTTTAACTGAAACTACTGATATTTTATATATGCATTTTACCTAATGATAATTATTACTTGCTAAACTATAATTATATGAAAGGATGTATAAATATTACGCCATGATAACTCATAAAAGCACTTGATGTAGATCTAATTATTATAAGATAACTTAGTATAAATGTTATCCCATGATAACTTCCCCTCCGTCTGAAAAAGTTTGGACCCCAAACGTGTAAAAATAAAAATAATTAAGGCTTAGATGGACAATGTATAAAGTTAAACTGGTAGTAGTGAATAATAATTATTATAGAGTCTCTTTGATATAAGGAAACATAATATAAAAATGCTGTCATAAGGGGTTCTGGATGTGGAGCTGGCTTGTCTTGGCACTCTGTACTGGTGGTTTTATGGGTGATGTAGGAGGCCTTGAGTTCCACATCCTGGATTGGGGTTGTAAGGTACTAGGCTGTGTCCATGGAGGTTTTACATGGAAACAAAGAAAAGAGAGTTAGCATGTTCAAATAATATGTCATATATAAATACTTCCTCAGTTTGTCTGTAATAACTAGAAAATAAAACAAATATGATAATTATGATGTAAAAGATCAGTGCATAATTATTACTAAACGGTGTCATGACCAGGAAGAATGTATTGGCGGCAAATTACAAAGGTTTATCATGAAAAAAATAGTAATATCCTTCTACTTTTGGATACAATCATTAGACACATTATATGTGCATGTGCATATAACAAGTGCATTGATTTGTTACATTAATACGGTATACAAAAGGTGTATATCATTGTTAGTTTTCGTAACTATTTGGTTTGCCTTTTCTTTGTTTTGGTTCATTTCGGTTGTTAAGTTTGCTTTATTTGAATTTGGTTTGTTTCGCTTTGATTTTCCTTCGGTTCAATGCGATAGGGTTTGGTTTATTTTGCTTCGGTATGGTTTGGGTTCGATTCCCAGTATGGTTTGGTTCGCTTCGGTACGGTTTGGGTTCGATTCCCAGTATGGTTTGGTTCGCTTCGGTACGGTTTGGGTTCGCTTCCCAGTATGGTTTGGTTCGCTTCGGTACGGTTTGGGTTCGCTTCCCAGTATGGTTTGGTTCGCTTCGGTATGGTTTGGTTCGCTTCGGTACGGTTTGGGTTCGTGTCATTTCACTTCGGTACGGTTTGGGTTCGCTTCGGTACGGTTTGGGTTCGATTCCCAGTATGGTTTGGTTTGTGTCATTTCACTTCGGTACGGTTTGGGTTCGCTTAGGTACGGTTTGGGTTCGATTCCCAGTATGGTTTGGTTTGTGTCATTTCACTTCGCTTTTGAGATTGGTTGATCAGGTCAATGCTCAAAATTTGTTGTGATACAAATAACTCAGATGATCAGGCTGATGCCATTTGTTCTCAACTGGCGACCCATAGTGAAAAGACTGGACACAAGAAAACATAACAAGATACAGCTAATAGCTGTTTCGTGATTTGCACCGTTTATTCAGGAGATTTTGTATTTTGATCAAGAATATGTGCAATTGGCAGATATCAGAATATATGGGGAGTAGATCACCGTATGGTTGAGTGGTACCACATTCTGTGTAATTCAGATATGATTCACGGTAGAAAAAGGTGTTGATATTTCCAAAGTCTTTATGTGGAAAAATACCCCTTTTGGATTTATAAATTGGTGCTTCCTCTGGATCGTATGGAGGATTATCTTCTAGACAGGACCAATTTCGGAGATCCTGCCAGCTATCATCAAGGTAGCGCTGTATGAGGTGGGGAGGAACACTTTCAAAATAGCATGTGTGGACAGTATCAGGATGTTCTTTATATGAGACCTTGACATAGCAGTCTCCTTGAATAATTTCAATGCCCAGAACTCTTTCTATTTTATGTTCTACTCTTCGTAGGTGTTTGGGAAAAAACGGATGTGGTTTGACATTTAATTCTATGCATGGTTTGGTGTTGTCTTGCTTGACATTTCCTGACATTGTATTCCCTGACAGAACATTGACTGATTTATTGTCTAGTGCTGATTCCTTTTGGTCGAAAAACTTATGATTCTTCAGTGGACGTTTTCGTCGTTTTCCTGACATACTTCTTTTGAGGTGAAATTCTCTCCGAATGGAGTCTGGAATGCTGCTGCCATACTCCCATGTGTTTCCTCTTTCTGGATCCTTCCATTTTACTCTGTAGTAGATTTTGCCATTAGCTCTCTTGGAACTAACAATTGAGTGGATGTCCTCTGGATTGAAGACCTGAGGGATGTCCTTGGTTTGATAACCTGATGTTGGACTTGGAGGTTGTACCTGGCTGTCGTCGGGTTGTTTTCTGGATTTGGGCTGGTGATGCTTACTATTCACTCCTCTTTTCCCTTTATTTACCTTTTCATTTACCTTGGTTGGAGCACTAGGACCTGGTGTGGCATGATTTTCCTTCATGGTTGCCGTGGGACTGGTAGGTTTTTCTGTTGTACTTGAAGCAGGGTTTTTCTTCTTTGTTGGGGTCTTTTGCTTCTGACTCTTGTTGCTGGAAGTACCTGCCTTTGTTTTGGAATTGACCTTCTTACCTTTCTGTTGTGGAGGTGATTGATCAGTAGCCTGGTAAGTTGAACTTGTTGATGGGGAATTGTTGCTGTCAAACTGAGTATCATTGACTGGTTCCTCGTTGTCATCCATGACTCCTGAATCTATGTCACTGGGGTTATTGAGGTATGGTTCTGGAGGATACTGCGGACGATCAGCAGGATCAAAATATGGCTTCAGACGGTTGGCATGGACCAGTGGTTTGTGTATTTTGTCATCAGAACTTCGGCGCAGTTTGTAGGTATAATTTGGACCTGTATGGATGATATAATAGCTACCATACCACTTTTTGGTTAATTTGTTGGAAAGGCCTTTTTCAACTTTTTGACAGTAAAGCCAAACTCTTTGACCTGGGGCGAATTCTGGTTCTTTAGCATTTCTATTATATTGTTCTGAATACACCTCCTTAGCCCGAGCAGTGTTTTCAGCTGCGATTGTTCTAGTGATTTCAAGCTCCTCAAGCAAATTGGAAAGATAACTTTTGTTATTGTGGCCTAAATTTTCTTTTGGAATTAATGATACATCTTGTGGAGCTCTCATTTCCCGGCCGAAAAGCATAACATATGGGGATTTTTGAGTTGATGAATTTGGAGCCATCCGATAGGCCATCATGATGCCAGGAATGAAACGGGGCCAATCATTTTGAGACTTGTTACAGTAGGCTCTTAGTGATTGATTGATATAAGAGTTGAGCCTTTCTACACAGCTGTTAGTTTGAGGATGGTATGGGCTGGTATGGGTAAATTTAATTGCCAAAAGTTCACAAATTGCTTTGATAAGTTTGGACATGAAGTTCTGACCTCTGTCTGAAATTAAGGTCCTTGGAGCGCCATACCGACAAAATATTTCTCTGACGAGAACATCTGCTACTTCTTTGGCTTCTTGGGTCCGAAGTGGAAAGGCTTCACACCATCTAGATGATGCATCTGTGATGACCAAAATGTATTTGTACTTATCTGGTGTTGTTGGCAGGGGACCGAGAATGTCAACGTGCCATCGGGTGAAGACCTCTTCTACAGGTAGTGGACGAAGTGGTGCCTTCTTGCCATGGTAGTGCCTCTTGGTCTGTTGACATACCTCACATGTCTGGACATAAGTAGCAATATCGCTGTACATTTTGGGCCAGTAGTACTTAGGTCTCATGGTGTTGTGCATCCTTTCTTTCCCATGATGGCAACCACCAAACTCTGAGTCATGATAGGATTGCAGGACTTGATTTCTGAGGGTTCTTGGGACTGCCAGCTGTTTAATGAACTTGTCTGCGTGGCCTTTCTGTCTTTGTGGAACGAATCGGTATAGGATGCCTTCATCAATTTCAAAAGTATTGGCTTCAATAAGAATCTTTTGACGATCCTTTTCATTTTGTGGAAGGACTTCATCCTCTTTGTAGTCAAAGATTTGGATGAAATCTGGACAAATCCTTTGTAGGTGACGTAAATTTGGATGTTCTTTTATACTTACTTCAACCAATGTGTCTTGGGTAACATCAGCATTTGTAGCATGTAATGCTGCGACAACATTAACTGGTACTGACTGATAATCCTCTTCATATTCAAAGGTGACTGACCAATGTGTTGTCTGTGTGTCTGATTCTAAGTGATTGACAATAGGTGTGCAAATATCCTCAGTCTGAGTTGTCTGTGTGACTTGTGTGGATGAATGGGTGTTTGGCAAGATTGTGGTACTGCTAGTTGATTTGCTTTGCTGAGTTGAAGTTACTGAGAAGACTGTTTTCTCAGCATCTTCTTCTGTCTGATCATTACAGTTAATATTTTCCTCATATTCCCTACGTGAGAGAGCATCGGCATTCCCATTGGCTTTGCCGCTGCGGTGAACAATGTCAAAAGTGTAGGTAGAAAGTTCCAAAGACCATCGTCCTAACCTACCTGTGGCATCCTTGATGGATTTCAGCCACTTCAATGCTATATGATCAGTGTAGACTGTGAATTTGGAATTTGCAAGGTATGGACGAAAGGATCTAATGGCTTCAACTAGAGCTAAGCCTTCCTTTTCTGTAATGCTCCAGTTCTTTTCGCTGCCATGAAGAGCTCTACCACCAAAAGCTATTGGATGTTCATTATTCTTCTCGTCTTTTTGACTCAAAACAAAACCTATGCTCATATCACTGGCATCAGTTGCGAGAAGAAATTCTTTGTCAAAATTTGGATAAACCAGAACAGGTGTATTGCTCATAGCATGTTTGAGTGTGTTGAATGCCTGATCACACTCAAGTGACCATTGGAACTTTGGTTTCTTTCCTACTTCTGCCTCTGAATGCTTCTTTAGCAAGGCATTCAGTGGAAGCGCTATGTGAGCGTAATTTTTCACATACTTCCTGTAGAAGTTTGTGAGACCTAAGAAGGAGCGAATCTGCTTTTGTGACTTGGGCACTGGAAAGGTTCTAATTGCTTCAATCTTTTTGTCATCAACTTGAACACCTCCACATGATAAAACATGACCCAGAAAAGATACTTTGTCCGTTGCAAAATTGCATTTGGATGGCTTTAGTGTTAATTTTGCCTGTTTCAGATAGTAAAATACTTGCTCCAAATGTTGAAGATGCTCTTCAAAGTTTTTGCTGTAAATTATCAAATCATCAATGTAGATCAGCGCAACCTTAAAAAGCAATTTTCGTAGCACTTTGCTCATGAGCTGTTGAAAACAAAGTGGAGAATTTGTCAAACCTTGGGGCAATCGTTTGAATTGATAAAGGCCTTGATGGGTGACGAAAGCAGTTTTATGCTTTGAATCTTCATGTAATGGCACTTGGAAGAAGCCATTAGCAAGGTCTAAAGTTGAGAAGATCTTAGCTTGTGCATTGGCGATGTTATCAACAACATCATCAAAAACAGGAAGAGGCCATGACATTGGTAAAGTGACAGAATTCAACTTTCTGTAGTCACAAACAAATCTATATGAGCCATCACGTTTCTTGACTAGGATAATTGGAGCTGAATACATAGAAGTTGACTCCTCGATCAAATCATACTTCAGAAAATCATCTATAAGTTCTTCAGTGACTTTTTGGAGATGAGGAGATTGACGATATGGTCTACTCTTAACGGGTGGGTGGTTGCCAGTGTTAATGGTATGATGGTGCAGGTCAGTCTTACCTAAATCTGCAAGACTTGTTGAAAACATGTTTCTATTTTGTCCCAAAAATCTAAGTAGTCTGTGTCGTTGGTCTGGAGTCAGTTGTGTATTGGTCAAATCAAATCCCAACTCCTGTGCAATTTTGACATAATCCCTGGTGTCATTGTCTCTCTTCTCATTGTCGGTGTTAATGGTACTGATGAATGGTTGGTCAGAGCCGATTTCAAAAACAGAGTCTTTGTCAATGTAACTAAATTTGCCTACAACTGTACCCTTGTCAAGAACCTTTTCTTCTTGGGAGGGATTCATAAGCCTAAATGTAGCAGTCTTGCTTTTTGATTTAGAAAGAGTTCTACCGCCTGCTACATTAGAATGAGCAGTGAGGGAAGCAATGGGTTCAATGAGGATGAGGGAATCCTCTTTGGTCTCTGATAGTCTGACCTTGAAATGAATTTCACTCTGAGGGGGGATGTAAATCTGATCTATTGTTTTTGCTAATCCACTAATCTCACGCACTGAATTGGCTATGAAATTGATATATTGCCTATCTGAGGTGCTGTTGTTGAGTATCAAGAAATGACAGCTATAATCTAAGACTGCATCATTGTCATCAAGGAAGTTCTCACCTAGTATCACTGCCTTCGGCAGTGTAGGCAGTACATAGAATCTTTGAGAAAATTCCTGATCCTCAATGACAAAATCTAACACAACTGAACCTAACACTTTAATTCGCCGCCAACACCTTTTACCTGTGGAAAGGGTGAGTTTCCAAGAGTAAGGTTTTCAAAAGCTGTGCTCAGAAAAGCAGACGAAATACAACAAATGGATGCCCCTGTGTCTACTAAACAATTTGTTGTTGTTGTGCCAAATTTTGCCTGAATTACACTTTTGGCAAGGGGCGTAACTAAAGACACTGTTGGAATTTCACTTTCAAAGTTACTTTCCATACCAGACTCCATATTTGCCATGACACCTATTAGTATGTACCGTACTAAATTAAAGGATGACAAGAAATCAACAATGTATTACTTACAATATTTGAAGACTTTTTCTTCCTTTGTTGGTGTCTTTGGAGGAGTTGGTTGTCTTTAATCCAGTGTTGAGGTCAGAGGTTGATGCAGCTTGCTTGTTATTCCATCAGATGATCACAGTTGGACATGTCCTCCAATGGGTTCTTGTAGCTGGTCGTAGTTAGTTCCTGGACTCTGTGGTTCCGAAAACGATGATTCTCCGCCAAATTATCACAGAACTGTTCTGGGTGAACAATACCTTCAAAATGACGTGCTGGTTTTCTTGGGGAATTAGTCAGCAAAGAGCCAGAGTCACAGGAGACTAATCACAATTTTATTTTCAAGAACAATTAACAATTTACAATATCTTAGAATATAACTTAGGGTGCCACAGAGAGTCGGTACACACTCTGGGCTGTGGGAGAGAGGTCTGCTTGGTAAGAGAGTCAAACCCCTTCTCTGCCTAAAACCTGCCTACAGTATGTATTTAACAAAAATTTAAACAATAAAATGGAATGTGATTGGATGATACACGATTGGTTGTGTCCTAAGCTAAATGGATGGCTAGACAGAGGGGAATACTAAATCCTGTTTATCCTGTTGGACTGGCACTAATCTTGTTGACATATTTACTGGATGCTTTGAAAGAAATTAGGGTGTCACTATAGATGAGCTTGTATGGGGGCTAATCCTTAATGCACTATAGACGAGCTTGTATGGGGGCTAATCCTTAATGAGTCTTAATTGAAGTAATGTTATTCTAATATACCCCGGTAGGTGATGACAGATATACTTAAATAAATATCCTTTGTCTGGGAGATGGGATCTTGATACCTTTGGCTAGCATTTATCTAAAAGCTTCAAATCAATTAAACTATGTAGACGTAACTCTTGTCTTATTGAATAGTATGTCTAGAAGACGCGCTCCCATTACCTTAGGCTAGCAACCATCTAAAAAGCTTTAACTGAAACTACTGATATTTTATATATGCATTTTACCTAATGATAATTATTACTTGCTAAACTATAATTATATGAAAGGATGTATAAATATTACGCCATGATAACTCATAAAAGCACTTGATGTAGATCTAATTATTATAAGATAACTTAGTATAAATGTTATCCCATGATATTTCACTTACTGATGACAGGGACAGAGACTTTCTGATGTTGGCATGTGAGGGAGGAAAAATGTCTATAGTTAAGCACCTCCTGTCCTTGAAAACATTCAACATCAACAGGAGAGATAGGTTGGGGAGTACACCAGTCATGATGGCAGCTAAAGCCGGACACTCTGATGTTTATCACCTTCTTGGGTCAAAGAGAGCTGATCTCTCACTTACTGATGACAGGGACAGAGACTGTCTGATGTTGGCATGTGAAGGAGGTAAAATGTCTATAGTTAAGCACCTCCTGTCCTTGAAAAGATTCAACATCAACAGGAGAGATAGGTTGAACCGTACACCAGTCATGATGGCAGCTAAAGCCGGACATTCTGATGTTTATCACCTTCTTGTGTCAGAGGGAGCTGATCTCTCACTTACTCATTACAGGGACATAGACTGTCTGATGTTGGCATGTGAGGGAGGTAAAATGTCTATAGTTAAGCTCCTCCTGTCCTTGAAAACATTCAACATCAACAGGAGAGATAGGTTTGGGAGTACACCAGTCATGATGGCAGCTGAAGCCGGACATTCGGATGTTTATCACCTTCTTGTGTCAGAGGGAGCTGATCTCTCACTTACTGATGACAGGGACAGAGACTGTCTGATGTATGCATGTGAGGGAGGTGACATGTCTATAGTTAAGCACCTCCTGTCCTTGAAAACATTCAACATCAACAGGAGAGATAGGTTTGGGAGTACACCAGTCATGATAGCAGCTAAAGCCGGATACTCTGATGTTCATGATGTACTTGCGTCAGAGGGAGCTGATCTATCTGGTGTTAACAAGTAATGGAGATCACCTACCTGTATAAAAGAACCTCTAACCATTGAAAATGTTTGACATAAAGATGGGGAATTGAGAATGAAACGTCAGGTATGGTTGCAGAAAACCTCCTGATCTGTATGTACTCCAGACTTTAACCTGTTATCTTTTATCTTATCCTGCATTACTACTAAATGCAATACCTGCTGACATTTGACAGAAGCGAGCTGTGTGTGGTCCAGGCAAAGAGAAAAAGTTGTTCCAACCAACCTGATGCAGGACCAAAGCGCAGTACCCTGGTGGCCCCGGACGCGATGATGTCAAACAACTGCACATTACTGCTTGTCACAGGACAGACATGTTGCTTCAGTAAATCATCCAGTGTGATTTTCTGTCTTTGGTGCCTTCTTGTTGTTCCAATCCACCATTTTGACTTTCTTTACGTGTTTTCGTGGCATATGTCTTTCAGTGTGGCGTGGTCATGTTACATGTTAAATTCATTTAGGCTCAAATACCTTTCAAGTGTTTTACACTTTCTTATTGTACTGTTTAATCTAAATTACACTTTGTGTTTATTCCATTAACTTGGATAATCTCGGATCATTCTGTCTTCAGGTTCAATTTATGATTGCTCATGGTATCAGTTGCCTTGATTAAAAATCTTTAACACATCCTCACCGACGTTGCCTTAATTATGCACATATTTGTACTATTGATTTGATGTGTGATTATTGTACGCCCTTTCAAGCTTTCACAGTTATCAGGAGGTCTCATGTCTTGCTCAGCAGGCCCAGTGGCATTCCAGGAGATTGTCAGAAGGTGATCTGTTCTCAATATCTTGTATGGCCACCATTAGAGTCTAGAACTGACTGGCATCGTCTTCCCATGGAAACAATCAGATCCTGAATTGTGGCCTGGGAAATGTTCACATGCAAATGAAAACCCAACGTGTTTATAGCCCAACAAGTGATGTTGCATGTGCATGTCATGCTGCTGTGTTTCGGCGATTGTGTTTGTTGTTTGTCGCCAGTCTGCAATATTCCAGCTGTATCATGGTGGCTTTATGGAGAAATCTGTCTCCACGCAGATCGTAGACATCTACCGTTTTCATGAATCCCATGATTATGAGTGTGGTGCTGTCAAATCAAGGATCCCTATCTGAATAGAATCGTGTAATTGAATCATCCAAGCATGGATATTATCCCAAACTTGATTTTCAAATGATGCCTTTTGTGCCAACTGGCAATGAATTTGACTACATTACAATACCATTTGTATCCAGAGCTTACACAATTTTGTTGAAAATTACAATAATTTAATAGGTACAGCGAAACCCTATTATTATTCTCCGCCACAAAGTGGAAGGGGGATATAGGAATGGGTGCTGTCCGTCCGTCTGTCTGTCACATTTCGTTTCCGGAACAGATCTTCAAAAATGTTCTGTACTTCTTCAACAAACTTGGCACATAGATAGGTCTAGTGGTGAACTGGTGCCTTTTGATAGTTTGGAATTTAAAAAAAAAAAAAAAAATTCAAGTTTCCATGGCAACGACTTTTACATAGATAATGGCGATAGTCTCAGATCTTGAAAACCGTACCATATTTCTTCACCAAACTTGGCACATAATGTCATATCACAGTATTCTTGTTGGTAAGTTCTGCATTGCTTGAGTGAATGTTCCTCCAAAAGTGTCATGGACACAGTTGTTGCATTCACTGACTAATTTCGTGCAGGAACACAACTCATTACAAATACAACAGTGTAACTGATCTTAAACCTACTCACCTGTATAAACACTGCCTCCTATCCTGTATATATTCTTGTCAACCATACTCTGTACTTCACTTGCTTTATAACGGTGTTAGAACCTACACCAAAACCATCGCTCCTAATTGTAATAAAGAAGTTGTTCGTCCATATGTCTCATCCTTTATCATTACAAATACAGTTACATATTCTATCATAAACTGCAGATGGCAAAACAATGCCAGTAATAACTTTTCTTAGTGCTGCAATTAGGCCATTTACAAACAGGCCCAGTGAACATAGTTCACAGGAGCTTATGCATTGCACACACCCGACATGTCATATTAGCGGGGGATGTGAGTATTTCATGCTTGTTTTGGATGCAACATTCACGAAAACATTTTTGTCTGTATTTGTTGGTTGGTTGGTTTGTTGTTTAACGCCGCTCTCAGCAATATTACAGCTATATGAGGGCGGTCTGTAAATAATCGGGTCTGGACCAGCCAATCCAGTGATTGATTTCATGAGCATCAATCCACGCAATTGGGATACGATGACATGCATCAACCAAGTCAGCGAGCCTGACCACCCGATCCCGTTAGTCGCCTTGTACGACAAACACAATCACCTTTTACGGCAAGCATGGGTTGCTTTTTTGTCTGTATTAACAATACCTGGATTAACGAATTAGTGGTAATGAGTAAGGTATCCGTGCCCCACATGACAATGACAGTCATGAGTAAGATATCCGTGCCCCACATGACAATGACAGTCATGAGTAAGATATCCGTGCCCCACATGACAATGGAAGTCATGAGTAAGGTATTCGTGCCCCACATGACAATGACAGTCATGAGTAAGGCATCTGTGCCACACATGACAATGGAAGTCATGAGTAAGGCATCTGTGCCCCACATGACAATGACAGTCATGAGTTAGGTATCCGTGCCCCACATGACAATGGAAGTCATGAGTAAGGTATCTGTGCCCCACATGACAATGGAAGTCATGAGTAAGGCATCTGTGCCCCACATGACAATGACAGTCATGAGTTAGGTATCCGTGCCCCACATGACAATGGAAGTCATGAGTAAGGTATCTGTGCCCCACATGACAATGGAAGTCATGAGTTAGGTATCCGTGCCCCACATGACAATGGAAGTCATGAGTAAGGTATCTGTGCCCCACATGACAATGGAAGTCATGAGTAAGGTATCTGTGCCCCACATGACAATGACAGTCATGAGTAAGATATCCGTGCCCCACATGACAATGACAGTCATGAGTAAGGCATCTGTGCCCCACATGACAATGACAGTCATGAGTAAGATATCCGTGCCCCACATGACAATGACAGTCATGAGTAAGGCATCTGTGCCACACATGACAATGGAAGTCATAAGTAAGGTATCCGTGCCCCACATGACAATGACAGTCATGAGTAAGGCATCTGTGCCACACATGACAATGGAAGTCATAAGTAAGGTATCCGTGCCCCACATGACAATGACAGTCATGAGTAAGGCATCTGTGCCACACATGACAATGGAAGTCATAAGTAAGGTATCCGTGCCCCACATGACAATGACAGTCATGAGTAAGGCATCTGTGCCACACATGACAATGGAAGTCATAAGTAAGGTATCCGTGCCCCACATGACAATGACAGTCATGAGTAAGATATCCGTGCCCCACATGACAATGACAGTCATGAGTAAGATATCCGTGCCCCACATGACAATGGAAGTCATGAGTAAGGCATCTGTGCCCCACATGACAATGACAGTCATGAGTAAGGTATCCGTGCCCCACATGACAATGGAAGTCATGAGTAAGGTATCCGTGCCCCACATGACAATGGTAGTCATGAGTAAGGTATCCGTGCCCCACATGACAATGGAAGTCATGAGTAAGGTATCCGTGACCGACATGACAATGAAAGTCATGAGTAAGGTATCTGTGCCCCACATGACAATGGAAGTCATGAGTAAGGTATCCGTGCCCCACATGACAATGGAAGTCATGAGTAAGGTATCCGTGACCGACATGACAATGAAAGTCATGAGTAAGGTATCTGTGCCCCACATGACAATGGAAGTCATGAGTAAGGTATCCGTGCCCCACATGACAATGGAAGTCATGAGTAAGGTATCCATGTCTCACATGACAATGGAAGTCATAAGTAAGGTATCCGTGCCCCACATGACAATGGAAGTCATAAGTAAGGTACCTTTGCCCCACATGACAATGAAAGTCATGAGTAAGGTATCTGTGCCCCACATGACAATGAAAGTCATGAGTAAGGTATCCGTGCCCCACATGACAATGGAAGTCATGAGTAAGGTATCCGTGCCCCACATGACAATGGAAGTCATGAGTAAGGTATCCGTGCCCCTACATGACAATGGAAGTCATGAGTAAGGTATCCGTGCCCCACGTGACAATGGAAGTCATGAGTATGGTATCCGTGCCCCACGTGACAATGAAAGTCATGAGTAAGGTATCCGTGCCCCACATGACAATTGAAGTCATGAGTAAGGTATCCGTGCCCCACATGACAATGAATGTCATGAGTAAGGTATCCTTGCCCCACATGACAATGGAAGTCATGAGTAAGGTATCCGTGCCCCACATGACAATTGAAGTTGTGAGTAAGGTATCCTTGCCCCACATGACAATGGAAGTCATGAGTAAGGTATCCGTGCCCCTACTGACAAAGGAAGTCATGAGTAAGGTATCCTTGCCCCACATGACAATGGAAGTCATGAGTATAGGATCCGTGCCCCACATGACAATGGAAGTCATGAGTAAGGTATCCGTGCCCCACATGACAATTGGGTGGACTAACGAGTCTATGCATAGTCCAATCAAAATCGCGCACTGAAATCGAAATCCAGTTCGTTAACTGTCGTGCAGACTTCAGTCGATTGCAGGATTTGCAAAACATGTGCACCGCCAACTCGTCAGCAGATATTTTCCAAATCTTTTCATGTTTTTAATCAAGGTGCTCATGTGATTTGATGTATTTCGCGATGTAAGACCCGTTTTATCACAATATAGATCTTGATTATCGAGCAGATTGTCCTGACTGGCGCCACCATTTTGGGTGAAACAAACGCAAATGATACGAGAGGTGGAATCTCATTGGTCCATAGGAGAGGCTTAGAGGGGACATGACTGGTAATAGCCACTGGTGGCACTATGATCGAGCCCAGTAATTCTAGCCAAGTTCGGCAAGGGTGGAAACTGGACTTTTATAGTCAGTTTACTCTCTTGCTTCGGGAAGATGCAGCATGTGGGATGAAATCCTCAAGTAGACCAGAGCACATGCGTCTCCCACTTCTGTGAGTCCTCAAGTAGACCAGAGCACATGCGTCTCCCACTTCTGTGAGTCCTCAAGTAGACCAGAGCACATGCGTCTCCCACTTCTGTGAGTCCTCAAGTAGACAAGAGCACATGCGTCTCCCACTTCTGTGAGTCCTCAAGTAGACCAGAGCACATGCGTCTCCCACTTCTGTGAGTCCTCAAGTAGACCAGAGCACATGCGTCTCCCACTTCTGTGAATCCTCAAGTAGACCAGAGCACATGCGTCTCCCACTTCTGTGAATCCTCAAGTAGACCAGAGCACATGCGTCTCCCACTTCTGTGAATCCTCAAGTAGACCAGAGCACATGCGTCTCCCACTTCTGTGAATCCTGTGACATTAACACAAAGACAAAGACTTCTTTTCTTCTCTTTTATTCACAACAACATCTTGTAATAAAACTGACTGAAAAGCACTGTTGATAAAATATCAATGACATGAGATAAGCACCTCGTTTCGACTTCACTAAAACAAACTGGCATTTTGTGAAATGAATTTAATTATTTCAGAATGTTATATCAAGCTTGATTTTTCTTAAGTAACAAAACACAGAAAATGAAATATTTCAAGCAGTTTATAGGGACCATCTTCCATTTTTACAATTGAGGGAAAAGATCTAACATCGATATCACTGCCACAAAACAGAAATTTGTGGAGATTTAAATTAGTGATACAAATGAAAAAAAACCATCAGTGACGACATACAGACTAAAGTGAGACAAATTATTTGACATTTTCCTGTCCTCAAACCCATCAATACCTTGTTCCTGGACTGATACATTCAAGATGCTGACTGTAATTAAGCAATCTACCATGTCTACAACTTGGACAGGTTTCCAAGCAGCACACCCACAAATGCCAAATGTTCCATCAACCTTACCCCCATCATATAATTCATATCACTAAATAAATTGTGGAAAAGTTGTCAACACATTGAACCTCTCTAAACATGAAGATGTAAGAATATAGGACTTCTATTTTCATCATAACATCCATTAACGAAATCCTAACTACACAGAACAACAAACAACAAGCATGGGATGCTGGTATGACATCTTTGTTCCAGATGAATGAGTGAGTGAATAGTTGTAGAATGCGGCAGTGATCAGTAACTTTCATCAAAGGAATCATTTATGGAGGGTGGTGGATATTTTCGAGAGAACGTTGGAGAGTTGCCAACGACAACAGAGACACAGTGTTACGTAAAGCACATGATGTAATGACTTACATTTGAACAAACAACTGAGTACAAATGAATAACTAGTGTGCATTGTTTTAGCACATGGTGCAATGATTTCACATAAAATAAATGTAATAAAACTGGAAGCCGTGTTATATCACACACTGGACTGTCAGTTTTAACACATGGTGTTCTCACACTGGAAGCAGTGCCACATCATGGTGATTTCTGATGTGTCACAAGACAAGATGATATAATGCATGCCATTCTGTAATTAGTGAGTGATTGAGTTGGGCTTAACGCCGCTTTTAATAGTATTCCAGTTATATCACGGCGTGTCAGCTTAATGTGGGAGGAAAGCCCGAAGTGATGCAGGTCTAAGATGCTTACCACTTCGGTGAAACCCACAGGCACGGGTATGGTGCTGACAAACCTAGAAACATAATCGGGGTGAACCGGGATTCGAACCCACAATTATAGGTTTCTGGTGTGTCCAAGGGACGCAACTCTGCCCAGCGAATCGCGGCGCCTTAGACGACTGGGCCACCTGTGGCCACCCTTTCTGTAATTAACATGTAGTTAATGTTACAGCTGTGGAAGAAGTGTTACATGACACATTGGAGTGTCATGACAAGACACTTTGTCAAAACACATTCTCCAAGTCATATGACAGGACATGTAACATGGTCAGACACATTGCATGACGACTTGATGTGACATACAATGTTATGTTATGACACATGACTCATGTGAGATAACACATATAACACCTGATAAGGGTCAGAGACATTATACAATGTTATGACGTGACACATGACTAATGTTACATAACACATATAACACCTGATAAGGGTCAGAGACATTATACAATGATATGACATGACACATGACTAGTGTTACATAACACATATAACACCTGATAAGGGTCAGAGACATTATACAATGTTATGACATGACACATGACTAATGTGACATAACACCTGATAAGGGTCAAAGACATTATACAATGTTATGACATGACACATGACTAATGTTACATAACACATGAGGTGATGCATGCATGATCTGTCAAGAAGGGCTGGAATGGGTAACTCGGGTACTCGGGTTGGGTGGGTACTGAGTAGGACCTGGGTGCCCACAGGACTACCCGGACCCGTGGTTAGTCACATGATTATATTGTTTAATGGCAAAAAATATTTAGAACTCTATAGTGACAATACAAGTCACACATTCCTTCTGACTTTATATGTTTGCATAATGATATAACTTCAGTCAACTTCGGATTATACGTGTATCTAAATTTATTTTGACAGGTGTACGGTCAAACGTTTCCCAATCAGACATTTTGTACCTCTCCCTTGAGCCCTACAGCGGGTACCTGGGTAGGGTCGGGTAACAGGGGGTAGGGTACCCGGGTAGGAAATTTGGACTTGTCCCAGCCCTACTGTCATGACATATTTTCCATGTCATATACTGCATTCAGTACATTGTTTTAACGCAGGCCTATGTCATGATATCAAGCGACATACAATGTTATAATGAAACACATGATCAATGTTACAGAACATATGACACGTAATACTCCACAACCAATCAAGTTTGAACATGTCACAAATGCCACTAAGAAGCTCGAATTAAGTACATGTAAGGATAAAACACACCAGTGACAAAACAAAAATAATGACATATCTTAGATATACATGTATCTCTCTATGGAGGAGTTGGATTTAATGCCACTTAGAACGGTATTTCAGTTGTGTCATGTCTTGGGTGAAAGCAGCCACAAACAGATTCTTGACACTTTGTTGAAACTTGGGTTTACATGGTATAAGCACACAAACAAAAGATGATATAAACTACACATCTGAACACATCAAACATACAGACAGTGGGAAACAATTTTTTTCATATGATTTTAACAACATTTTGGAAACTCAAACGTAAAGTAAAATAAGCAGTAAACTAATCATTGTTCACAAAAAATCAGCAGATATCTTTACTTATTGAAAAATACAAATCTAAAGCAGTGAGTGAGTATGGTTTTATGCCGCTTTTAGCAATATTCCAGCAATATCATGTCTGGGGTCACCAGAAATGGGATTCACACGTTGTACCCATGTGGGGAATCCATTTTGGGCCTTCAGTGTGACCAGCAAACGCTTTAACCACCAGGCTACCCCGCCGCTCGTCAAATCTGAAGTAGGTTATGACATTAAAATAAAGTTCTTAATTACATGCCCTTTCAAACACACCAACTCCAACATACAAATACCAACTCACTGAAGCTCACCTGGTAATATATTCATAAGGTAAGGCATGATACTTGTCAAGATCAATACTTAAGTATCGGGTATTCATTGAAAGATACATGTTGCATATTAACAAGAATATTGTTATCAATATCTGCAGCATACTACCATGATTAGTGGGTACACATATGCTTAGTTGTGTGTTCACCAATCCATAGCTTTCATAGGAGATGGCAGACAAACAGGTTGTGATGCAAGCTGACATGGGTTTAGTCGACAGGTGAGCTTAATATATCGGACATGCAGACCAGAACACAAATTAAATGTGTATCTTGTTAGTTTATACACTAGCATAAAAGTTATAAAACTTCATATTTGTCTTGTCATTTAGCATGCAAAAACAGGAAAAAAGATCTCATCAGCCCTGGGCCTACAGCTAGCCACCGTCAGAAATACAGTGCCTGCACCGTCAAACATTGCCATTATGTATTCCGCCTACTGCAAGCAACAACAACCATGAAAACAACAGTAATTCAAACAACACCTTATCAAAATCCTGTTTTCTAGGGGTAAATGCTGTTTTCTGGGGATAAATGCTGCTTTCTCAAATTCTAGGACACCTAGGGTAAGGAATTAAAACATTTCTCAATTATCTTTGATGCAAAAATACAATCTATGGTAAAACCAACAAAGAGGTTAGGAAATGGATGGCATCATGTCAAAAGAAATGACTCGTGTTGACTGTCATGACCTGTAGGAACTATCCACTTCTGCCAAGTGTCCGTTCCCTTCACAGTGGGAGGGTTGGGACAAAGCAGGCATGGACTCGGGGAAAACTCAGTCATCAGCAGGACTTGGAGAAGGGCTCCTTTCATTGCTTCTTGCAGGAGATGAGGTTCTAGAGGCGTCAGACTCATCATGTTCTTCCTGCTCACCATTCGTTTTTTCCACCGATATACTTTTGGAACGACTTCTGGATTTGGAGCGACTTTTAGACTTGCTGACAGATTTCTTTTCAGACCTGGAAATATAATTGGTACCTTCTTATTCATGTTGTCAGCATTAATTTACCAATGTCCAAACAGTGGGAATAACAGCAATAATAATCCAAACTGGCATATATACACAAGACATGACACAAGACATGACACAAGACATGACACAAGACTTGACACAAGACATGACACAAGACATGACAAAAGACTTGACACAAGACATGACACAAGACTTGACACAAGACTTGACACAAGACATGACAAAAGACTTGACACAAGACATGACACAAGACTTGACACAAGACTTGACACAAGACATGACACAAGACATGACACAAGACTTGACACAAGACATGACACAGGACTTGACACAAGACTTGACACAAGACTTGACACAAGACTTGACACAAGACATGACACAAGACTTGACACAAGACTTGACACAAGACTTGACAAAAGACACAAGACATGACACAAGACTTGACACAAGACTTGACACAAGACATGACACAAGACTTGACACAAGACATGACACAAGACATGACAAAAGACTTGACACAAGACATGACACAAGACATGACACAAGACTTGACACAAGACATGACACAAGACTTGACACAAGACTTGACACAAGACTTGACAAAAGACACAAGACATGACACAAGACATGACACAAGACTTGACAAAAGACACAAGACATGACACAAGACATGACACAAGACTTGACACAAGACTTGACACAAGACATGACACAAGACATGACACAAGACTTGACACAAGACTTGACACAAGACTTGACACAAGACATGACACAAGACTTGACACAAGACTTGACACAAGACTTGACACAAGACATGACAAAAGACTTGACACAAGACATGACACAAGACTTGACACAAGACATGACACAAGACTTGACACAAGACATGACACAAGACATGACAAAAGACTTGACACAAGACATGACACATGACACAAGACATGACACAAGACTTGACACAAGACTTGACACAAGACATGACACAAGACTTGACACAAGAAGTGTACAATACATCCCTCCAAATTCACACTTGTCCATGAACTAGTAATTGGACGATACACCGATATATCAGTGGATCACATTTTTTTACTTCTTGATACAAGTATCTATTACAATCACACTCTAAGTAAAAAGTATTGATTTTTTCCATAAAAATATTCTTTAATAAATGTTACACCAAACACTAATTACTTGTGAAAATGACATAATCGAACCCAGAATTCCACGGGGCATGACATGATGCCGAGTGTCTGTTGTTATGAACGTAAACAAAGTTTGCTGACCTGCTTCGAGATCGACTCCGAGATGCTCTCTTCTTCTTGTCCCTGCTACGGCTTCTGCTTCTGCTGCTGTGGCGACTACGTTTACTATGTCTGTCACGGCTTCGGCTGCGACTTCGGCTCCTCTTCCTCCTTTCTCGGCTCCGACTTCTTCGAGATCGGGATCTAGATCGGGATCGGTAGCTGTAAGGGGAAATAATGGAGTCACTCACTCACTTCAACTTCTCACAGCTTGTGCACACAGATGACATCAACACTGCAGCGACAGAGATGGGCTTACCGCATTTTTGAATATTATTTCAGTCGTGAGGGAAGAAACCAAAAGTGAAGTGAACAATTATTACTTTGATCAATTCCAATAACACATGACGGTTCTGCCAGAAAAAGAATCTTTCACAGGACAAATCTCAGTTTGTTTGTTTGTTGTTTAAACGTAAAACCTCAGCAATATTCCACCTGCAGTTTCTAACTGTTGTCTTGCTGTTTAAAGCCACACAGCAATATTCCAGCTACAAAAGGTGGCCTATAAATAATCATGTCTGGACCAGACAAACCAGTGATTGACATCATGAGCATCAATCTATGCAATCTATCCTGACCATGTTACAACAAGCATAGTCACCTCTTAAGACAAGCATGGGATGATGAAGACCAATTCTAACCCGGATTCATTTTGCGAATGAAACCATGCTTGCAAAACCATTATTAGTCAAGCATAATTATGCACAATAGAATTGAGATGTAATATACTGGATTGTTGAGGATAAGTGGCCAATGGGTCTCTGTACAAGCCAAAGTTCCCAAAATTCCAACACAATGATGAACTCAATGATTGAGTGAGTTGGGTTTAACGCCGCTTTTAACAGTATTCCAGTTATATCGCGGCGTGTCAGCTTAATGTGGAAGGAAAGCCCAAAGTCATGCAGGCCTCAGACGTTTACCACTTCAGTGAAACAAACTGACAAACCTAGAAACATAATCGGGGCGAACCGGGATTCGAACCCAAAATCATAGGTTTCTGGCGTGTCCAAGGGACGCAACTCTGCACAGCGAATCGCGGCGCCTTAGACGACTGGGCCACCCGTGCCCCCCTGAACTCAATGAAGACACTATAGTCGTTCAGGTGGAAACACATGGGTCCAGACCAATTACCTGTGTAAATGTTGGGTCAGGCAACCGATGTGGCGTCAGGGGACCCATATTTCACGGGAATAGAGAGTCATGTACTTTTCAGGGGTCAATCTGAGCCACTGACACCTGACAGAACACAAAAAGTATAATGTCTGGAGTTACCTCCCCCTTCTCCTTGGTGATTGAGATCTGTATCGACTGCTTCTGCTCGACCTCCGGGGACCGAAAGACCGGTCATCTGGACAATCTCGGGCCCAGTGCCCTGGACGGTGGCAGCGATAGCACTCATCATATCCCTGGCAAGAAATCATCAAATAACTATATGTTACATGTCAACAAAATTGAGGAATGTAAAATACAATGAGGCCTTTTCTTTCAAGTCACTGTACAGACTTTGATTTCTCAAACCATTGGTCAGTGGTTAAATAAAAATAAACTTTGACACATAAATTTTGTTTTTGCGAAAAAAGAAAGTGAAGCGAGGAAGAATGTTCTTTTTAAACAATTTGGCAACGTTTACTCAGCGTTTGAGGCACCTTATTTATTTAAATCAGAACAAAGCCACACCCTGTTTTTGTAGAGCAATGAAACGTATTTGAGCGAACATCTCATCGTTGTTTCGCATGTATTACCAGGGCTGTATTACTACTAGTCTTACTCAGTCAGGGAACAGCAATAGGGAAGCTAGTGGACAATACAATGTCGGTCCACATCACTGATTCTTAGGGTCATCAGATCCACAAACCAAGTAATAGAAACAAGAACACCAGTGCTCAATACAAGAAGTTTTACATGTGCCTCTCAGTAGCCACTAGTCAACGATAGGAGTTTCAAAGCCATCAATATGCAGGTTCTGCACAGATTACGAACAAATGTAATACATGGGCCACAGTGTGGTCTTGTTTTAAGATATTTGTTTGTTTGTTGTTTAGCGCCGCACTCAGCAATATTCCAGCTATATGCCAACGGTCTGTAAATAATCGAGGCTGGACCAGACAATCCAGTGATTGACATCATGAGCATTGATCCACGCAATTGAGACCGATGACATGCATCATCCAAGTCATCGAGCCTGACCACCCGATCCCGTTAGTCGCCTTTTACAACAAGCATAGTCGCCTTTAACAGCAAGCAGGGGTTGCTGAAGACCTATTCTACCCCGGATCTTCACGGGTCTTTTAACAGATTTAAAGCATAGAATTCAGAATACAAAGATACAAAGAGGAAAACAACAGTGTCACAAAAATACAAAAATAGTACAACTAAGCATGTATCCTGGTACAATCAGAGTACAAGAGGTACAGTAGCTCACCTTCAAGCATTGGTACAAAACTGAGGAGGTGCTGAACAGATACATGCTGAACAAATACGAATAACAGCTCTGAACTAAAGCAGTTGCACACAACTTCTGTATTCAAACAATGTTTGTTGTTTGTTTGTTTGTTTGTTTAACGTCATACTCGGCAATACTCCAGCTTTAATGGCGGTCTAGAAATAATCATGTCAGGACAAGACAATCCTGTGATTGACATCATGAGCATCAAACTACGCAACTGGGACTCAATGACATGCATCAACCACGTCAGCAGGCTTGACCACCTGATCCCGTTATTTACCACATACAACAAGCATAGTCGCCTCTTAAGACAAGCATGGGTTGCTGAAGACCAATTCTAACCCACATCTTCGTGGGTAGTACTCATACAAAGCACAAGCGATGTCATCAGTTTTATGGATCATTTAAGGATGGTCTGATTAATTAATGCCTTCTATCATTTAAAAACAGCATCTTTTGAGTTTCCACAGACATGCATGAAAATGATGAAGGCTTTTATTTGCATGCATTTTTTGTTTAACTGTTTAACACTGCCATATTCCAGCTAAATGACAACAGTCTGTAAATAATCGAGTATGGACCAGACAATCCAGTGATCATGGTGAGCAAAGTCTGGCCACCCAACCCAATTGTCTCTTACAACCACCATGCTAGGGACCAATTCTAACACAAACTCCTGCCGGGTCAATATAGAGTTATACACACGTTCTTATCTTAAGCATGTAAAACCGTGCTCATTTTCTAAAACATCATGTCTGATAATTGCACTTTTGCTCTCTTGATGACCCTGTCCTGTCACAAAAGTCTACCTGCAGTCTTAGAAGTCATGAAAACCACAAAAAAAATTGGTGGTGATTATCTCGAATTGTTAGTGTGACAATTTTTTGTACATTAATCTGATATTTTTCATTGCACAATCTCAATGAAATCAGACCTTAGTTCTCGCTACCGCTAAACAAAGATCTGAGGACATCCCATTACGGGTCACATCAGACCGACCTTGCGCGAACTTTGACTGACCAATTGAATGACCAATCAGAAGGCAGCTTTCTCGTGCTTTACGGCACTAATTTCAAATTGGCGTCTACGCAACATATTTTGAAAAATTCTTGATTGCAAATTTGAAACCTAAACAAAAGAACATTCTGGAATGGCTAATAGATGGTCTAGATTGTATGGATTCAGTCTTTAAACCCGTAACTATCATTCGGAATACCCTGTGTTAAAGTTTTTGAGGTTGTATGATTAGAAATCACATTCCGACTGTCACTTTCATGATCTGGTAAGCGACGCTCTGATTGGTCGGATGAAAGGTCGTTCTGACATGACCCCTAATGGGATGTCTTCAGATCTTTGTTGAGCGGTAGCGAGTACTAAGGTCTGATTTTAATGAGATTGTTCATTGCATAGCAGAATAATAAGAACATTCTCCAACCCTTTGAAAGCAAAATATCCAAAATTGTTGCCATTTTTCATTGTTTGGAACATAGGGACATGTATATCATGACAAGGGAACTGCACTTGTTCAGTAGTTTGAAAATAGAAGAGCTTACAGGACAGCAATAATGGACAGACAGACAACGAAGACAATGACATTAGCTCATTTTGATGATGTCAAGGTGAGCTAAAAACAAACATGGCCACTGTTTTATATATGTTACATCAATATAATGGCCAAAGATACTTTCATAGAATGTACATGATAGTAGTCATGGTAGCAGTAGAAGTACTTGTAAGAATAAGGGGAAACTTGCCACAGGGAGGCCCAAATGGACCAAAATGTTTGTGATGTTTGTTTCTTGTTTTATGCAATACTCCAGCCAAATCATAGAAAATAATCGAGTCTTAACCAGACGAACTAGGAACTGCTATTGTTCAACGATATCACAATACAGTCTGAATATCTTTATAATTTTGCATAACATAACATAACTTTAACATTGACATTCACAAGCTAAAAATTACGAAATATTTCTCAGAAAAACTAGTTCAATATGGATGTAACTACATGTACCATGACCTACATACATATGTACATTTAAAACATAATGAGATGAGTTTAATGCCACTTTGAACTGTATGTTAGTTATCACGAAGTCTCAGCCGAATAATGGAGGAAATCCACGTAATTCTTGTCCGAGACGTACTACCTCGGAGTGAGTGAGTGAGTGGGGTTTAACAACACTTTTTTAACAGTATTCCAGTTATATGGACGTTCATGTGGGAGGAAAACCTGAAGTGATGCAGGTCTGACATTTACCACTTCAGTGAAACCCACGAGAACGGGTATGGTGCTGACAAAGCTAGAAACATAATCAGGGCGAACTGGGATTCAAACCCACGATCATAGGTTTCTAGCGTGCCGAAGGGTGCAAATATGCACAGCTAACTTGAAGCACCTTAGACAACTGGACCACTCATGCCCCCGTTACAACCTTAGATTTGCTGTTTAACGCCGCACTCAGCAATATTCCAGCCATATGACGGCGGTCTGTAAACAATCGAGTCTGGACCAGACAATCCAGTGATTGACATCATGAACATGGATCCACACAATTGGGATACAATGACATGCGTCAACCAAGTACAACCTTAGAAAACCCACAACCATGGGATTGGTGCTAACAAAACCCAAGAATCATAATCAGGGCAAATCTGGGATTCAAACCCATGATCATCGGATCCTAAGGGACACAACTCTGCACAGCAAAGTGTGGCACCTTAAACCACTGGGCACCCATCTCAAACATAAGTGCAATGAATCAAAGGTACAAAATGATACAAAACATTGAAAGATGAAAGCTGTTGTCAGTCTTGTATAATCTGACAACAAAAACGATATAGAAATGTAAGAGGTGTGGACCGATCAATTCTTACATTATCCGCCCTACGGACCGGCTTCTCTACATCCCAGTTGAATGGCTGTCTTACCAAAGGTCGCCTTGGGTTGCCCTTAGCCCACTCCACTATAATGCTGGAGCCACAAAGTTCACGCCCATTCTCATACTTGACAGCATCCTGAAATTAGTTCCATGTGTGAGGCACTCTCCTCGTCCAATCAAGCCACAACAGGATCACAAACAGCATACAAATAACATGCCTGATTTAAGTCGACACATCCCCTTGCCTATCTCCACAACCTTCAAATTGTCTCCGCAACTAAGACCCTCAGCATATTTACTGTAGAGGCATAGCCACAACCTGTCAACCTTTCTTTAAAATCTTAACCTTGTAATCTTAAAAGTTCAAATTCGAAAATTAAAGTTGAAATGTTGACAGGTGTAGTATCAACTCTAGCCTAATATCACATATCTTAAACTGGGTTAACACTGTGGTCATATTCAGTTGATGAAGGATGCAGAGAAATGGTTGATTTGAGAAAGTTTACGTGATAAAACTTTCTTAAGTATCTTATTCCTAAAAAGAAATTCAAGCACTTAACAGTGACATCATTAAGGAAACTTGTCAACATCAACATCAGTTTAAGATATGTGAACAAAGCCCTTCAAAGTTTTCCTGTTTTCAAGCTTAACTACACATCATGCATACATGTAAGCATATAAATAGTCAAAGATATTTCATGAAATAATCCACAAGCAGTTGGCTCTACAAAAAAATAAACCTCTCTACATTTCAATCCCGGAAACAAAGAATAATTGTGGCAGTGATAGCATAATTAACACAAGGCCATCATAAATTAATTATCAGTGTTTCACCCTCTTTCACCTCACTACCAAAAACACCATCTTACAGTTAAATATTTCCCCGAGTACATACATACAAACAAAAAGGCCCTTATTTATGTGTCGAACTATACCCTATGCAAAGTTCTACCAACAGAACATGTTGCAATGTGTTTGTTGTTTAACACCCACTCAGCAATTTCCCAGCTATTTGGGCAGACTGTAAATATTCAAGTCTGGACCAGACAATTCAGTGATTGACATCATGGGCACCGATCTATGCAATTGGGATACGGTGACATGCATCAACCAAGTCAACAAGTGTGACAACACAATCGCTTACGACAAGCATGGGTTGCTGAAGTTGAGTGAGTGAGTATGGTTTTTCACCACTTTTAGCAATATCCCATCAATATCACGGTGGGGGACACCACAAATGGGCTTCACACATTGTACCCATTTCGGGAATCGAACCCAGGTCTTGGGCGTGACGAGCGAACGCTGTAACCACGAGGCTACCCGAGCACGCAAGACCAATTCCAACCCAGATCTTCACAGGTATGCTACCATACCCATCAACAGCTAAGTGAACAGGGCCCCGTTCCACAAAGCGGTATTAGCGCTAAGATGATCGTAACTCCCATACTTTAACATAGGCTTACGATGATCGTAGCGCTAAGATCGCTTTGTGGAACGGGGCCCAGATGTCTACAGTTTGTTTTAAAAAAAATAATGAATCACACAGAACATTTTTTAAATACCCGGATGAAAATCTAATGATTAATTTATCTTGGCCTTAGAGCAACATACATGTAGTACTTAAAGATGAAAACTGACACTACAGAATCTAACAAAGCCGCTGCTGCCCCACACACCCACGAGAGACTTAAGGATACAAGAGAACACATGAAGATCCTACAACCAAATAGTTTGTCCTTAAGTCAGACGAACAAATCGGAAAACATTACACAAACATAGAACATTGAAAACAAGTGAGAAAAGAAAGAAAGTACTATCAACAGTCAACATCAACATGGTAACGAATGGCAAATATACTTCAGGTCTGGGGCCAGGAAGATGATAAGAGTTCATAATGGACAAGGGTGGAATCATTTACGATGAACCTAGACTGAGACACTGAGAAAACACATATTCAACTTTATCTTGAAATGAGAAAAGATGTGTTTTTGTGCTCAAGTCTTTTTCCATACACATCAAATGAGATTCGAACACGTACAGCAACACTGTTGCATTTGAGTATCTTATGTCCATATACCCAGAACTTAATGATTTGGGAGGCCATTCTGCCAAATATTACAAAAGTTGAATATCCGTTTTTACAGTGTCTAAGTATATATATTGAAGTTCTAAAATGCTACTTTTGTTGCAAAAAGTTGCCATCATGGAAATTGGCCAAGAGACACAATGTACTATCTAGCGCTGTTCTTCAGTCTGAACATAGATAACTGGGGCTCTGACATGTCCAACATTGATCAACACTTGATAGCTTCATTTCCCTTGTGCATGTTTTGAAACAATTACATTAAATCTTTCTACTGATGATTGTTTGTTTGTTGTTTAACGCCACACTCTGCAATATTCCAGCTATATGACGGCGGTCTGTAAATAATCAATTCTGGACCAGACAATCCAGTGATTGACATCATGATCATTGATCCAATTGGGATATGATGACATGCATCAACCAAGTCAGCAAGCCTAACCACCCGATCCCGTTAGTCGCCTCTTACTACAAGCATAGCTGCCTTTTACGGCAAGCATGGGTTGCTGAAGACCTATTCTACCTTGGATCTTCATGGGTCTTGAAGAAAAACATGTATCAGATGTATTACATTGTTATACAGTTTCATAAACATGTTATTCAATATCAATTAAACATCACAACAAATCATTTGATCACTTGACCAATTATTCAATCAATAACAGCATATAATACATTGTGTCTCATCATTCTCACATGAGTGTTATATCTTCACATTTCAAGATTCTTCAGGACATGCTTCCTGGCCGCCTGACCCTTCATAAACAATGCTAACCTAACAGGAAAGTGTAAGAAGAAGATACAAATTGTTGTTTATACACATACTGGTAACCATGGTAACAAGGGCAAGCCGCCTGGGTGCGGCAAGGCCTAGATGTTGGCGCGAGAAGCCGGCAAGTGTAGAACCACGGCAAGGTCTCATGGTCAGAGATTTGGTCACATGATCGGGGTAGGAACGATTCTGGCGGAAGGGTTGTACCCAGGGAACTATGGCTAAGGCCAGCGGAGGAACTGGCCTGGCTCAAGGTCAAGGTCTAGGTCATTGGAGCCTGGCTAAAGGTCATGGTCATTGCTGCCTTGCTAAAGGTCATGCTTTGCCGTGACAGGATCAGGGGGAGCTGGCTTGGTGGGTAGCTATATAGTATATTGCATTCAATATTAGTCATCATATCAGTTTGGAAATTTATTCAAATATACAGAATTATTCATCACTTTGAAATAGATCGAAAATGGAGTACATTAAAAGCAAGAAACTAGGTGAAAAACTTATCTGATTATAACTGTCTGGATATATAAAGAACACATTTCTTATTACTGTTACAAAGTTATAATGAACCAGAATGGTGTAACTGGAGATATTCATTACAGATTATCATTACTGTCATAGTGGTCCTAATGATGAACATTAATATTGGAATGTACTGATGATGAAACTACAGAAATCGTAACCTGCAGATAGTCATTAAACTTAATTACTTCTCTTGGAAATTAGTGTTTTAAACTGACTGTTGTTTGTATTTACCTCTCCATCTCGACGGTCTTCAAAATCAATAAATGCATAAGCTGAAACACAGGTGTGCATGTTGGAATTAATCTTCACACATACATGACTACATAAAATATACTACGCAAAAGGTAGGTTTGTTTGTTATTAACGCTGCACTCAACAATATTCCAGCCATATGTAAAATTGTCAGTCTGGACCAGGCAATCCAGTGATTGATATCACGAGCATCGATCCACGTAATTGAGATATGATGACATGCATCAACCAAGTCAGCGAGTCTGACCACCAGATCCTGTTAGTCGCCTAGACAAGCATAGTCGCCTTTTATGGCAAGCATGGGTTGCTGAAGACCTATTGTACTATTACAAGTTAGGTCTCTTCTAACTCAGGAATATTCAAGGTATATGACTGAGGCCTGTTAATATATCAAGCCTGGAGCAGACAGTCCTATGATTAATATCACAAGCATCGATCTATGCAATTGGGATATGAAAACATCCATCAACCAAATCAGCGCGCCTGACCACCCGATCCCGATAGTTGCATTTTACGACAAGTTGCTATTTGGCTGAAATAATGACTATGCAGCGTTAAATTTTAACTGACTCACTTTTACGACAACCATAGTCGCCTCTTACGACAATCATGGGTTGCTGAAGACCAATTCCAACCAAGATCTTCACAGGCCGTTAGTAGATTTAGTCTTACCAGTATTGCTACATGTTGAAGAACTGTACAGTAAATAATCTAAATGCTTTCCTGTTAGTTAATTCAAAACAGAGTAATTCTCACCCATTTCAGCACCTGAAAATATAAAAAGTTTAAGTGTTAAGTTTGATCTCATCAACAAAGACTGAAATGCAGTACATGAAGACTTTTGTGTACACTAAAATGATCAGTGCCTGTTCCTCACAAGTCATAAGCAACTTTTCATTTGATCCCAATTTGAATTTTTATTTCCATTTGGGTGTTGCTTAACAATGCACTGAGGAGTATTCCAGCCATATGACAGCAATCTGTAAATATCAGACAATCCAGTGATTGATATCATGAGCAGCGATCTCAGCAATTGAGTGAGCATGGTTTTACGGCGCTTTAAGCAATATTCCAGCAATATCACGGCAGGGACACCAGAAATGGTCTAAACAATTGAGAGATGAGGACAAAATCAACCAAGGTACCGAGCCTGATGACTCATCCATTAAGTCGCCTCTATGCGAGCATCGCTTGCTGGGCACCAATTCTTAACCAGAGACCCACAGGTATTTCATTTAATGACAAATGTTGCAGTTTAAAAGAAATGACAACAAAATTGTGTCATGGACAAAATGATTATGAAATGAAGTATGTTACACATTGATCCTGTTCCATTGCACTGTGTATACAAAATGTTTGTTTATTAAGAAAAAAGGTCTCTTTCCTGCCTGTAATCCTTTTTTATCAGAATATTTATTCACATGTTATTAATCACATTGGGTGTTCATAGTGTTTTTGTTTTGTTTTGTTTGTTTGGGGTGGGTGTATTCAATAATTTTTACTCTCTTGGATCCAGTTAACGGGCTGTGTAAACCGATAAGACAACCTTTTTAAAATAAGATCTTCATCTCTGCTGTCTCAGGTAAGTTTTCATTAGCATGTGTTCATGTGCTGCTCCAAGTGAGTCACATGTCACATAAGCAGTGTTTAAAATACAAACAGATGCCACGCTGCCATGAAGACCCAGTCTTCAGACCCTGCAGGCCCAGACTAAACTCTTCTGGCCCTTATTTAAAAAACTGCAGCCTATTGTGACAAATAAATACTGCACGCCATAAGGACCCATGCAACGTTGAAACTGCATCGACACTGCACATGAGCCAGGTAATTGCACATCTGTTATACACTGCAATAGACACATGACAGAGTGCATGTACCGTATTCGATATAATAAGCGCCCAGGGTGCTCTCAAAGTTAGAAATAGGGGGCTCTTACTAGAATATTATTTTGGTGAAAAACAAAGATCGTAAATTTCGTGGTTTATGTTGACAGCCTGAAATGTTTATATACGAAAGATATATTTTTTCCAGAATTTAATGTCCCATCATTAAGGGTGCATATAACACACATATTACATTGATCAATTGTGATACAATGATCAATCGAAAGGGGTGCTAATTTGGATTGTTCACTAGCCAATTGTTTAGCAAATATTGCCGTGGGCGCTTATTAGAGCGAGGCGCTAATTACGTCGAATACGGTATATGTGACGCCTGCATACTGATACAGTCATAATTGTACGCAAGTTGAAAACGCCACATTGGGTAATTTTGAACAGTGTTGTTATACAAGTTGGTTATCAAATTTCTTCATGTGTATTTGTACACAATCAACCCAAAATTAACTGGGTTATAACGACTTAGTCTGCATATTTTACACAAATGAGCAGCATATCTGCAGCGTTAGAACTTAACACTAGCCTGCTAGCCTGAGGCTTGTACAAATCCCTGCGGGCTAGTACAAACGTCCCCACTGTTTTATCCTTACAAAGCAGAGATGAGTATGAATATTTACTAGGGCCGGTACAGGTAACTCGGGTGGGTCCTGAGTAGGACTTGGGTACCCGCAGGACTACCCGGAGCCATGGTTAGTCACGTGATATATTGTTTAATGACAAAAATTATCTAAAACTCTATGGTCACACTACAAGTCACTAATGTTCCCATTTCTTTCTGACAATGCACCCATTCCTTATGACTTTTATATGTTTGAATAAAGATAAAACTTCTTGCAGTAAACTTCAGTGTATGCATGACCAGATCGTTTTATACGTATATCTAAATACATTTTGCTAGGGCTACAGTCAAATGTTTCCAAATCGGACAGTTTGTACCTATCTCTGAATATCTACAACGGGACCCGGGTAGGGATGGGTAATGGGGTAGTAAATTTGGACTCGTCCCAGGCCTAATATTTTCCTTTTCAGCTGAAACTTCTTTTCAATGGAGCATGGTCCATAATTGGGGATGTTTAAGAAGTTTGTGGTCAATAAAATTCATGGAAATTTGCGGATCCGCGGAAGATCCTCACCCCTGACAAAAGACATTTTGTCTATACCCGGGCTAGTCAAGCTTCTGAGTTTAGTTCTAACCCTGTATCTCAAGCTCTTGGTCGGTTGTAATGACTGACTGACTAAGTATGGTTTTACGCCGGTTTAGCAATATTCCAGCAATATCACGGCGGGGGACACCAGAAATGGGCTTCACACATTGTACCCATGTCGGGAATCGAACCCGGGTCTTTATCCACTAGGCTACCCGACTGCCCTGCGGTTGTAATGAGGGAGTTGGTAGGGCAAAGTAAAGGGAAACCACATATGTTGGATCTGTGTCAATAATAAAGTTGATCTATTCTCCATAACTTTTCCATGCTTATCAAGTTATGCAATGCTTGATTTATAATCAGGAAATGTGATCATATCAAGCAAAATAAATGACATAAATGCACAGACACATATATTCTGCTAATTGTGAGCTATATTTTAATGTTTATATAAGCATGTGATGTTAGCAAGTGTCTTGGTTGGTTTGTTGTTTAACGCCGCACTCAGCAATATTACAGCTATATGACGGCGGTCTGTAAATAATCGAGACTGGACCAGGCAATCCAGTGATTGATATCATGAGCATCGATCCACGCAATTGGGATCAATGACATGCAGCAACCAAGTCAGCGAGCCCGACCACCCGATCCCGTTAGTCGCCTTTTACGACAAGCATAGTCGCCTTTTAAGGCAAGTATGGGTTGCTGAAGACGTTAGCAAGTGTCAGCTAATTGACATGTTGCAGTGTTATAAATTAGGCATGCAAGTCAATCTGTTCTTGTCATAACCATAATATTATAAATGAAAGTTTTAGGAGATTCCTAGATTTGTAACACTTCAAGGATCGCTTGAAAAAATCCTTATTACACTTTGAACAGGTCATTTAGTATCCAGGTTGTTTCGTGACACATTAGCTCTGTATCCATAATGCCATTTTGTAACCAGAATGGTTCCTATTTGTGGGTTATTTTGTATCCTTTTCTGTCATGTATTTAGTGCAACTTTTTCTATGTCAGAAATTGGTTACAGTTCTTGTAGAATATAACATGTGGATCACATAATCGCAACATTAAACATAAGCAAACGTTGGAACAGTATCATGTCTGAGCCAAAACCTTTTTGAGTCCACTAGTGCAAACTTGTCTCTCCTTTATTTTCAGTAAATTTTACTGTTCTCGTATGGTGTTTATTAGCTGATTTTACTACACAGAACAGTATTACAAACGGGGTTCGGACTTGTGGCTTGTGTCGCAGACTGTGCATATATCATGCCTGCGAAAGCAGAAACTTTTAGTAGGAACTTTTCATGTTTTAACACTGAACTTGGCTCCAATGAATTCATGTAATCAGATTAACTAAATGATATTAGAGTAACCAAAATATTGGTATACGAAACAATCAGGATACAAAATCATTTGAAAATGACACAAAACCCTTTGAACATGGATCTGATCACTTCACTTCAACTTTTGAAAGGATAATAAAAAAGAGCTTGTATCAAATGGTTGACATTTTAGCAGGTTCAATTCAACATGTCTATGATAAAATTATTACTGACAGTACAAATATCAGTGAAGAGTGAGTTATTGCACGCTGCTGCTCCCGGTTAATTGCATTAGGCCTAACCTAACCACAATATGTTATTTCGTTGTGAATGTGATATTCATAGCCGTCACAGCTGTCAATGCGTCAAGGGTGATCGAAAACTGAATTCGTGGCATAGTGTTGTCACAAAAATGGGTCACTGTTGTGTTCTAAAACTCGTGCAACATTAAACTAGATATTACCATATTTAACATCACATCTTAACAGTCTGCCATAAGGCTCAAATAAATCCTCGAGATCTCGCACTCGAGTGCTCTTGCTGAGACGACCCACAAAGAGCTGGCCTTCCGCTCGTCTCGACATGGCTGCTGCACAAATGTGTGCAGTCGAATGAAATCGGGTGACTACGCCGCCGCCCGGTGGTGTATTGACGTCTTCGAGATAAACGAGATTTGAGATGGTGAGTCCGATTGACATGGCTATAATGAATATCCGTATTTGTTTCGTATCATTTTCATTTTTTCATAAATAGAGACAGACACGCTCACGGTGTATCAGTAAAATAAATGGTATGTCTTTCTTGATTTCGAATGATGAAATAAAGGCTATACACATTCGAAACATAAATTAGGCTCGTTGTTACATACTATTATCAGAACGACGTATAACATGGTATTCGCGAGATGCATAAACTCGTGGTGGAAAGACTATTCTTTCCCAATAGCTTAAATCAGCTGTAAATCGACTATTACCGATTCATTCCTTTTGATATCTGATATATATATATTACTTATTCATTATGTATTGTAGGCCACAGGCTCATTATACATTAGAGAGTATACAGTTTGAGAGAAACATTATAATACAAAATTTTAGGTGATTTACACAAGACGTAGTTTCATTGCTTTGTAAATAAATACGCATAGATTTTGAATGATTATTACATTATTTGATGCCATTAAGATATTAAACGTATATGTGGAGGGGTACAGGTAAAACTTTTTGGGTATATATTTTCGTCTTAAATGTACATATCTCTGATATAGATTTTTATTTTTTAATTTCAATCCCTCGTTTTAGTTTTTGTAGTCAATGAATACCATTCTGTTTACACCCCCCCCCAAAAAACAAAAAAACCAAAAACAAACAAAACAACAACAACAACAAAAAAACAGATGGAGTTGGAGTTTGAGTTGGAGTTGGAGATAGACTTGGAAATCATGTGACATTGTGAGATTCCAGAATATGCTAAAGTATAAACAATAAATGAAATAAGTCACAACAGATTTGTGCTAGTTTCGTGTCTCAATTGTTTTTGGCCATTCTCACTAAAATTTGTAGCCATTTTCACTGCAATATGTAGCCATTTTCACTGCCATGTGTAGCCATTTTCATTGCAATGTGTGACCATTTCGTGCCATTTTCTCCCCTACCCTTGTGCCATAACATTTCCGTCTTGTTCACGAATGTGTGAAGACCATTTCTGGTGTTCCCCCGGGCGTTGTGATATTTCTGGAATATTGATAAGGAGGCGTATAACCATACTCACTCAGTCAATTGCTGAGATCGCTGCTCATAATATCAATCACTGGATTGTCTGGTCCAGCCTTGATATTTACAGATTGCTGTCATATAGCCGGAATATTGCTCAGTGCATTGTTAAGCAACGAACGGACGGAAATATAATTTCAAATTGGGATCAAATGAAAAGTTGCCGATCGCGGGGTCTAATCTCTTACGATGCCGATTAATAATGGAAGCGTGTCTGCAGTATACCCGTGCTCATAGGTTAACCAAAGTGATAGGTGTTTCAGTGAAAACCTCACTCACTCACTCACTCACTCACTCACTCACTCACCCACCCACCCACCCACCCACTCACTCACTCACTCACTCACTCACTCACTCACTCACTCACTCACTCACTCACTCACTCACTCACTCACCCACCCACGCACTCAGTGACTCACTCACTCACTCACTCACTCACCTAACCTACACCCTCTGTCCTTTTGATAAAGAACATTCAGGTTAGGTAATTTAATACGGGTGTGTGTCAGAGTTGTTTGTGTGCTCTAATTTACTGAAAATAATTACCTATCCCTTGTGCTTTTTGTGTGAGCCTCCCTTGATTCCTTTTCGTCCCAAACCATTAACCGCACTTACCACACCCTCATATATAAATAACCAGCCACACGCATTACACTTTGTCATGGAGCTCCGGCAGACGCATGCAAGAATATGTAGCTTATATAAATAGTCAATGGGGAATATCATTCGCATGCGCATAAACACAAGACACGTCGTCTGAACAGACGTATCTACCGGCCTATTGAGGAAATCGGTGAATAACACAGATTATCAGCAACACACTATGGGTTAGTTTGTTTTTCTTGTTGAGTAAATGATTTACTATTTTGCACATTGGGCATAAGTATTCATGCACAATGAAATAGGCCAATGATTTCCCTCTTTTGTGACCTGGAACCACTGAAACCGGAGTTGTTGAACTCGCTGTTATGACAGGATCCCATTACTTCTATACAACGATCAGGGGGTTTGGGAAGGATATATTCGGACTTGTCAGTCACATCATTTGAAGCATATATGAACTGACATGAACTTGAACTATGGAAGTGATCTGTCACATGTGGTGACAACCTACCATTGTCTCTTTGCTTATGGCTTATTGTGTGTAGGCAATATGCAGATGATGATGACTCATACACTCATAACAATTCAAGAATCTGTGTTGCAGGATGAGGATGCCTTGTTCCACTATGCATATATTGTAATGATGTCAATGCAGATAATGTTTTAATCTTGGCTTGAGTCTGCTATATATCTCTTAGTTGCGTCTAATTTACGCTGAAGTGGTCGTTGGCACAAGTAGGTACTACAGATATGTGCCCCAAGTATGTTTCTGTATGTAGACAAAATCAGAATACAGAATGGTATGCCAGGATGAGTTAATTGTGCATTGGGGGGCACGGGTGGCCCAGTCGTCTAAGGCGCCGCGATTCGCTGTGCAGAGTTGCGTCCCTTGGGCATGCCAGAAACCTATGATTGTGGGTTCACCCTGATTATGTTTCTAGGTTTGTCAGCACCATACCCATGCTCGTGGGTTTCACCGAAGTGGTAAACGTCTGAGACCTGCATCACTTGGGGCTTTCCTCCTACATTAAGCTGACACGCCGTGATATGACTGGAATACTGTTAAAAGTGGCGTTAAACCCAACTCACTCACTCACTCATTGTGCATTGCACAGTTCACTAACCATTTCCTTGACTCTGAACAAAGAAGACTTTCCTCAGTTTCTGGATCGGATCTGACATGCTGTTGTATGAGGTGCACTAAGGCGTGCTTTATTCAGCGTTAATTGGCACTAGTCCTATCGTCCTTGCCAAACTGCCGAATGGTTAAGGTATCACTAGGACTAGTAGAAATCAGCCCTTTTTATGGGTTTTGCTATATGTTATCTTTATAAGGACTAGTGGACGAAAACTGTTAGTTTCTACAGCTGCTTTATATAAACCGATATTCACAGTGGTGTGCATACCTTTGCGTTCAGTACTCTTATGTTCCGCAATGCACAGCATTTTCCGTATGTCAGGTTGAGTAATATGGACATGTCCGCTGTTTAGTGTACTGGGTACTGCTCTGTATTCTGAGTTTAGCTAGGGTAAATTTGTGTAACTGAAACTAAAAGGTACCAGGGCTATATATTTGTAGAACTCGTACCCGCAACCCCTTCAGCCTGTATCCTCCATTCATTCATGGTTTATGTTTTTACTGGTGGCATGGATTGACCTGAAAGAAAAGTTGGTTGTTGGTTGGTTTGTTGTTTTACGCCGCACTCAGCAATTTTCCAGCTATATGACGGCAGTCTGTAAACAATCAAGTCTGGACCAGACAATCCAGGGATAATTACAGCACACTTCTACATATCTGATTGACTACAAATCATAATCTTTTCTTTTATGATCTACTCACCAGTCTCTTCAATAATGATGTGCTTACCTCCAGATATGTATGATTATTTTCATCAAAAAGGAACTTTGAATAAGAATTCAAAATTGAAAAATAATGGTTTTGTTCGTGTTATTAAATCTGTATAGAAAGGTTAATAGACTCAGTGGTAAAAGTCACTGCATGAAGGCTGTACAGTTTGTCATGTATTCTTCCTATCAGATCTGTAGTCAATACAGATAGGAAGGACACCTCATCGAAACCTGTGCACAATTTTATGTACAATTCTCTAATTGAGAAAAAACAAACCCTCTTTGCTTTATTATTGATATGATTTTCAGTTGACTGTGTAACTTCTTTAAACCGTAACTTGATAACTTACTCAATGTACACTACTGGGCCATAAAAGTGATAACAGTAACTGTCTGCTCTGAATAGGATAAGGAAGAAGTCATCTGATTCGTCTCAATACAACATTCAAGATGTTAACAGTGACAGTATTTTTGTTTTCAACATGTTCAAGTAAGACCAAAGAGAGCACGACCCGCTGTACAAATAAAAAAGCTTTAGTTGCCTATAGCAATTTCATCCATGAGCCATGCTGTATTATTTTGAAGATTGATATTAACACCTGCTCTGACTATTGTGGAACATTTGAAATATTCCTGAAATGGAAATTCAGTGGTTAGAAACGAACAAGGATAACCATGATATTGTTAAACAGTTTGGTTAACCATAAACATGATTACCATATTTTCTTTAGTATAGTGAGCACTTTTTTCCCCAAAAAAACACAGCTATGTAGAACATGGTAGAAATATTGAGTTTTGATGTTTAACGGTTAATCAAAATGTCTGGTGATTTTTTATCGGGGTATCTCCAATTTCGAATTTGTACTGACCAAATTTCTCATCACCCGTTCGTTTACTGGAATTCGCTAAAGGGGTAGATCTATGGTGTTACTTTTTTCTGCGCTTGATATTCAATTTTTTTCCTCCAAAATACTGAATCCGCTAGAGGGGGTAGCGCATTATACATGGGTGCGCACTGTACTCTAGAAAATACGGTAAAAAGAATCAATTTAGAGTGTTTCTGGATTCAAATACTACAGAAGCACACCTAAAGGACCCCGGTACTCACTCGTATATGATATTACGCCCCTGTGAACATGGTGAAGATCTATGTTAGAATTGGTCTTCAGCAAGACATACTTGTCGTAAGAGGTGACAGTCAGACTAACCTGATCGTGTGGTCAGACTCGCTGACTTTATGCATGCATCATATCCCAATTGTGTAGATCGATGCTCATGATGTTAATCACTGGATTGTCTGGTACAGACTCAATTATGTAAAGGCCGACGTCATATAGCTGGAATATTGCTGAATGTGGTGCTAAACAACAAACAAATGAAGCAAACAATGGAATGATATTACCATATTTATAACAACTGACTGTTCAAAACATTAACAGTTTAAGGAACACAATGTACTAAGTGACTGATGTGTCATTGACAGAGAATTTGTTTGTTTTCAGGAGGAATATTCAGCCTCTTGTCAGGTCTGTTCGGGACCCGAGAACGCCGCATCCTCATCCTTGGCCTGGATGGAGCTGGAAAGACAACAATTTTATACAGGCTTCAAGTGGGCGAAGTTGTCACTACAATTCCAAGTAGGTCACTGTCTGTTTAAAGCTTAACATTTTTAGGCCCCCAACACAAATATATTTGTATGAGGTCAGGGTGGGTAGGTCTTTTTAATCAAATATGTTTTCTTTAAAAGACTCCCCTCACCATCTCCACTTACAACCTCCATGTGGCCTGATGCCTACACAATCAGGGGACGAATCACTCTCACTCACTCCTTCGACATGTCCTGGTTCTTTCATTCAGCATGAGAAGGGCTAAGAATGTACGCTTAGCTGCCGCCAGTATTTCTTCCCTGGGTGATGCAGAAGATCAGGGCAACCAAGGGCCTAGCTCTTCATGGTACCTTGGTAACTGGTGAGAGACCTCAGAAGTCTTGTAGGAAATGATCCTCTACCTCTACCAGGATGGTCCAACCTACTCATCTATCTGCAGAGCAGGTTACCACACCCTTTACGGCCATTGCTATGGCACATTGTCCTAGACTCGAGTCCTTTATGATGATACGTGGCTTTCCTGTGGAGCCTTTTGTAAAGGAAAGGATCAGGAAACCCACTACTGAGTCGCCTCAATTCTTGGCTGAATACCTCCCTTATCTGCGTACCAAGGGAAAGGCATCAACATTACTACCTATTTGGTTGCTCTCACTTCAGTGTTGGAAGTTCGATTTGGAAGGCTTTTACAGTGGGGGTCACCTTATAGGAGGGTCCCTTTTTGGACGGCGATATGTGGCACAATAACAGGTTTAGCATGTTCGAGACGGATTAGTTAGACCAGAACTTTCAGCAGTGGGTAATAAAATTGGCTGCTCAGTAGCTCTCAATGTTTTCCAAATAGTGTTTTGGAAGAAATTGATTACAGCGACAGGCATCCCTTTTGATTCATTGATTATATTCAGTATTTTGAGTCTGAACTTTGTAACTACAACTTATCAGGTATCAGGCTGATTTGGAAGCAAATATTGCTCTTTGGATGATGACCGGGTAACAAGGGCATGACTGAAATACTGTTGAAAAATACCCAACTCACTGACTTCTGTGAAGTGGCAGGACATCCTCAGGGATGAGAATTTACACAGACCTGCAGAATTTGTTGCGTCAACATGGTCAAGGGTCATTATTGTGATACTTGCCATTACAGTATTCTCATAAATGATGGTGGTCCCAAGAGGCCCGGCTAACTTTATGAAAAAAACCCTGTCTCATCCCTGTATCTTTATTTTGTCTTTTTCATTTTCAGCAATTGGATTTAATGTCGAAACAGTTACTTACAAGAATTTGAAATTTCAAGTTTGGGATCTGGGAGGCCAGACAAGTATAAGGTAAGTGTGGTATGGTGTTGAGTATGTCCGCCTGTCCTTACAGGTTTCTCATGAAGCAGGAGTCCAGCGAGTACACAAATATCAGTACTTGCAATCATGTTTTAAATGTGCAGGAATATACAGTGGCTGCCAGTCTTTGTCTGAGACTAGTGAAAATGTGGAATGACTAGTTGGTTTCTGGTAAACTGTACATTTTTTAACTTATCCTGCATTACTCCTTTATGTATTAACTGCTTACTTTTGAGACACGAAGCTGTGATGGGTCCAGCCGATGATAAAATAGTTGTTCCGCTACAGCAGCAGGGCCTTAATCACCAGCTGCCTTGTCATACCAGTAGTGGTGACATAACGGAATCTCAGTTTTTACTTTTTGCTTTAAGTTGTACCAATAAAGTGGTCCCCAGTTTTGGGGTGTTTTTGGCTGTACCCGTGGTCTGCGTGTTTGCATTCAACAAAGTCTATTCCTTCCTGTGACAGGTGGCCTCTGGGTTTGATGTTGTATATTATATTTATTTATATTAGCTCATGAAGGTGACAGTTTGTCACATGTTTCAAATGTTGTTGTTCCATTCTGCCATCTTAAATTGCCATCATGGCCAATGTTACTTTCGAGATACACTTTCTGTATTTACGTGTCGGCCCAGTATGAGCTTTCTGCATATATTCCTTTAGCCGTCTATTGGCGTTTATAGTGTAAAACACATATTATGATATGCTGTATATCCATTATTTTTAATTTAAACTTTGTTCTCAATAATTGGGTATCATACTCGTTGCAACTTCACTGTAAATTGATACTAGCTGCTTGCACTCAAGCCATTTAATCTGTCGTTAAAGTGTAATACAATTCCTATATTATGGCGTATTATTTTTTTTAATCAAAAACTTGTTCTCTATAATTGGGTAATCAATCTATTTAAAACTTAACTTAAAGTGGGTTTGAATTTATGCTTGCTTGTTCTAATTGCTGTGGTAAAAAATCTACTAAAGATCCTCATCCTCACCCATGTTACAGAAGGTGCTACATCGCCCCTTTTGTACATGCCTGCGCCTGCCTACCAGCAGTCTACACTGGTGCCTTTGGCACCTTACGTACCGCTTGTGCCCCAGGTTAATACAGCAACCCCAGCACTTGCAGCGCCTCCTGCTCACTAGGCCTTGGCGACTGTGTTAGTCAGTATCTCCCGGCACGTCTTTCAGACGATCATCCCAGCGATGTTCCAGGAGCCGTTGTTCTGTACGCCTATCAGAGCACTACCAAACTCCTTAGTCGTTAGTTGAATCACTGGACAACCCATCAGAGTGGGATACTCACCCCGTCCTTGCCCAGGTGCCAGATTGGATGGCAGACCGCGTTGTCTCCCCCCACTTCCATCCCATCTGATCCCTGCTTAAGGACATAGTCAGGGTACTGGACGAGGACTCCTCACTTGATCCTTATTCCAGCTTTCAGGGCACCCAAGTTTAAGAGTTCCGATCTGTGCTTTGAGGGAGGCCTAAGTGGGGTCGTTGAGGCCAGTAATTATCCAGATACCAGACACACAATTGGCTTTCATACAACAGAGGTCCGAAGCTCCGTCGCACCTTTGGCAGCGCCTGGACTCATGGTGAGGGTTCTGTGAAAGTTCTGTTCTGTGAACAATTCATTGGAGAGGGCCTAAGTACTCTTGTAGAATTTGTTTCATGTGGCTGCTGGTAGACATGATCTGTACCAAAACCTGAAGGTCATCACAAATTCATGATCGATTATACATTTGACAGAATTGTCATGTGCCACCTGGGTACCCATGTTGCGGAATCATCGTTCAAAGGACATGACCAGGTGTCACAAATATCATGGAGATCAACTTCCTCCTACACAGGCTGTATCACATATTCTACACAGAACTCGGAAACACCACTTGTCTGTCTAACACACAGTTCACAGTGCATTGTCTGTGTGTAGAGCTTGAACCTCATTTCCGGCAAGATGCCAGATTCGTGGTTACTGCGCAGGGTGATTTAAATGTCACGTGTCAAGAACTCGCTGACTGTAAACATACCAGACTTTACCGGAATCAGGTCATATGATCTGACGCTAGCCGTGCAGTGTATTTAAACATTGGTCAGCAGGCTTACTTGCACGTAATGCTGCAACCACCCGATCACTCTAATTTCAGTAGGCCTCTGATGTCTACATGCTGAGCAATGAGGCACCACCCTTCATCGTTACCTCGATATGAGAATGGGAGTGCTTATGCAACGCTCAGGGGAAGGAAACGATTACCTTACCACGTACAGTATGATCTTTCAGACCAACGAATTATATATATTCAGCTACTAGATAAGCGTTGATTTTATCATTCTTCCCACAACCGTAACTTTGACCACCGATGATAACACGCAGAGTAACGAGGCACCTCCCTTCATCTTCACCTCAATAACAGAATGGGAGCGCTTATACGACAACCAGGGGTTAGAAATGATCACCTTACTTTGTATGGTATGATCTTTCAGACCAATGAGTTATATATTTTCAGCTTTATCTACTGGACACAGCATGGAATATATCATTCTTCCTACAACAGTTACGTTGTGCCTCGGCGATCAGTTGGGGAGCGCATTTATTTAGTCTACATGGGATCTGGCATTGGTTCGCGGACGAACACAATTTTCCATGTATCGTCAAGGCATGACACAATCAGAAACCCTCTTGAAGTTGACTTTTCAACTTTACAGTCTTGTAGAGAGCCTTATCTAAATTGCTCCCTTACCAATGGCAAGTGCTCCTGGGACTGCTCACATCAGCTCAGCACCTGACATATCCCTCTGGTTGCATGCCATCATTCTTCAGGCATTCAAGATCGCAAACCTCGATCCATCGAGAGCTAACAAACCTCACGAGATTCTGGTGGTTGTCTCAACAATTGCTCCACACATTAATGTTTTATTAAAGCCATCATGGAAGGATGCTTTTGGAGGTCCGGCCACTACCTGAGGGACGAGGCCTTAGACGACGTTAAGGTCATTTGCCCAGCAGGTCTCCAATCTGTGAAGCCATTAAAAGCCTTAAGCCAGCCTTACCCAACTCGTGCAGTGTTCGCATGCTTGATTCTTATTATTCTGTTACCACCAGTGGCTAGGTAATCCAGTTTGTAGACCCTAGTGCATGCTATTGTCTTCCTGTTTGTTTGCCTGGACGTCCTCATACTCTCGTTCCTTTCTGCGGACACGATTGGTCGAGCAGTTGCTATAAGGGAACAACCTTTTCCTCATCAGCTGGACCCATCACAGCTTCGTTTGTCAAAAGTAAGCAGTAAATGCATAAGGAGTAATGCAGGATAAGTATACAAATATAAAAAAACTATGTAGATTATACTGGTTTTGTAATTTCTTTGTTACATATAGTGTGAACTGAACTATGGACTAGTTGACTACTGCTTATGTTGTCTACCCTCAATGTGTCATCATCAACCCATTTCAGACAAAGACTGGTTATTGATCTTGAAGGATGTGTATTTCATGGCCTCTGATTACAATCACGATGGTCCGAAAATGGAATATTTCATGTTTTAGAAAATGGACCAGGATGTTTTAGTTTGTCACCTGGCTTACTGGGTCCTCAACACAAGGCTTGTTCATGTATGTAGCTGCTGGTGTCTTTGGCCAAGCCTTGATTATCATTTAAAGGCTGACATGAATATTGATGACTGCACATAAAAAAACATTTTCTCACTTACTTCATTAATTTTTAGACCTTACTGGCGCTGTTACTACTCAAACACCGACGCTATCATCTACGTGGTGGACAGTATGGATCGCGACCGTATCGGGATCTCCAAACAGGAACTCGTATCCATGTTGGAGGTAACTGGTGCCTTCTTTACTCTGGCACATGTCAGTGTTTTAGACTTGTTAAAAAACTAAGCAAGTTCATCAACTACCTTCAGAGACTCCCAGACTCAATATTTACAGACTGTTGTCATATAGCTGGAATATTGCTGAGTGCGGCGTGAAACAACAAATAAACAATAAACAAACTTTGATGCTAGGCATGGTTAGAAGAAAGTAATTGTAAACATGATAAAGAAATAAACAAGAACTTCAGTGATCGAAACAGGTGCTAATAATAGTGCAATGATAAAAAAAGTCATGTGGTCGTGATACGATACATATCTCGATACGCCAGCATTATGATAGCAACACAAAGGCCAGGCACTGGTAATAGTAAGTGACAAAGCCTTTCCAACTCCTTCCAGCACACAGCTTCAATAGGGTTATTCTTTCATTGAGGAAGTAAAAAATATGTATTTTGTATTGTCATGTATCGTGATAATTCTCTTACGTACCATATATCAAAGGCCACGTATCAAAGTGTATTGTTTCACTCTTAATTGCTAGCACGGCTATTTCTTCCTTACTGGAAGCAGATGTGACGATTCATTTGAATAATTTTGCAAAAAGAAATATTATTGTCATGATTGTGTTCAGTTGTTGGTACGAGCAATTTCATTACTCCAGTTGAGTTGAAATTGTCTTTCTTATTCTTTAAGGGAAAATGTTGAATAAGCAATCTTAGGCATTACCATGATAACTAAGATGGATGTGACAGGGTTCTTGATTGGTTCATTTGTTTCTTCAAAATGACCTGAAGATTTATTTGTTAATGATATAGACCATCATGCTGATGGAAGGATGTCTTATCAAAAGTTGATAAAATCATGAAAATGTTGTAATGTCCTCTCTGTCGAATTGCAGCATGGTCTATAATTGCCAATTTCAGCGCTGTTGATCGTGCCGGGATCATTCAAGGGTTTGAATCACATATTCACCCAAATTATAGCGAAGAGATGTTCGACATTTTCCATTATGAATCAGTTCAGTATTTGTATTTTAACGATAGATTTTGATTTGAATGCTACATCTGTGTGCAGGAGGATGAGTTGAAGAAGGCAGCGCTGGTGGTGTTTGCCAACAAGCAGGACATAGAGGGTGCCATGACAGTGGCAGAGGTGGCCAATGCACTAGGACTCAGTAACTTGAAAAATAGAAAGTATCAGATATTCAAAACGTCTGCAATCCAAGGAGAGGGTCTGAATGAAGCCATGGAATGGTAAGATCTTGATTGTCTTTTTGTTTTTGTCTTTTTCTTTCTGCATGACATGACATGACACCTGGCCATGTTGTCTATGATGCTGCATTTCTCTGTGCAGAGTTGTGTCCCTTTGTCATGCCAGGATCCATAGGTTTGGGGATCCTTCCTCATGATCTTTGGCCTGTAACACCATACTATATGGGTTTCATCAAAGTCTTCGTGTTATGACCACATTGGGCTTACAATACTGCTTCATGCTTCAGACAATGAGCATAAGCCGTGAGAGAGCTCAGTGATCAAGGTGCTTCATACAGTTAGCATAAACCATGAAAGATCTTAGTGATCAAGGTGCTTCATACAATGAGCATAAGCCATGAAAGATCTTAGTGATCAAGGTGCTTCATACAATGGGCATAAGCCGTGAGAGAGCTCAGTGATCAAGGTGTTTCATACAATTAGCATTAGCCATGAAAGATCTTAGTGATCAAGGTGCTTCATACAATTAGCATAAGCCATGAAAGATCTTAGTGATCAAGGTGCTTCATACAATTAGCATAAGCAGTGAAAGATCTTAGTGATCAAGGTGCTTCATACAATTAGCATAAGCCGTGAAAGATCTTAGTGATCAAGGTGCTTCATACAATTAGCATTAGCCGTGAAAAATCTTAATGATCAAGGTGCTTCATACAATGAGCATAAGCCATGAAAGATCTTAGTGATCAAGGTGCTTCATACAATTAGCATTAGCCATGAAAGATCTTAGTGATCAAGATGCTTCATACAATTAGCATTAGCCATGCAATAGCTCAGGGATCAAGGTGCTTCATACAATTAGCATAAGCCATGAATGATCTTAGTGATCAAGATGCTTCATACAATTAGCATTAGCCATGCAATAGCTCAGGGATCAAGGTGCTTCATACAATTAGCATAAGCCATGCAAGAGCTCAGGCTTCAAGGTGCTTCATACAATTATTGAATTAACATAAACTATGATTGATTCCATGGTGACTCTTTTATTTTCAGGTTGGCAACTACGGTTACAAACCAGAAGTAGCATTGGACATTGGCATGAAATTGTATAAATGTGGTGAATGAAGAGGAACGCAAGTATGGATACATTGAGGGGATGCAACTGTGTCATCTTCACCATCACTATGATACTGGTTCTGCAGGCATCAGAATCCTGTCATTAACTTTAGGGAATATGACTGTCGTAGCTAATGTCAAGCTATGGGATATGGATTCATAGCCTGGGATATGTTTGGAGTATGACAAAGTAACAGATTGCTTCATCTTCATCATTAAACATACAACAGGGGGAACTCCAAGAGGAGTTAATACTGACTGGATTAACCACATTTGGGGGTTCAAGTTCAGTTTTCAAGTTCAAGACATTTGGAATAATGATACATTACTCATTAAGCTTTAGAAAGCTATTTATGTATGAGATAGACCGAACAAGTTATTACCTCTGGTGCTGTTGCCATCCAAAAAGGGGGTTTTAGGTGCACAGATCCAGAAAGTATGTCGCTGACAATACAAGACTTGAGAACAACAACTCTTGTAGAACGACATTGTTAGGAAGACAGAATGTGCAGTAACTACAAATGTATGACCTCTAAGTCTTCTTGTGGTTGAATTGAAAACAAGAACTGGCTTTGGCATGTTTAAATTGTGAAGAATAAGTGCAGGGACTATGTACCTATACAGCCAGATTATCTTGGCCATTGGTTAAACATACTGGGTATTAATGTGGTATTCATCATTACTCTCATGCATGTTAAAAGATTGTTTGTTGTCACTGGAATTCTAGTTCTCAGATAAATCATTATTTCTAAGTACGGGATATTCCCTGTGTAGGAAATTCTCCATTCTGACTTGGATTAGTTATTTATTTTAGGTAATTAACATGATAAGGTATATATACTCCATTGTTGGATCCTTTGTTTCATGATGGGAATTGACGAGTTTGAGCCAGGGAAAGTGTGGCTCCTTGCCTGTATTGTTTTGAGTGGCCATACAAATACCTGTTATGCTAGGTTGTATGTGGTAACTCCAAAAATAGACCGCATTTTATGAAAAAGTTTCTTATAATTTCTTTGCAGAAACTTCGATTTTTATTAAATATAACAGATTTTTTATGATAGATTAATTTAAGGTAAGCTTGAAGCTAGTTGACAAAAAAGACGGTTTGATTGTTACTTACCTTATTCCTGAGGTGAGAATTATGCCACATTAAATATTAATATCCCCAACTAAATGACTGATAAATCAGCCACTATACGAAGTGTTCTGAGTGTTCAACTTCAAACTCAATTGGTACCATGTGATCAAAATATATTAAGGTGGTTAATTATCACATATATCTGAGCTGTTGATGGAATAAGATGTTCATTGTAGAGTCACAGCACATGTTTAATATATGAGTGCGATGTTTAGCACACTGTAGTATTTTTCCTCTCCATCATTGAGGCTATGTCCTCTGCTTGCTTTGTGGGTACAATATAAGATGAGCTGATTTCATATGTTCATGTAACTGTTGCTGACTCTGTTGTGTTGTGAGCACATGTATTAATTTATTATAGTGCTTGAGAAAGTTTGTTTACATATTTTGATCATTTTGAAATCTAATTCATGCATGAATATCCATATATCATCGAACTCATCAACTTTTGTGATTCTAAGTGATTGTTGTTACAACCAGTGATCTGAATTTAGATAAAATTAATTTTGAAACGTCCCTTTCATATCTGGATATTTTGTTAATCCACATCTGGGTGTGTCAAGTTATCTTGCTACCATAACTGATAGGTTTTGTTGAGATAGGAGCAAAGCTAGTGGTAGTCTAACATCCAGTCTCTGAAATGAAGTATTTTACAGAAAAAACAATTGTAAGTTATCTTAAAATATAAGAAAAAGGAGCCCAGGGAATGTTCATTTTCTGACACTGCAGTAATCCAGGCCTGCTAGACTTGCATGGGCTGTATATTGGTTATATTTGTTTCAGGGTTGGGTCTGGATTTCTTCTTCGGTATTTTACTGTTACTTATGATGTAAGGAATCAAATATGTACTTTGCATCATTCATAGTAGTAATGTCTTTTTAAACCTGTCCTCATATTCATTCTAAGCATGTATTTTTGGTATTGCCCAAATACATGTCATTCCAAACACAGCATGAAAATAATAAAGCACATTTTGTCCAATGAAGTGTCTTGCTTATTGAAGCGGAAATTATACATTAGCAGAGGATATCAAAATCACATTTTATTTTTTAAAACTTGAAAACTTAAATGGACCAGATAAAATTGAATAAAATATTTTAAGACAAATACATTATGAGCCTTGGTATTGTATTGTGTATGAAAATTCCAAAATCATGTCATACAATCCTGTTTTGTTTTAGATGAGTTTGAATGTTGGGTATTGATGTTATTCGCCAGTATTCATTAATATTATTAATGTGTGGTTTAATTGGGATATTTGACCTGGGATAATAAATGCTATACCAATTTCTTGGATCATCATTCTCAAAACATAAGTGTTTCAAAATATCCCTATATAGAGAATGTGTATATTTATTTATTATTATTTGACAAATGATCTTCTCCACCTGTGATTTTCAAGATGAGATATTGTCCCAAAATGTCATCTGTATCAAAGAGTAGGTCTGAGTTGAAACTCAATCTTCCATGTTGATAATGTTAATTTTGTCAGCTAAGTCTTTCCATAAATAGTGTATTGATAGGCCAATATGGCAGTGTTCGAAATTCTGGATGAAAGTCTGAGTACTTGACATTAAATAATGGTGTGGAAATGAAAGATTTTGATACTTCACAGAGGTGGAGAGTGTGAGTAACTCAACTTGTCCACAGCTCATTTCAGACTAAATGTGGGAAGAAAACAGGTGTTTTTTACAGATTGCTGCTAGTTGTTGGACTAGAGGCTGTATGTAGCCCTGCTGTGTATATTAAGACCTTAGTGATTTAGAGCCTCATTAAATTTCGAACACTGTTAGGTGGGTGCCCATACAATGACAAGGGCTGTAGTCAATGCGTCATGTACCGTTTTAATGTTTGGACTGAAATATTCTAAAATGATTATGACTGGTCCTGGGAGTGACGGATGTAAAGTTTATGTTCAAGTTATGCTTGTAATCCAAGATGTTTTGTGTTGCACCTCCCTCATCTCCATCCTGCACAGCATCACATACAGGTCAGAGGTTGTTTGTCTGTGTATATTATCAGTATGGCCAGTCTGGCTGATTTGTACAGAGATGTTCTACAGTGGGATTCATATTTGTAAATAAAGTCAATTCTCTTTCTTCGATCGATTATTTGTTATCAGTTTTCTGCCAACATTTATAGGTTGTTGTGGTAAGACAACCTCTGTACACAAATGAATCTGTCGACATCATAGGCCCAACCATTGTCTAAGGTGCTACAATTTGCTTTGCAGAGATGTGTCCTTTGGTCGTGACAGAAACCTATGATCACGAGTTCGAATCTCAGATTCAGCCAGGATTGCTTGTAGGTTTGTCAGCACCGTGCCAATGTTTGTTGGTTTCACCAATATCAATTGTTTGACAGGCATTACTTAGTGGGATGACAAAGTAGACAATTAATGGATAACAACAAATCTTGCTTGACAACGATATATTGATCTATACCTAAATGGTGCCTTTACAGTATTAAAGAAGTTATCCATAAATTGTGTCTACTTTGTTCAGCAATATGGTATTTGTTTTAGACCTGCAACACTTCAGGCTTTCCTCCTACATCAAACAGATAGGTTGTGATATAACTGGAAATATTCTGAAGGGCCAAATCGTTGTTCATCTACTGGCTGTATAAATCAACATGTATGACTGTCATGTATTGACAGGGTTGTATCAACAGAGTCCTGGAATGCCAGCATTAATGTAATGTACTGCAGCCACCTACTTGCAACAACTTTTAAAGTTTGAGATTTATTACTTTTGAAACGTCATCAACAGCCACATTATCACTCAAAAGTAGTGTAAAGCCCATTTCTGGTGTCCCCCGCCATGATATTGCTGGAATATTGCTAAAAGTGGCGTAAAAAATACTCACTCAAAAGTAAATGACTTTACTTTTAATTGCTATCTTGATTCCCTTGAAAACGACTGTTTTGTCATGTTTGCCAATTTCATCTTGAAGGCTTTTGACCTGATGTTGCTTTCCCTAACAAAGATTGTAGTATGTTTTAATGTACATAACTACCATATGAATCGTGTAACAAAGGAAGAATATGTCTTGTTCTTTTTCCCTTTCATGCCGGCAGGAATGGATCAAGATCTCACATCGTATTGATGATCAACCACAATTGTCCATGATTAGTTGACTTATTTTTATCAAGTTTTAGTCATCTTTCAACAACAATAACAACATAAGACATATAATTGTTGAAAAACCTGAGGTTTACTTTAATTCAACTTGGTTACTGTACAAAATAGACATTAACAGATGCACCACTAGCCACACGTCTGCAGTGGATCTACCAAAAACACTGACAGAAGCAACATCTATAACCACATGCCCTCCAGAACATCCTCAGGCTGCTTGCACTGCCATTCCCCAGTTCAAATTGTGTGGTCTTTCAAAGGGTCATGAGTTTTATTAATCTAGATTGGTTTTGAGTTGATTAAATGAAGATATTCCACACTGCAGGACTATAATCTTGGTAAATCTGGGATATGAAGCCACTCACAGATCCTGTCCAGGGGATTTCTACAACACTAGACCACTGGGACACTCGGGCCCACCAAGGTAACTAGTACTATCCAACAACTGAAGATACAATGCTTGCCCACGTGGAGCCCTATCCTGAGTAAATGTATCCACATCGTGGATGGTGAAGATGATGGTGTGGATGACCCCACACAACTGGCAGAGGGGCACACGCATCTTTCAGGAGGGTCATGCTGAAACAACATGAAGAAATCGTTTGTTGCTTATTAGGCTGGACTAATGAATATTGTACTATAGAAAAGTGTTACACGGGCTTCATGAATTTTACTTTTAGAAATAAAAGCATTTCATGTAGGTGAGTTTTTTCTGAGACCATATACCAGTATACAGAAACTATTTTGCACTACAAAAACAGCAGCATGTGCAGCATGAAATGGAACATCAAAGCTCAAAACATGACGTTGCAGCTAAAAGTTTGAATACAAGACTGACATGTAATATAAGTAAGTTTACCGGTAGTTAGTACAAAAATGATAAAACAGTTGTATGTTGAATAATACCATATCATAGAACAAGACGAGTCCAAGAGGCCTTTACCAGACCCACCATTCCTGCATTTGGGTCTAGAGTGAGTGAGTGAGTTGGGTTTAACGCCGCTTTTAACAGTATTCCAGTTATATCACAGTGTGTCCGCTTAATATGGGTGGAAAGCCCGAAGTGATGCAGGTCTCAGACGTTGACCGCTTTGGTGAATTCCACGAGCACGGGTATGGTGCTGACAAACCTAGAAACATAATCGGGGAGAACCGGGATTCGAACCCACAATCTTGGGTTCCTGGCATGCCCAATGGATGCAACTCTGCACAGCGAATCACGACGACTGGGCTACCCGTGCCCCCTTGAGTCTAGAGTAAGCCATCATGTATGTGTGATGAGTATGGCTTGATGCTGCACGCATTGAACCGTGTTTCAGTTCTATCACAACATGTCAGCTTAACTCCGGGTGAAAGCGAGCACAGGGATTCTACTAACTAGGGCTGGGACGAGTCCAAATTTACTCCCCGGGTACCCACCCCACTATTACCCGACCCTACGCGGGTACCCGCTGTTGGTCTCAAGAGATAGGTACAAATGTCCGATTGGGAATAGTTTGACCGTAGCCCTGGCAAAATGTAGCCCTATAAAACGATCTGGTCATGCATACACTGAAGTTGACTGAAGTTTTATCTCTATTCAAACATATAAAGTCAGAAGGAATGCGTGCATAGTCAGAAAGAAATGCGAACATTAGTCACTTATAGTGCAACCGTGGAAGTTCTAGATAATTTTTGCTATTAAACAATATATCACGGGTCGGGGTAGTACTGTGGGTACCCGGGTCCTACTCAGGACCAACCCAACCCAACCTGAGTACCCGAGTTACCCGTCCCAGCCCTACTAACAACGTATCCAGACAAGACTATGGGGCGCAACTTTGCACAGCCTTGCCCCCAATCAGAGTAAAAGACCCTCACAGCAAACCCTGAAACTAGATAATGAAGTTGACCAAACATTCTATGACCTAGAATATTGAAATCCAACATTTCTTTGATCGTCATCTTTGACCTTCATTGTCTTGTTCATTACCATCCATTGTACCGTTTACTTTTGATCCAATGAAGCATTTGGAAAAATCTTAAACTATCAGAAATCTTTTAACCCCAATAAAATTTAAAAGCAATTTTTAAGATGAAATATCAACAAACAGTTGACTCTAATTTGAAGAAGAGACAGTATTCAAAATTAAGGGGCATTTTGGACCTGGCATCCCGCCCTCTCCCAATACATATTTGATGACAGTCAACTGTTTGTAGATATTTCTTTAGATTTGTATCCTATACTACAACACTGTCTCGATAAGATCCATGTCTCCGTAATCTCATACAAGACATTCACGCAACCACATATCTTACCTTTGTTATATTTGATAATGAGAATAACAAAAACAGTAATCTGTTTTCTTTATCGACCACTGAAGCAATACTGCAAAATCAGATCAATTTCATACAAAGATTAATCATATTTTTTAAAAACTCATGAAATTAATGTTTGTGTACCTTTTCAGCTGACACAAATAATAAAATAGGAGACAAACCAGTCATAGCAGAGCATGTGCAGGAAACACGCTCAGAAATATTTAACACTGAGGAGAATTCTTTGTTCTACAGGGGTACAGTGTAGTGGCATTATTGTTTCAGGTTGGTAGAGATAGGGTAATACTGTAGTGATCGGTGACAGAAAGTCTCTGTGGTTGAATTCACTTGTACCAAAAATGGAAATGGGAAACCAAAATAAATAAAATAATGACATTCCATAATTTTTTTTGCAGTACTTGTGTTTCAGTACAACTAGAATTTGCAAATATTCAGTCCAACAGCACCTGCCAGTTGCGTTCATTGCATTCAGCCAGCACATCTTTTACCACACAACTATATCTGCTTTCATCATAAATGATACTGTATTTGACCCTACTACTTTCATTTGGTGTATTTCCCACTACAGGTTTGTGCAGATTTGCACTTATATTCATGTTGATAATCAGTGCTACGAAATTGACAATTATTTATGACAGTTTTTTTCATCAGGAAACTAATGAGTGAGTGAGTGAGTATGGTTTTACGCCGCTTTTAGCAATATTCCAGCAATATCACGGCGGGGGACACCAGAAATGGGCTTCACACATAGTACCCATGTCGGGAATCGAACCCGGGTCTTCGGCGTGACGAGTGAACGCTTTAACCACTAGGCTACACGACCCCACCCTAAGAAACTAATGAGATGCTAACACTCTTTATTAACCAGAGGGTTAGAAATACCCAGTTCACAAAAATCATATGTGCACTAGTGCAAATATCACACCAGTGTATTGTAACATCATCCGGACGGCACTTGTCATTCAAATCTTATTGTGACCTTAGGTCGAGTGAGTGAGTGAGTTGGGTTTAACGCCGCTTTTAACATTATTCCAGTTATATCGCGGCGTGTCAGCTTAATGTGGGAGGAAAGCCCGAAGTGATGCAGGTCTCAGACGTTTAGCACTTCGGTGAAACCCACGAGCACGGGTAAGGTGCTGACAAACCTAGAAATATAATTGGGGCGAACCGGGATTCGAACCCACAATCATAGGTTTCTGGCGTGCCCAAGGGACGCAACTCTGCACAGCGAATCGCGGCGCCTTAGACGACTGGGCCACCCGTGCCCCCGACCTTAGGTCGAAATGACGTCTCACTAGAAACAGTGTCATAGACGAAGATTATTGACATCATTGCAATTGTGGTTTTCTAAGAAGGTGCTTGTTACCCGAGCATTTTTCCTAAAGGGAGCTATTAGGCAAAGAAATCATTACACTGTAATCATCATCACGTGTATCATTCTAGTCTTACACAACTCGTGTAAGAATAACCCCTGCTCAGGAAATACAAGAATTCTGAAACTCTTTTCGTGAAATCAGTATGACACACATGCTTGTATAAAAGTCTCTATTATCAATATGAAGTTTCACAAATTATAAACATGGAAACATTAAGTCTATAATTGTTTTATTATATAATAGAAAGACAACAGCAGATTCAACATATCAAACTATTTTAGCTACAATAATGTTAGGAGGTTCCAAGAAGCATCTGATTGTTTGGGGAATACCAATTGTGGGTAAATCTCATTCTAAGTTTCTTAACTCAAGTCAATACCATAAATTATCATATACCCATCAATGATAGGAGGCATTTTGCATATGCGATAGAGCCAACATGGAGACGGTCATATCACCGGGGGTGTAATAACCAGGCCCGTGTCATGCCCCCTGCCGGGCTGATATGGCTTATCAATGCGTTTTGAATAGGCAATCAATATCAGCCCAGGTGGTAAGGATTTAGAGTTAGGTCCCTTGGTGTGTTGTCTGCTCGGCTAGCTTTCCCGTGACAATGTCTTTCAAAAAAGGTGATTTTTTCTTCTTACTGTTTTTCACAGACATATACAGAATTTATAGTTGTTTTTGAATGGATACATTTTACAATTTGATGTTATGGTATATGATAAAAAGGCTGATATGGAGTCTGATATGGGGTATGATATGAAAACTGCCATAAAATAATGTCTAATATGTGTTTCTGTCAAATAACATGTGACCTCATCTTGGCGAGTGAATATGGCAATAAACTTAATGCCAAGTTATCCATAACAGAAATACCACCTACCGTATTCGACGTAATAAGCGCCCTGCTCCAATAAGCACCCATGGCGATATTTGCTAATATATTGGCTAGTGAACAATCCCAATTAGCACCCCTTCCGATTGATCAATGTACACAAGATTTATTTATTCGTATATTGTGGGCAATTAAATTCTGGAAAATATATCTGTCGTGTATAATACGCACAGATGTTTCTTTTGTATCATTTCAGGCTGTCAGCATAAACCACTAAATTTATGATCTTTCAAATCTGTTTTTTCTCTCACCAAAACTATATTCTAATAAGAGCCCCCTATTTCTAATTTTGAGAGCGCCCTGGGCGCTTATTACGTCAAATACGATATATCAAGTACAATTTAGTAACAGTCTGGATCAGGCAAAACATTCACTGAAAACACAAGCAACAATCTATTATATCAGAGTTAGGTCATCTCAAATCAACCCAGTGAAAGAGCCTAATATTGCTGGGATCGGAAACTTGGGTGCTCGGGCCTGTTGGCTCTGAGTAGGATCCGGGTACTCACATGACTACCTGGACCAGGGTTTAGTCAGGTAATATATTGTTTCAATACAGTAACAACAAAAGTCACTTATGGATGCATTTCTTACTGGTAATGCATGCATTGTTTCTGACTTTTATACATTTGAGTAAAGATATAACTTCAATCGACTTCAGTGTATGCATGATCTGATCGTTTTATATGTGTAAGTAAATAGCATTTGCCAGGGCTTCAGGTAAAACAATTCCCAGTTGGCCATGATGTACCAACTCTTGAGACCTACAGTGGGTACCTGGGTACTGATGGGTAATAGGGGTTGAGTACCTGGGTTGTAAACTCGTCCCAGCTCTAGAGCCTAACCACCCAATTTAGTCTGCTCTGTCAACAAACATGAGGTGCTAGGGTCCTATTCTGACCCAGACACCTCAAAGAAACTCGAGCCACTAGTCCAAATGCCCGAGAGTCTTGTAAAGTTCTCTTCTGTCTAGTAAGCTCAGATAACAACAGCCCATTTAACGCTAAAATGATGTAAAGAACCATGTTCGGGCTACCGACTCAAAGTTTTTGGCACAGGCTGAGTTTAAGGTTTCATCCCAGTCAACCCTGGCTGAGTTAAAGTTTTCATCCCAGTCAACCCTGGCTGAGTTTAAGGTTTAATCCCAGTCAACCCTCGCTGAGTTTAAGGTTTAATCCCAGTCAACCCTGGCTGAGATTAAGGTTTAATCCCAGTCAACCCTGGCTGAGATTAAGGTTTCATCCCTGTCAACCCAGTATGGATGGCTGGACAAGCACTTCCTGTGGTCTTGATGTTTCAGTTTACTGAATGAAACATCACCAGACATCAATTCATCATTGCAGCAAAAGATTATACAAGAAAAACTAAATTTGTGAGTAGGGTTTATTTAAGTAAATTGTGAAATATCATCAACCATATTAATCACATGTCATAACCATATGTCCTCTAAAACATGTTTTTATGTATCTACACAGTATCTGGTTATCCATATGCACTAAAACACAACTGTGAGCTGCTGTCACTGGCTAAAACAAAACCTTTCAACAGTTTGATATAGCTGCAGATATAAACCTGTTCTATGACAATTAATCATTTGACACATCTCAACTACTGGGGTCAAATACATTGTTACACTCTGTTACACATATGTATATATATATATAGTCTGCACTTTTATCCACTAGCCTGAAACCTGTGTCAAGTAAAATTTCATATGTCTAGCAAGATCAGCTTGTACTAGTCCATATAGTAAGACTAAAATCTACTGAAAATAACGCCAAAATACATGTTCAGGGCTAGAAGACTCAACAGCTCTTGGCACAGACTGTATATACGTGTTAATGTTGAATTCACCATACTTATTAAAACACTGAAACTGACAACACCATTACACATTCAAAGCCTTGTATACAAGGTTGCTGAGCACAGCTCAGAGTAACAACAATAACAAGTTTGATCAAAAATCGAAACCATGTAACCATGGCTACCAGAAGATTTGGCTCTTACTGCAATGCTGATTTCCTGAAGATCTTTCCCAATATCAGATCTATACTCCGGATATTTACATCAACGATTTGATGACCCATTGGTAACAATATTTACATGCTGGTTAGGGATTGACAATGTCCTCCTGACAACTGATAATGAATAATACAAGACATGGCACACTATATGAAAATATCATATGTATGTGATTCTTTTTTTCCCAATCTATATCATGTCATGCCTGTGGGTCATTCAAATATATATCACATCTTGAATTATATGGAATAGAATATAAGAAGAAATGACATGATAATGTAGAAAAAAACAAGTAAATACTGCAATATGTAATGTCTTGATAAATGTTCAGCAAATATGTTTCTAAATATGACAGAAATTTTAGGCACATATTACACACTGTCAATACAAAAACAACAGAAATTAAGAATTGAATGTTTTCGTTACGGTAGACATGTGGTTTCAGCGCAGCCAAAACAAGTTGACATTCAAATCTAGCACTATATTCTAATCATCATCAAAGCATATCAGTCAGTTAGTGAGTGAGTGAATATGGTTTTTGCTGCTTTTAGCATATTCCAGCACTATCACAGCAGGGACACCTGAAATGTGCTTGACACATTGTACCCGTTTGGGGAATCAAACGCGGGCCTTCAGTGTGACGAACAAACGCTTTAACCACTAGCTACCCCACTGCCCCATAAGCAAGTCAATAAATACTTAAAGAAGATTGGTTTGCAATAAGCAGGATTAGTCACAGTAAACACTGCAACAAACACAAAAACACACAATAAAGTGTATAAGGAAGCCTTGTTATCACTGTGTTGGTCAAATCTACATATGGTGGTTGAGATGTACACATCCATGTCAAACAATTTGTAAAAATAAAAAATGAAATCAATGACACAGGTACCATTCCTGGCATTCACAGGATGAAGATCATTCATAAGGTTGTTCCTAACCATTGGACACCACCAATTCTTAGTCAGGGCTTGTGATTGTAACTTGATTGTGCTGAAATAGACAGTATGACAGCAAGCATAAAAACTCCTGTAAAGAGGAAAGTCACAGTTTTATCACTTCACATTTTTTACAAACGTAAGCAACAAGGGGGCTTGCATCTTCTCAAGAAAGCTACACTGTATCTTGAATACACTTGATACATGCTCAGCCGCATCACTTATTCACAAATATCAGCTGAAAATGTTCACTAAAATTCCTTACGTATCTTTATGCATCAAATCTAATCCAGTGAAACTCTGTTAATCTGGATAACCTTTCCAGTGAATAATCTGGATTATCAGATTTATGGATTATGAATCATTGTTTTAGTGCATGAGTGCTTTACGATGCTTTTCGCAGTAGTCCAGCAATATCGAGGTGCGTGACACTAGAAAAGGGCTTCACACATTGCACCCATGTGAGGAATCGAACCCAAAGGTGCAATCAGCAAATACTTTAAAGTTTAACCACTAGGTTACTCAATTGTTACGGAGTGAAGACATTTGTGTATATGTAGATGTTAAGTTTCTGTGGAGGGTGGACTTTCTGGATGAAGATTAACAGAGTTTCATTGAACCACTGATCTCACAGAAATGTCTTAAATCTGTGCCCCGCCCATTGCTCCAGTAAGATCTGCCTCATAGTCGCTGTCGACCCCAACTTCTTCCTCCATGGTGTCCTGTCGACCCTGCCAGGACAGGTTGGAGCGTCGCCGTGGTGACACCCCTTCCTCCGATGTGCGGGAAGGACTGTATGGACTCTGCTCACTCTCAATTAGGTCATTGGGTGAGTAAGGTGGTGGAGGATCTGCTGAAATGATTATCAAGGATATATGAAAAGTTAATGTGAACAGGTTTTATATCGTTTTTAGCAGAATTGCACCGATAGCAAAGCAGAGGACATTGACTCAACAGGCACTAGAAATGGGCTTCACACATTGTACCCAGTGGGGAAACAAACCCGGAACGTATGCCATGTAGGCGCGATTGACATTAACTTGAAAGTGAGCAAATAGATTTAACACAGATTAAGCAGTGTTCCAGTTATAGCAGGGTGGAGAACACCAAAAATGGTCCTCGCACATATGCAAACCAGAAGTGAGTAGGAAACGCCTTAACCACTGTCTACTCCACACCATTCAACTTGCAAGACATAAACTTTCATACAATCAGATATTTGTCACGGAGGAACAAGACTGAATAACCGAACGTTGTTCCATGTCAGCGAGATTCCAGCTTTACCACCACAGCCTGTAACAATATGGTCTGTTATCACCACAGCCAGTAACAATATGGCCTGTTATCACCACAGCCTGTAACAGTATGGCGTTTTATCACCACAGCCTGTAACAATAGGGTCTGTTATCACCACATCCTGTAACAATAGGGTCTGTTATCACCACAGCCTGTAACAATAGGGTATGTTATCACCACAGCCTGTAACAGTATGACATGTTATCACCACAGCCTGTAACAGTATGACATGTTATCACCACAGCCTGTAACAATAGGGTCTGTTATCACCACAACATGTAACAATATGGTCTGTTTTCACCACAGTCTGTAATAATATGGCCTGTTATCACCACAGCCTGTAACTATATGGCCTTTTATTACCACAGCCTGTAACAATAGGGTCTTATGACCACAGCCTGTATCAATAGGGGTCTGTTATCACCACAGCCTGTAACAATAGGGTCTGTTATCACCACAGCGTGAAACAATATGGTCTGGTATCACCACAGCCTGTAACAGTATGACCTGCTATCATCACAACCTGTAACAATATGGTCTGTTATCACCACAGCCTGTAACATTAGGGTCTGTTATCACCACAGCCTGTAACAATAGGGTCTGTTTTCATCACAGCCTGTAACAATATGGCCCGGGCAAACAGAATTTGACAGAAAGTCCACACTTTTGTCACCAGCTCTTTAGACATTCATAGGTCTAAGGATACTGGCAAACTTTTCTACTCAGCAATATTCCAGCTATAAATAATGGCAGTCTGTCAATAAAAGAGTCTTGACCAGACAATCTACATTGACACTATGGGGAACAATCCACGCCCTCAGGGTTCGATGAAACTGATTCAGCAAAGAAGAAGAGAGATAACATATAGCTGACATATCGCCACTTACCATAATTCTGCTGTTGAGGTGAATGGAAGTTGTGTGACTGGCGCCGACACTGGCGGATCTTCTCCTTGGCTTCCTGTACGTAGAACTTGGTAGTCCCGGACCCTAGGAACACATAAACAGCAGATTGGTAATTCTCAACTCCAACATACGTTTGATAATTTCAGTTACACTTAACCATCCTGTCTGTTGTTTACCGCCACACTCAGCTATATTCCAGCTATATGACATCAGCCTATATAATTAAGTCTGGACCAGACAATCCAGTGAGTGATATCGTGAATGTCGGGGTATGTTGACACGCTACATTTGGTTGCCTCTAACAACCAGCATGGGTTGCTGGGACCTATTCCACTCCGGCAGTCCCAGGAGTTGAGAAGTGTCAATATACCAAATACTGTTTCAGGACCTTGACACCAACATTACAGCCATAGATAAACTATCAGTAAAGGAGAGCCGACCAGACAAACCCATGGTGGACTGAACCAGGAGTGACCCACATGTTGAATTAAATGTCATAGAGACATCTAAACACATTCCAACACAAAGCAATAACAAGACATTCCCCTCCAACTTGATTGGGTTAATTCCAATAGGTAAGCCAAAACCTAATCTGTCCAAAAGTGTTCAAGCCATACGACAGTTGTCTGTAAATGAACAAGTCTGGTCCAGTAACCAGTGGTTGATAGCATGAGCCATCTCCCATGCTGTGGGGATACATCACACAATGACCTCAGTCTCTAAGTCTGACCACCAACATAGTCACCTCTGATAAGGATTGGGAGCCTATTCCAACATACAGGGTTCCCCTTCTGCAGATGGCGCCGAATTTCTTACTCAAGGATTTGAACATGGCTTTTAACATCATTTTCAGCAGATTTTAGGGTTAGGCTAAAAGAACCTGCATCATCATTAAGTCTGCCGCATGTTTTATTTTTTTTTCAATTTAAAAAAACCCTAACAATATAGCACAGAGTTACTTCCTTTTACATGCGCACTGCGTTACTGCACATCTCGTGTTATGGTCATGGCGGCAATAGGAGTTTGTATGCTTGTTTACATAGGGAGACCCTTTCCCAGGTTGATGGTATACAACTGCTTATTTGGTAACATACTAGTTTGAACAAGCAAAAAAAACCTTAAAAAACACCACCCGCCCGCACTATATTTTCAAAAGCCATTGCCTTAGAACTAATTCTTTTATTTTTTTAGCCTTATTTATGGACTTTTATTAGCTGTGCTTGGTAGAATGGACAGAATTTGACTAGACTCGGGTTTCAGAGTAGCGGCAAGAGTTGAAGACTGCTCAAGAGATAAGGTCATGGGAGCTGACTCCAGCACTTCTGGCAACTGTGAACAGGATCTCCATCTCACCTGTGTATTTGATGTCTCCCAGATCTTGGCCATGTACATCAGGCAGTTGGTGGGCTATTTGCTACAAACAAAGTTTCTATTACAGCAAAATGTCTTCATTTCAAACAGTTGTTTGTCATACTTCTAATTGTGTTTTTAATTATGGTTGTCATAACATGCACAGTGCAGACATCTAACTGAAATACTGTTCAAAGTGGGGTTGAATGAAACATACAACAGTTCTTTTTGTCATTTCCATGACAAGATGACAGCAGCAAATATATGGTAATGTCAACATAATTCTCAATGTTATTGTGGATTTCATAGGCAGATCCAGGAATTTGAAAATGGAGGCCTGCACGTATGTGACTATGGAGGGTGAAGTTAACATGTCTGAAAAAGGGGAAGGTGCCACCCACTCTGGATCTGCCAGAGGAGTTCATAATGGTTTAGAAAACAATCACAATGCCAATATAACCGAGCTACTGTTCAAAACGACATTCAACAAAATGTACAAAAGTCCTACAGTTCTTGTAGCTAAATCAGCTAAATAAGTGATGAGCTGAAACAACACTTGTATCATCTCTTGAAATTCAATACATCTGTTCTTGTTGTTTGTTGTTTAACGCCGCACTCAGCAATATTCAAGCTATGACGGTGGTCTGTGAATAATTGAGTCTGGACCAGACAATCTGGTGATTAACATCATGAGCCTCCTACAACAAGCCTCTTTTGACAAGGATGGGTTGCTGAAGACCTATTCTAACCCGGATCTTCATGGGTCTCAATACATGATAAAACGTAACATGTCAAAACACACATGTTTCTTGTCATATTGCTATCTGAGGGATCTTGAAACAGCATGAAGAAAAAACAAAGTCACAGCCATACATACAATCATGTGCTCAATGGTTCTACTTACGGATTGTGCATCGAATATCACAGAACACTTTTTGGAAAAATCACAATAAGCATCAGACACTTTCAGCAGTCCCTCTTTGATACGGATCAGTTTCACTGCTTCATTTTCATGCACTCTATCAGCAACTGCAACAGAAGTTTTTAAAACTCAGCACTGATTTAAAAAATACAGTCCTGTTAATCGGACGCTCGTTAATCGGACACTCAGCTTTATCCAACACTAATGATGGGAACCGAAAACATCAGTGCTATTTAGACTTGTTAATCCACCAGTCTCACTCCGACTCTGACACACCTGATTTGAAACAGATTGCTGAAATCATTCATAATCGGAATTTTTTGAAGTTTCGATCTAAACAGTTGATAATACTTAATTCCGTTTATTCGACATACTCATCGACACACCAACATAATCATATGTAATCAACCATGACGGATTAACAGGACATAATGGGACATAACGAGACATAACGGGACATAACGAGACATAATGGGACATAACGAGACATAACGGGACTGTAAATGAGGATATCTCTTTTCTGGGGTGACTCATGGCATTGGACTTCTTAAATACTTTCACTGTGATAGACCTCTATCAATAGTGACATTGATAAAAACATAAAAGGGAAGAATAAACCCAGCATAAAACATTGAATACCAGCGTTAGAAATTGGCACTAGTCCTGTAGTCCTTGCCAAACTGCCCAACAGTTAAGGTTTCATAAGGACAAGTAGAAAATTGACATTTCCAGGGGTTTTGCTATATGTTATCATTATAAGGACTAGTGGACTAAAAATGTTAGTTTCTATAACTGATAATATTAATGCAAGTGCACTGACGTAACACTGACGTTCATTGAGTGAGGTATTTTGGATGCAACCCAGTCTTTCAGTCATGTCCCAGTAGTCAGTCTCATATAGTGGCAACCAGGAGATGTTCAGGAATATTTTGATGAAGCCAGAGACAGGCTCACAGGTCAAGAAGTCAATCAACAATCAATTGATCCTGGCAGACCAGGAGATAACCTACGTTAATTAATTATCCACTCAGAACAATCAACTTCTATATGCTTTCAAAGCACAAACAAAACATTTTTAATTTAAACATGCTTTATTTTTACCTTGAGCGAAACAGTGAATATATAAGTCTGTGCCATAAACTTCTGACTCTACCTGCCCAAATAAGGTTCTAGCCACATTTTCAGTAGATTTAGTGTCATGAAATAGACCTGTATTATTAACGGAGTTTACTAGACCGAACAGATTTTTCGAGACTCAGGCTTTGGATTTGTTTCTGAGGTGAGGTGAGGTGAAATTGGGTTTAACGTCGCGTCCAAGATTATTGCACTTATATAGCGACGTGCATGTACGTGTGTGTGTTTGTGTGGCTGCTTGTACTAGTCCGGACTGATGCCGATTTACAGTGCTAGCTCACTGGGATACCATGCCGCAGTTCAACATGAATACCCCACTCAGACACAGTATACTGACTCCGAGCCGACCAGTCCTTGTTTTAGCCCCTTAATGCCGAGCGCCAGACAGGGTAACAACAAGATTTGTTTCTGAAGATGCCCAAGTCGAAGACTGATATATGTGCTAAACATGGTGGCAGAAGAAACTGCGCACTTTGCCTCCTGTCACACATACCTACTCCTGGGGCAAGAGTTTCTCTGCTCTCATCATTTTCTCAAGAGTCCAGAAACTTGTTTTCTGTGTGAAAGGTAAACTGCCCAGTTTCAGCTCACCCTACTGTCGAGCAGCATCCTTCCCTGTTGGTACTTGCTGCAGGAGATTCTCATCCTAACCAACAACTCATTGTTACAGCTTACCTTCCACCTGAGCTAAGTCTTTGGCTCTTTCAGCTTGAGATAACCTTCCTTCCAAACTCTGTAGCTCAGCAGATGTTGCTTTCTAAAAACAGGTATGGCAATGAATTGTTTGAAAGGCATTACTTAGAAGTTAACGGATGACAAAGTGGACACAATGTATGGATAACAACTTCTTTAATACTGTACAGGCGACGTTAGGTACAGATACTTATACTGTTGTCAAGCAGGCTGGCCTTGATTGACGTTTCATTGTTGATCCTTATATTGTTGTCAAGCAGCCTTGCTTTGCTTGATAACGGTATAAGGATCTATACTGAAACGTTACCTTTACAGTAAATAAAGAAGTCATTATCCACACATTGTGTCCACGTTGTCAAGTATTGTATTACTGACACACTTCACCCAAGACAAGTTTGAAATACTTTTTCCACTTTTGCGATATTTAGGTTGGTAACACATGTAAAAATATGGATCTTGCCTTAAACACATAAAAGAACAACATTTCTGCAATTGTTTCTGAGCAGGTGAGATAAGGAATTGGCTATATGAAATAAAACTGCATTTCATGGCATAACAATATGGTATCAATTAGGGGTGAAACTATACATCAAGGTCATGATACATAGGTGACGATATGATACGTGTAGCGATACACATATTTACATCAAATCGAATGGAAACTTTTTGACAATAAATATTTCAGAGCAGGTTCAAAAGGAAAAGCTAGCTGTAGACACATGTTCGCAATGGCTATTTTCGTAGTGAACTTGAAACGCTAATTCCAATACATTTTCCTATATCTGACGGGCTAAAATGCCAGGGGTATTATTTCAGCAAGTGTATTTCTTATATCGATACAGAGAAAGACGTATAGTGTATTGTATCGTCACCTGAAAACTCCCGATGCACTGGTGCACCGATGCATCATTTCACCCCTAGTGTCAATAGTGTTGACTGAAGCCTGTGACAAGAAGTTCTGTCAACAATGACCCACTTCCCATTGCCTACCTTGAAGGCCTTCTTTAATTCCTTCCTAATCTTCACCTCACGCTGCTCACACGAAGCCTGGGAGAGAGGCATGTATATTTACTACAAACTGGACACGACAACACAGGAAAACGGTACTGCTTATGAAATATTAAACACCGTATTCGACGTAATAATTAAGGGTGCATATAACACACGAGTGCGTATTATACACGATTCAATAAGTGTTATGTACACTGATCAATCGGAAGGGGTGCTAATTGGGATTCTTCACTTGGCAATATATATTAGCAAATATCCCTGTGGGCGCTTATTATGTTGAATACGGTACTGGTTCTAGTACATTTGAATACCTTCTGACTCTCAGTGCCTACCAGTGCTGAAACAACTACTGCTTTTTTACTCATCATATTATTTGATATGAATTGGTTACATCACAATATTTATCCTGATGATACGTCTGCCAAAAACTTATCAGTAAGACCATAAGTAGAATACTTCAAAAGAAATGGGCTTACCATTCCACTGACACTAATAACATTTGGGAAAGCAGTTAAATATACACAAAATATTTTTTGAATGCAGACATGCGTGCTGACCAAATGTAAATGTGCACACTATGAGTACTGCAGACCTGACAAACATGGCGATACAATATATTCAGATAATGTTTTGAAGAACAGACACAAATATAAAAATGTCTTTTATATTTGTTTTTCTCCTACCTTCCAACCAATCCAGGGTCTGTTTCACAAAGTGATCTTAGTTCTATTACAATAATAAACCTAGTATGGGAGATACGATCATCTTAGCGCAAAGATCGCTGTGAGGCTTAGGGCCCCAGACTTTACAAAAAAGAATACATCTTGAAGACAAGATAAATTACGACAGACGTAACTTACAAAGTTGGTTTTGGCATGGGCAACATGCTTCTCTCCCTCCAGGACCATCTCATACATATGTTTGTACTCCTTGATGTGCTCTGCAAAATAGGTCATTTCACATCTTATTGATTGTTGGCTTGTTGTATAACACAGCACTCAGCAATATTCCAGCTATATCACAATAGTCTGTAAACAAACAAGTCTGGACCAGACACATCATGGACTTTCATCTCTGTGATTGGGATTTGATGACGTGCATCAACCAAGTCAGCGAGCCAGACCACCTAAACCTGTTACTTGCCTTTTACGGCAAGCATGGGTTGCTGAAGACCTATTCTACCCCGATGATATTGTTAATACTTTAGGCGCACACGTTGAGAGCTGGAATGGAAAATGGCTGCAACAAACGGTAAATGTTTTGAAAATGTGTACCCACCAATAAATTCTCGTTGTACTTCTGTCCATACTAGATTGAGTTCAGCCAGCTGGTTGGCAACATCCTGACAACACAAAATGGCGCATTGTGACCATGAGGGAAGAGTCCCAAGTTGGATGGAAGTCAGGAAGGTGAGGGTCTCCTAACTATCCAAGGTATTTACTAGATGTCAGAACGGAGCAATCCCTCGGGTATCCAGGGTATTTACTAGATGTCAGAACCGAGCAATCCCTCGGGTATCCAAGGTATTACTAGATGTTAGAACCAAGCAATCCCTCGGGTATCCAAGGTATTTACTAGATGTCAGAACCGAGCAATCCCTCGGGTATCCAAGGTATTACTAGATGTCAGAACCCAGCAATCCCTCGGGTATCCAAGGTATTACTAGATGTCAGAACCCAGCGATCCCTCGGGTATCCAAGGTTTTACTAGATGTCAGAACCCAGCAATCCCTCGGGTATCCAAGGTATTACTAGATGTCAGAACCCAGCAATCCCTCGGGTATCCAAGGTATTACTAGATGTCAGAACCCAGCGATCCCTCGGGTATCCAAGGTTTTACTAGATGTCAGAACCCAGCGATCCCTCGGGTATCCAAGGTATTACTAGATGTCAGAACCCAGCAATCCCTCGGGTATCCAAGGTATTACTAGATGTCAGAACCCAGCAATCCCTCGGGTATCCAAGGTATTACTAGATGTCAGAACCCAGCAATCCCTCGGGTATCCAAGGTATTACTAGATGTCAGAACCCAGCGATCCCTCGGGTATCCAAGGTTTTACTAGATGTCAGAACCCAGCGATCCCTCGGGTATCCAAGGTATTACTAGATGTCAGAACCGAGCAATCCCTCGGGTATCCAAGGTATTACTAGATGTCAGAACCCAGCAATCCCTCGGGTATCCAAGGTTTTACTAGATGTCAGAACCCAGCGATCCCTCGGGTATCCAAGGTATTACTAGATGTCAGAACCCAGCGATCCCTCGGGTATCCAAGGTTTTACTAGATGTCAGAACCCAGCGATCCCTCGGGTATATTTTGGCAATGATGTTATAGAGGTTTGTATTTTAAGAATCATCAAACAATAGTTGTCATTGTTATTAGTTCAAAGAATAACTTTAATACGTCTGGAGTAATCCCCCCTTCCCTTCTCCAATATTCTTCATCTAGTTAAACGGCTCAATTAAGCAATATAAAACATGCATCAATGCAATCTATTATTGAAAAATGCAACCCAATATTTATGTCGACATACATAAGTGCATGTCCAAAATATTCATATTTGAGAATTTGACTACCTCTAACTTGTCCACACATCAACCTTTGAACACAGTCAATATCGCACTATGTGTAATTCATGACACATTACACAGTCATCATAAATCTGAGATTTTGCTTATTTAGACTAGTTTATGCGTCTGTGTTTCAACTTTGATAAATTAATGGTACCAGGGTGCAACCTGGTTTGTTCTGGTGCAACCTGGTTTATTCTGGTGCAACCTGGTTTAGTCTGGTGCAACCTTGTTTAGTCTGGTGCAACCAGCTTTTCATGTCAACATGCACCTGGTGCAGCTCAACTCCAGTTCCTTAAATTGAGACCCCCAATATTCTGCATCTAGGTGTAGATGTTGGAAAGAAGTGGGGTATCCCACCTGGCACATGCACTAGAGGCTTGGGAAGGGAGATATCATTAGTGGCACAACTAATCATGGATGGTTGACAGTGAAGAGGACTTCTGTTGAAAATCTAAAGATTTTATGATCTAATGACAGTATACAAGATTTACTGCTCTGGAGTAATAGACGTTTTGTAATCCCAAGATTTATGTGTATATACTGACAAAAAACTTTTTCGGCAGGGTTGGTTGGGTCCCCAAAACAAAGGCTCTTTCTTATTCATATTGAAGTCTGAAAGTGACTGTGATCACTCATCACCGAGCAATTCACAGACATGGTGATGCAGATGCTTTGAACAGTATTCCAGTGATATCACAGCATGACAGCTTGATGCAAGCCCAAAGTAATGCAGGTCTTAGATGTTTACAACTTTAGTGAAACCCACAAGCACGGGTATGGTGCTGACAAACCTAGGAACATAATCAGGGAGAACTGGGATTTGAACCACGATCATAGGTTCCTGGCATGCCCAAGGGATGCAACTCTGCACAGTGAATTGCGGTGCCTAAGACGACTTGGCCACCGGTGCCCCAAGTTGCCTCACAACAAAAGCATTCAGGGGAGCCATGTTTTTCTCCAGCATGATGTCACTGGATTGCAAATGCTGCCTACCTGTATAGCACGATTGTCTTCATGTGCAGTCCATTTCAGGAGATCTTGTGAAGCTACAACAAAACATGTCATTCTCAAATTGGTTCATCATTAATAAATAACTGTTTGCTAAAAGTCAAGTTGAACTACAATCATTAAGTAATATCGAAACCTGGCCTCTCACTTTCCCAGTAATATTTACAATTATCACAAATGTGATATCAGACAATCTGGACAAAGATAACTCTTGATTGTCATGTATAAAATGTGAATAATGACCATGATCACTACAAACTTACGGTATGCTTAGGACCCGTGAAGATCTGGCGTAGAATAGGTCTTCAGCAACCCATGATTGCCGTAACAGGCGACTATGCTTGTCGAAAGAGGCGACTAACGAGATCGGGTGGCCAGACTCGCTGACTTGGTTGATGCATGTCATCGTATCCCGATTGCTGGGATCGATGCTCATGATGTCCATCACTGGATTGTATGGTCCAGACTCGAATGACATTATGAGCATCGATCTATGCAATTGTGGTACAATGACATGCATCAACCAAGTTGGTGAGTCTGACCATCCAATCCCGTTGGCGCCTCTTATAAACAGAATGGGTTGCCGAGGAGCAGTTCTAACCCAGATCTCCATGGGTAGTGCTGTCTACACAGTGTCTAGGGCTTCCTGGGTGTACCTACCAGCTGACTGGGCATTCATGAAAGCCTTGGCTGTATTCCGCATGTCCTTCACCTCAGATATGAGCACATTCAGGTCAGCATGACCTCCATTCAGAGAAAGCAACTTAACACTACTCCTGAAAATAATCAAACAAAGAATAATTTGATAATGTATTTATCATTGTCTACAGCATCATTTTCCAACACTGATTTGATAAAGCATCTTCAGTCTACTACCCTTTACAACATAAACGTGCAAAGGTGTTTTGGTAAAGTATGCAGCATACATGTCCTAATACCAATCAAGCTGATACTAGCCCTGTTAGTTAGATACTTCACTAGTGTTCACAAATATTTCCATAATACTAACTATCCCTCATTTCTTAAAACTTGAAAATTGGTATTAAAGCCCTTTCTCATTTCTAGTGATATACACATCTTCCCGAGGCAAGTGAGTCAACTGACTTTAAAAGTCCAGTTTCCACCCCTGCCGAACTGGCTATTACAAGTTATGTCCCTTCTATGCCTCTCCTATGGACCAATCAGATTCCACCTCGGTGCCCAGTCAAGACAATCTGATCAATAATCAAGATCTGTTCTGTGATAAAACAGGTCTTACATTGGGAAGTGCATCAAATCACATGAGCGCCTAGATTAAAAACATGAAAAGATTTGAGAAATATGTGTTGACAACGAGTTGGCGGTGCACATGCTTTGCAAATCCTGCAATCAACCAAAATCAGAGTTTAGGAACAGCATTTTGATTTCATTGCACGATTTTGATTGGACTATGCATAAGACTCATTAGTCCAACCAAAATGTAACTCAATAATACCAGCCTAGTTCGGCAAGGGGGGAAACTGGACGTCTATAGTCTGTTAACTCTCTTGCCTCGGGCAGATGTGATAGACAAGGCTCATTTCCATGTTTGCCAAAAATTAAACATTACTCCAAGGTATTCAGAACCGTTGTATAATGATCAAGAATTTCAATTTCAGGAACTCTACCAGATCAATACCATGTTTTCCAAAGCCATTGTTAGAATACCGACCAATGAGAATGGTAGATTAATCACTGTGGTATAATACATAAGTTGTCATAACCTGATAACTACAATTTTGAAAATTAAAGATTTGAGGCCCTTAGACTAAACACTTACAGCACAAAACCCAAGGACCACCTCCAGGCCTTATTTTTTAATGGTAAGCAAAATAATACACAACTACAAAAGAAAAAAACCACAACTACCAAACCAGTGGGGAAAGTTTAAATAATTCTGCACATACTCTTTTATACCAGTTGAGTTATGCCTTATAAAAGATGGGCTCATGCTATTTTTAAAGAAAAGGGGGAAGAAAAAATAATAATTTCAATTTTATTCCACATGTGTAAAATTTAGAGTTGGCGGATCCCTTAACCAGGTAATACAAAAACATTGCCTAAATATTGTTATATGATGCCAAGAAATTAATTATGCCAATGACACCTGGACCTCAACATATGAGCATGATTAGTGCGCAATTTGGAAACAAATGACAGAAAACAGAAAGTTAAACATAGCATAAATAGGCAAATAGATAGATTTGCCTGCATGTGTGTGCATGGCTGCTTATCACTAATCCGAAGTTATGTGTGTTTTTCATGTGCTAGCTCACTGCGATACCATGCTGCAGTTTAACATAAATAGCCCACTCAGAAACATGCCTGAAACATAATTCTCTAAATCATACCCATGAACGAATATAAAAAATAAAGAAACACATAGGATGATATTATTTACAAAACATGTTACATACTCATTAAAGAGTTTGTATGAAGAGCATCGAAGGGACGTTTGAATCCTTATTGATAATTCAGCCACAGCATCCATATTCTATTAACTGATGTTTCTATCAGCAGGATTAGAAGTTAGACAAGAAACACAGTTAAAGTTTGGAATGTCCACATGCCCATGATTTTCTTGCTCAAAGTTTCCAGGCAAACTAGGATAGCCTTATCAGGCTTATTCATCCATAATTAATGTAACGCATCCATATTTTTAGACCATGTTCAAAGCCCTGCCATCACTAAAAGATGCAGTTGAAGAGGGTGAGAGTATTGGTGAAAAAACATATACCCATCTCAACTTATAGAGAGTCATTGAGCCATGTATTGGTCTGAGTGTCTACCTTGACTTTCAGAAGTTCTGTAAATAACTGCTGAACAATGATATGAGAGTCTTATCATGCTGAGGGTCAGTGTATGCACTGAGTTTAATACAAGAACTTCATCATCCCCAAACACAGTGTAACTTTAAATAACAGTAGTCTTTCAACATACTGACGGTGGAAAAAGGATTACAAAAATTAACCCCACATTACCATCACAACCTGCTGTACAAAATACATCTATCCCATTCAGCATGTTCTGAATTTACTATGAAAACACATGATTGTTCAGGCCAGAAATGTTCTCAAGTTCTAGTATTTGTCTCACACTTCACTGTACTCGGCCTGACAGATGGAGGACTGCGAGTCTGGACCAGACAATCCGGGGATTGATGTCATGAGCATCGATCTAGGCAATTGTGGCATGATGACATGCATCAACCAAGTCACCGAACCGACCACTCGATCCTGTTAGCCACCTGTCACTACAAGCATAGTCGCCTCTTACGGCAAGCATGGGTTGATGAAGACCTATCCTTAGCCAGGCCTGCATGGGTACCAAGTGTTTCATTTTCAACCATGGATTACTCAAATATACATGATGTAAGAAATTGAAACTCTACCTATATTGAAACATGCACTGGCTGGCAACCAAGTATAGCCAAGGACCAGTTGTTGCCAATATTCTTTTCCAACATCACAACCTCTTTTCATGTTGCACAAATTCCAAAGATCATGAGCAAAATTGACTCTTGTCAGGAAATGTTAGCACTACACTAGAGGTGTCCCAATATGCCTACCACACCATCTCCTCAAAATCATAATCATGTACATAATACTTGAGTATGTTGAATCACGATACAATACCTATTATATAACACAATTGGCAACAATTATGTTGAAATTTTCCATGTTCATGACAAGACAATTGTTTAATTTAAGTTTGTCCCATTTGGATTATGCAATGAGATTTCACATTTGTAATGTAATAGCTGGTACAGTACACCCCTGCTGGAGTGTTTGATTGTCTTTATTTCCTCCAATACTGAAGATTACAATTTTAGGTATGTTAACACCAGAAACAACTCAGGAACAGATTTTAAACCCATCTGTGCCGTCATTCTATTGTTGGAACGCTTCATTACTTTTCAAGTATGGAGAGTTGTTTGTCAACTAACCACCCCATCCCATTAGTCACCTCTTACGATAAGCATAGTCGCCTTTTACAGCAAGTATGGGGATCTTCACATGTGACGAGAAGACATATCTCTATTAATAGATATTTTGAGAGTAATAACATGCATTACTTCCCAATCCTGAAGGGATGGTAATCAATATACCCTCCAAGCATAAAGGACAATATAACATCGTATTCATTTGACCACATGTTTTCAAAGTCATTATCATCAATACGATGAATGCTGCAGCACTTCAGAATCACGGTGTGTACTGCTTAGACTCCCACACGTCCTGTATGGATACACGAATATAACAGATCTGAGATATGTGTATCTGGACATCAAGTGTTATGTTACAATCCATTGACGCGATTACGTACATTTTTCAACTGTGGTCTTATCGCCATAATACTAGAAAAAGTCGTACAAATTCTGACATGATTAGCAAAACACCTGTCACTACAGGTATTCTAAACGTCATCGCAAAAGCGACCGGAGTATGTCAACAATGTCCATCGTCCTTCCTACATGAGAATTCCAACAAAGCACTACGCTGAAAACAAACAGCCATAGGAAGACTACCACATGGATGAAAAACATATTTATATATACCTTCTAACAGCTCTGGCAGCCTTGTCCATATTATCTGTTCTGGTGAAAGCAGAGAAGTCAATGTATTGTTCGACAATCAAAACAAACACCGACCACTTTACAGTCTTTTCCGAGAATCTTCTGGAAGTGGGCAAAAAATAACACTCGTTTTGGTTTTCAATTCAAATGGGCATATGTGATAAGAGCTTTTTTATTCCAATACACCCCAGACAGCCAAAAATATCTAAATGGACATTTTCAGAACCAAATTATGCTTCCGTGCAGACGAATCCTTGCTAATTTGTTAACAGGAAGCGTCCTTCGGTTAAAGCGCCCTCTCGTGTCTGTAAACGAGCACCTGCTGACAGCAACGATCGATAACTCTGCTATTCCCTATATTCTCCGTGGCAAGCTTCACAAGTCTTTAAGAAAAGCCTGTTGTTTGATATGTCCATAATCGCTGGGGCAGTTCATGCTGAAAAATATCCAAATATACATTACAGTACACTCTGTGTAACCCGTCACTGCTCGGGGCCGAGGGAAATGTCGGATTAGATTGTTCTCAATGATTCACTCAGTCTGAAATCCAGACTATCACTTAATTAAGGAAATAATTAAAGATTAACCCTCGTGTTTTACCAAACATCAACAGTTACTTTGTCCAATGTAGATTATCCTTGTTAAGCTTTAATTGAATGTTTATTGAATATTGTTTACTGAAAACATGTACACATCCCCCCACGACCCCAATTGAGTGTTTATTGAAGGTTGTTTACTAAATACATGTACAAATCCTCTACGACTACAATTGAGTGTTTATTGAAGGTTGTTTACAAATGCATGTACACATCCCCCACGATCCCAAATGAGTGTTTATTGAAGGTTGTTTACTAAATACATGTACAAATCCCCCACGATTACAGTTGGGTGTTTATTGAAGGTTGTTTACTAAATACATGTACAGATCCCCCACGGCTACAATTGAGTGTTTATTGAAGGTTGTTTACAATTGCATGTACAAATCCTCCACGATCCCAATTGAGTGTTTATTGAAGGTTGTTTACTAAATACATGTACAAATCCTCCGCGGCTACAATTGAGTGTTTATTGAAGGTCGTTGGTCTTGTTTTGATGTCGGATTACAGAGCGTGGATTTGCTCATGGGGGCCACAAAACAGGGTCGGAATTCGCAATAGACAGATGTCGGATTTCACAGTGTAATTTTTTATGACAACGCAGGGCTGTGTCTGATTAGACAGAATGTTGCTTTCGACAGATGTCGGATTACGCAGAGTCTACTGTATTTGATTAATTGCACTCGTGAGGCCTACCAAGGAAAACCAACACAGAGCAACCAAACCATGGAAAATGTACACATTAAAATTGAAAAAAGCCACACAAATAACAAACATTTTTTAAGACACTGTCCCCCATAAAGTTAGCTTCGTAATGATAAGAATCCACTGAGAGTAAATGGAGCCATCCCGAGTAAGTCAGGCAGTGTGTGACCATTTGTTGGGATCTGCGTGATTTGCTGTATTTTGCTCCAAACCCCCCTTCGCATCACCCAGTTAACGTGTGCATTGTGACGTATTTAGACCACGTGTTACTTTAGGTCTTCAAGCCTTTTTGAATGAATCAATGAATATCTTTAATTAGGCATTTCCGTTTGCGTAGCCTGAACGCAGTCCCAACGGATAAGAGTTACTATTGCTTCGATTTGTGTTGATTACAAAGTAACCATGCTTTCCTGTCAGTATGTTCGTGAATGCTATAAATACGTTTTTATGTGTCTGCTTCTAGCTTTTTGGACCCGTGAAGATCCGGGTAGAGAATAGGTCTTCGGCAACCCATGCTTGTCGTAAGAGGCGACCAACGGGTCCGGGAGGTCAGACTCGCTGACTTGGTTGATGCATGATGTCATGGTATCCCAATTGCGTAGATCGATGTTTTTGATGTCAATCACTGGATTGTCTGGTTCAGAATCGATTATTTACAGACCGCCGTCATATGGCTGGAATATTGCTGAGTGCGGCGTTAAACAACAAAGAAACAAACAAGCAGTATGTTCATGGGTACAATGTGTGAAGCACATTTCTGGTGCCCCCCCCCCCCCCCCCCATGCTATTGCTGGAATACTGCTAAAAGCGGCGTAAAACCATACTCACTCACTCACTCTAGCTGTGTGTCCCGGACTAGACATTACCTGCTATGTGATATCAAGAGTGTTGACGTAAATTATAAACTTGAAAGGGCACGTGGTGGCAACGTGGTACAGCAACGTCGGTCACGGAGAACAGTTGGATGGCTGACCACATTCGACAGCTTGACACCTGAGTGTTTCTAGGGCTTCGGCCCTGCCCCACCCGAAGCATTTGTTACACATGTGATGTCTTCTCAGGCAGGTAACTTTGTTCGAGGATGTTCACCCAGCAGCGAATGGGTACCCGGTAGGATCACAATTACACGGTACCCTCACAGTTTCCCCATAGCTCAGATATGTTATGTTGGTTGTGGATTGTGCTTCAAGTCCTGGGATTTTGAATTGAGATTAGATATATTTTCAGCATCAGATACAAAACCAGATATTTTTTTCTATTTTTGTTTGCAAGTTGTGTTTTTCTTTGGGCCTGAATTCTTTATAAGAAAACACAAAAAACGGAAAGAAATGGTAGGGCAGTTATGGACAGATTTAATCAGTACTGTGAACATCTGGAAGGCAAAATGTTTTGTTTTTTCAAACCTTGTTTCCATTAAAGATCTTAGAAACAAGGTGTTTGAGTCAGTTTAAAACCGCTTTTCGTAAAATTGTCGCAACAGCATGTCCTTCCCGTTAACACACCTTTACCCTTTCTACCAATAGTTTGTGTTAAAATTATATATTCCCTATGGCTTTCCTTGTGTCAAAATGACATTGGAAACATTAGTTTCTTTAATGGGGGCGGTCGGGTAGCCTGGTGGTTAAAGCGTTTGCTCGTCACGCCGAAGACCCGGGTTCGATTCCCGACATGCGTACAATGTGTGAAGCCCATTTCTGGTGTCCCCCGCCGTGATATTGCTGGAATATTGCTAAAAGCGGCGTATAATGTAAATGCTGATTTACAAAATATTAAATGGTACATTCACAATCCACATTCAAATTATGACTTGTGCACATGTATCATTCCATTGGTATTATCAATGAGTCGATTGACAAAATCTTATGTTTATCAAACTCATTTCATTGTATATATTCAGTTTTGACATGCGCACAACACACAGATTGTTTTTTCTTAACACAGTTGCTCCCCTTTGATAAAGTACAACGCAGTGTCTGAAGTTTGCTTGTTGACCCTGAAGGGAGCTTGAACAAGGGACGTAACTCCTTTTGAAAATATCAAGTAAACTGGTATCACTTTTGGTACACGTCGCCAGCTCAGCGCTTTCAGCTAGACAGGAACCCAGAGTAATTACCAAGCAGCATTACTTCCCTTTGACCACAAACTTTTACCGCATGGACCAACAGCAATTGAATTGTCTCCCTTTGACCACGGCAACAAGTTTGTAACGTCACAAGTGTCTCCCTTCGACCGTACATCTCTTTATAGCTTCGGGGTATTGTTCGCTCGTTCGTTTGATGTTTTGTGCTTGTATATTTTTCATTTACTTTTAATCTTTAAGTTTCAGACACATCTATCAAGACCCGTCCACAATTTCCAGGGCATGTAACGAATCTGGAAGCGTAAAGAATTCGGGGAGCTGTCTATTTTTTGTGTTTTTTTTGTGTTCCTGCCTCCAGTTTACAATGTGGGGTTGGTCTGTCTACGCAGGCGTGCGCCACGAATCAGTTCCCCCATAGTTCAGATATGTTGTGTTGGTTGTGGGTTGTGCTGCAAGTCCTGGGATTTTGAATTGAGATTAGATATATTTTCAGCATCAGATACAAAACCAGATATTTTTTTCTATTAATTTTGCAAGTTGTGTTTTCTTTGGGCCTGAATTCTTTATAAGAAAACACAACTTGCAAAAACATATTTTTTGTATAATTTGTGTATTTAAAAACAACAACTTTTTCAACAGCCTGATAACATATTTTAACAGTCTATAGGCATACATTTCGGGGACAATCTACCCCCCCCCAAAAAAAACAAAACAAAACAAAACCAAACAAACAAACCCCCGCTAATCATGAATCTCGTGATTTAAGAGGACTACCAGTACCAGCATGGGGAAAATAACTTTTTCAATTTATGCTGAAAATTCGCCAGTCCCCAAATGGCACTAGATCTACATTTTTCAACACTGACCTGCCTCTGCATTAAACTATCTATTTGAAGGAATTTGTATGCATTCTGGGGTAAAAAACCCGAAATATTTCCTTTTCAAATAGCACTAAATTGCTAGAAATGGAACTACAGTAAACTACGTTGATAACGAACACGCGTACAACGAACTGACCGATATAACGAACTTATTTCTTAGTCCAGGCCATTTGCTGTATATATATATACTGTATATATGCTGATAACAAACTACGGTTATTACGAACGAAAATTAGTGGTCCCTTTGAGTTCGTTATAACCGTAGTTTACTGTATTGATAATCAGAAATGAACTCATTTTGTGTGTGAATACAACACCAACCTTGCTAGGCAACATGTGAATCTGAAAATTGTATGTGCGGGTGTCTGCAGCATGCAAACTGAAATATTTAATCATGCCTCTTAAATATGTGAAGGGTGTCGTCTGGTCTGTATTTAGAATATCAAACTTTTCCCGTGATTTGTCGAATTCTGTCCAGTTTAGGTCTTCATAAATCTGCCTTTCCAACTGAAGGTAGAACATTTTGCATTCTGTTAGACCAGACGGCAATTATTAAAAAAACATGCAAAATTCACACTTACGTGCTCATGAAATCGCTCACCGTGTTTACATTTTTACCGTATTATAAGGCAGGGTTAATTTCATACATAAGTTTACTATCGATCCCAAATGTTTAAAGATGTGGAATAGAATTAAAACTATGAGGATGGTAATAATTTATTTCCATTGAGTCTGTGAATATATTTCACAAAGAGTCAACTTAATAGTGTTGTGGACGGTGGACCATCTTCGAGTCCGGTAACATAAAGAGTAACAGAGAGGGTATGTGTGTAATAATTATTACCATCACATATTGGTGAACATGTTTTAACGCTGGATTTATCTGCTATGGTCATGATAATATTTGGAAAACTGATGCATTGTTTTGTTTTTCATCCCACCGACCACGAGTATTTTTCATTTAATTACCACATTACTTTTTTTTATTACCACCAGATCCAATCTTTTTTTAAGGGAATTTCCTTTAGAATACCTAACTTTTGCATTATGCGTTTTGCATTAAGCAGGAACATTATTATTTCGATAGGTTCTGCTTTCTACGGAAGCCTTTTAGGGCCATTTGTTTTTCTTATTTTTTTTTTATACTATCTTGAAATTTCAACTTAGTATCTTGAAATTTCAACTTAGTATCTTGAAATTTCAAGATCATTATCCTGAAATTTTAAGTAAGTATCTTGAAATTTCTAGATAGTATCGAAAAAAACCCAAACAAAACCAAATGCCCCTAAAAGGCTTTCGTAGCTTTCTCTGCCATAGTGTGCCTATTTTGAGGATACGGATAAAACATTAACATGACATTGCATTTGTGCAAATGTGCAGTCAATCGATACTAATCTGTTTGTTTGTTGTTTAACGCCGCACTCAACAATATTCCATCTTTATGATGCCGGTCTATAAATAATCGAGTCTGGACTTAAAAATCCAGTGATTGACATCATGAGCATCGATCTACTCAATTTGGATACGATGACATGCATCAAACAAGTCAATCTGACCCCCCGACCCCGTTAGTCGCCTCTTACGACAAGCATAGTCGCCTGCCTCTCTTGGCTCTTTGGGTTGCTGAAGACCAGTACTAATCCGGATTCATGTTCACGGGGCCGTATGGTCACGTGACTTGGTTGGTAGCGTGTCATCAATATATCGATGCTCATGATGTCAATTACTGGTACAGACTCGGATATATTCACACAGCCGTTATTTAGCTGGAATATTGCTGAAACCAATCGACTCGTCCCGAAAAGACATGAGTGGTCATAGTGTGTGTGTGGGAATTCTTGCGTGCGTGCGTGCGTGCGTGCGTGCGTGCGTGCGTGCGTGCGTGCGTGCGTGTGTGTGTGTGAGGGTGAGTAGGTTTCTACGCCACTTTTCGCAATATCTCTGTGGAACACCACAAATGTTGGAGAATCAAACCCGGGTATTTGGTGTGATGAGCGAACGCTTTAACCACTAGGCTCCTACACCGCCCTAAACTATATTATTGGACAGCTGATATTGTAGGTCGACGGCACCTGCTGCATGCGGTAAGACCAAACTAATGACGATCCGATAGTACAACGTGTGTCATCATGCCCAAATCGGCTTGGGTAGTTGCTGAGGTTGAAAAATGACGATGCCATTGACATTGATGTCAATCAATACGGGGAAACATTATCTCAGTGAGTCTCTGACATCACCAAACGTCAAAGATGAGTGAAAAAAACACAGAAATACTTTCATGTTAAGTGAAATATTTTAATAGAGACGCTGTCATTACAGAATGCAACAAACTGGATGTCCATTTTAGACATTCAAATAATCAGTTTGTGTTATTACTCTTGATACAATAATAATTAAGTGAGTGAATATGATTTTACGCCGCATTTTGCAATATTCAAGCAATATGATGACGAGGATAACCAGAAATGGGCTTCACACAATATACACCTGCAGGAGATCGAACCCGGGACATAGGCGTGACCAGTTCTGTCGTCACACAATCTGGTCCTTCTCCGACTTTTCAGGACCAGAGGGTAGATCGCTCATTGGTAAAGCTGCCATGGTTCCTGTTGCTTCATTTTGGACAATGCCACATTCCGGTTCTCCTGTGCAGAGATGTCGCTGATTCTGAAGTTCCTCTTCCTTCTCCTGAAACACCAGGTACAAATGTTGGGTGAGATTTGCTGCAACTAACTCGCTGGAATTCTGGGATATCATGGACAAGACAAGTACACCATCGATTCCGAGGAAACTTCTGATGAAACGAGTTACATTGGGTTCGTCAGGGCGAGATCCTTTGGCAGCGTTGATGTGGGCAGCTATCCTGCCATCTCTTAGGAACGGTATGAAGAGAAATCCTGCCCACAGGACAAGGTTTAGGATTGTGATGACAGCCAGGAGGAAGACCCAGTACCACAGGAATATGAACATCTTCTCATAGATTTCGGTGATTGGCAGAGTGCACTGAAAAGTGTATGTTCGAAGAGTTTCCAAAATTCTCACACCGATGTCGCAAAAAACCTGTTTCACAAGTAATGGTTTTACGATGGAGCCCATATCCAAACCAGCATAGGATCCTACCCTGATTGCCAGGTATTGTCTGAAGTATATCGTGAGGAACATAAACTGTGCTATGAGATTGACACATGAGAGAATCTTCACAAATAGGTACAACAGCGCCAGAAAGAATCGATTTCTTCTCAGTAGACTTCCAAATACTCGGGCTGCATCACTGAAAATAGCCTGGCGATTCTCAGCATTGGTCAGTTGTATTTTTTTCAGGGACTCGACAGTTTCGTCCATGTTGAAAGTGAGGAAGTGCTTGCCACTGTTCCAGATGATGTTTGGTACTTTGAAAGCAAGGGCTTGGAAGAAGAGTATGAGGGGTATCCAGAGATGGTAGGAGGGGACACGATCATGCCTTGACTTTGGGACATCACTTGTGTCAGGTTGGGAAAAGACATCCGTGAGGAAGCAGGCATGGTCGGAGTATGAAACCTGTGATGCCTCAAATTGTGAAGGGTACCAGCAGCTTGTAGGATCAGTAATGTATCGCACTAGAAATGCCCCTACCGAGCAGAGGGCCAAGAGGAGAACCGACCAGAATCCGTTCACATTGTCCACCATGTCCTGATCCAAACCACGTCTAAATATTGACAGGAAAGCGGCCATTGTTGTCTGTAAACATTCAACACATAGTTCATATATTAACATGTTATTGTGTAGATAGGTGTAGCGGATAGAGCGTCTGTCCAGAGAGCTGAGGGCTGGTGGTTCGATCACACCAAAATGCGTTATGAGATCGCATTTGTTATTACTCTGGCTGGCGCTTGGCATTTAGGGGTGATACTGTGTCCGAGTGAGGTACATATGTTAAACTGTGGCATGGTATCTTAGAGGGCTTGCACTATAATACATTAGTTCAGACTATTTCAGGCAGCAAAGCGCCAAATGTTACTCCCAACATACCATATCATAGTTACAAAATATGAACTATTTAAAGTAATATCAAAGGGCAAGTAAGTGATAAAAATAATTGCAATTTTTTGCGAATATCAATTGTCCTATGAATATTAAGTCAATATACATATACTGGTTCTGCTATGAGATAATTTGTGCTTCGTGACAAAGTCAAAGTTGTTAACAGTGGTCTGGCATCCACTTTGGAAACATTTCCAATGAAAGGAAGTTTAGCGTCCGGTCTTAACCATGAACATGTATTCGAAAAAAAAACCCAAGTGCCACCCAACTAAGAATTCAGAAGTTTTCAGCCTGCGAATTTGCCACAGTGGAGCACTGTTTCTTATCTGTGATTCCCTTCATAACGCAAATCGTTTATTAATTAATATCTTCACTCAGTCATTGATATATATTTTAAAACGTTACACTCAGTATAGTGTATGTGAATATTGTTCACCAATTAGTTGTGTCATATCTGAGACGCAGTTGGGATATGATGACATGCACTACCAAGTCAGCGAGCCTGATTACCCGATCCCGTCAATCGCCTCTTACAGCAGGCAGGGGTTGCTTAAGACCAATTCTAACCCTGCTCTTCACGGGTCAACGATAAATATAAGCTCGAAATATGAAAACTATTCATGTTATGAAATGTGTCTAAAAACCGAATATTACTTGTTTAATAAAAGTTCCTTGCACAACATATGGTATTTTGCTCAATGGAGAATTTGTGGGACGGGGTTACAAATAGATATAGGTCGTTGGCAAAATGAAGACAGAATCTGCACATTTGGTAATTTTAATTTGATTGCAGATAAACTTTCATGTCCTATTAAAATGTCCATTATATAATGAAATAATAGCATATTATATACCCAAAAGATGTATTGCTAAGTGTACATTCAATTCATGTCGTATTTTAAGGTGTGAAAGCCGAACCTCTGTTGTAGTTAAACCGGAAGAAGTTATGGCATTATTATTGAGATAATCACTTGTTTAACATCGCCATTTCAAGGTTTAAATGTCATATACCTCTAGTCCCACTGTCTGTTGTAAAACTATTTACCTTTCTACTTGGACCAATGACCTTTAATTCCATAAACCGAATTGATTTTAAATAATCTAATCTAAAACAATCTCAAAATAAAATAAAATACTTACAACAAAGCGAACCAGAGACTGGAAACTTGAAAGGGATCCTGGAGGTTTGAAATATCCTTGGGATTACTGTTCGACAAGCGTTGCTTCCACCTCTGGTTGCACTAGCTGTTGATAGTACAGAACAGTGTGATGCTGACATATACAATACTTGCGGGCTGGTTGTATTGTTGACCGACCGCGGCCTTTATGTTCCCTAAGTTTCTGCTATTAACTCTCATTATTTCAAATTGAGCCAATTATGTCATTCAGTTTCTATACCAGACCATGTTATGGCGTTATTCGTTACAAGTGGGGCACTGACTGGATTAGATACTGGGGAATATATAAAACGTTGCTGTTTACAGACCAAGGGGGTACAGATGGCCTAGTGTATTAGGTCACAACAATTCGTTGTGTAGAGTTGCATTCCTTGTCTATAATCTGCTGATAAAGGGCCCGAGATGATGGTCACATTTCCTCTGACATATCCATGTGCAGGAAGGTCGATTTCGGAAAATAAGAAAACACTTGTGGACAATTCATCTGAGGAGCCAACTACTGTGCAAGCAATTAATAAAGCTCTGTCACACAAAATTATTGCTATACCTGTTCATTTGAAAAGCCACATTTGAAGTTTAAGCGTTCTCTTGTTTCCGTGAAATGAGGTTATTGCGAAACAACATCACTGTTTGAAACACTAATGTTCCTGTGATCGGTAATACAGCAAACAAACCCTTTCCATAATCATCGGAAATATCTGCCAAAAGCAGAATACATTGGCGATTCCCACCATAACATAAGCACGTGTCCCTGAACACTATCAATAGTGATGATACCTGGAGTTCACGAAAAGGTGAGCGTATCCTGCCCCACCGGAGGGACCTTTCATAAACAAAGGCAAAGGCAAGTCAATTGTTCACCTGAAAATGTTTACTTAGGTGTGATCCTAATCAACGAATTCTTAATTTGGATATGTAGTCACGCATGCGAAGTTACCTGTCCTGGTGACTCCTATCCTTGGTTGACAGCGCAAACAGTTTACCGTGGCATCCAACTACAGAACTAAATATAATCACAACAGTAAACACTCTGTCGTGCTATTATTGGTGCCAGAACATGTGTGATATTACACAGGGGGCTTGTGTTTCACCAACCGTACATCTACTTACCTAATTAATGTCAGAGTAATCATGGTAATTGTTGCAAATTGCCATTACTGACCTTTCATACAAGAATACTTTGGAACGCCAGCAGTTGTCACCTTCTGTAGAGTGAACCTGGTACTCTGTGATTGTTTTACATAAATAATGTAGGTCACTTGACCGATGAAGAAATAATTGTGTGACGAATCAGCCAAGAAGAAAGTAGTGTACATAAGGTCCTTGGAATAGGAAGAAAAAGTTAAATACAGTGGATCACAGTGTCACAAACATTTTAAATAGTACGTCACAAAAAAGAGTTTTTTACTTGCCAAATCGGCCCAAACTCTAGGAACCACCTTTGGACATTTTGGGCCTGCTTGAACAAGTTTTGATATTTTCTTCCGTAACACAAGGTGAACAATTGACATGCTTTTGCGTGTGTTTGTGATGGGTTCCACCGATGGGGCAGGATACACTCACCTTTTCGCGAACACCAGGTATCATCACTATTGATACTGTTCATAGACACATGATACTGTTCATGACGCTTAAGAGTGAGTGAGTGAGTGAGTGAGTGAGTGTGGTTTTACACCGCTTTTAGCAACATTCCAGCAATATCACGGCGGGGAACACCAGAAATGGGCCTTCAAACATTATACCCATGTCGGGAATAGAACATTGGTGTTCGGCGTGACGAGTGAAGCTTATGAGATAGTCGGAATAAATGTACTCTGCACTGAGCAGATATTTCCGATGATTATGGAAAAAGCTTTCTTGGGTTTTCCCTGATCAGATGAACATTCATATTATGGTTCAAACAGTGCTGTCGTTTCGCAATAACCTCATTTGACAGGGGAATTTCACATCAGGGAACAATAACACGTTTAAACTTCACAATATGGCATTTCACATGAACATGTGTAGAAATACGCTTTATGTGTGTCGGAACACCTGACATCGACTCTGCTTTTAGCAGAGATTTCTTATGAATATAAAAGGCATGTATCGCTTTTATTCCAAATACATGTATATGCACATGATTAATTGAAACATGGTGGCAGACCAGTGTTCAGTGGACACTGAATGGTGTTTATAGATATAACCGTTAATGGGATTATATATGGCTGCCATAGTGGCCATGTTAAAAATCGGATTAAAATTCTGTGATTACTTTAAGGAGGCACCAAACCTAAAACAATTGATTATTCTTGCAAAATTTCAGATTCCAATATGCAGAAACACTAGAAAAACGGGGATACGTTGTATTGTGGAATAAATATCTAAACATACTACAAACGTAAGTTATTTTATTTCGATAACCACATACATGCTGCATATAAAATTTCACAATGAATTACAAAGTAATGTGTTCAAACTCGGATCAAAATTCTGTGAACAATAGTTAGAGGCACAGGTGAGCTAAAAATGGACATAAGCACTCCAAGACAAATGCCATACATGTAGCCTTTTAAAGTGGTGTGTTGTGCCTTAATTAGACATAATTTCATTGGGTATTGTATTTAATAGGAAAGTTCTCTAATCACAATTATTTTCGCTTCAATGTTCATTAATATGTTGTTTATATTGGCATTTGGAATCTCAACATGGTAATCACAAAAGGCAAGTGCATGGGACGTAAATCTGACGATTGGGCGTGCACATATGTGATTTGATTTGAAAGTGCACAACTAAACAAAAGTCATGGTTAGTGCAAATCAGGAGTATATTGTTACACGTACTGCTTGACTATTTATTTTTTCATTACAAGGGATAAGTATCTCAAAGTTTCATCCATCAAGGATATTTTTAGTCAAATACGTGCTCATTTAATCATCAGTTTTCTAAAAAATAGAATTAATAGATACATTTTTATCATAATATATATAGTATAAAGTAATTGATTTTTAATTTGGTAGAATGAATTCATAACTGAATAACAGGGGCTTGAAGTATGGTAAAACAATTGTACGTAAGTCCTGTAAGTCCATAAACTCCATAATTCTGCCACTTTTTAACATTATACTGATCTGATGGGGTCTTCAATGAAGAGAAAGAAAGTCCATGTCACTCCAATCACAAAACCAGTGCTGGGCACTGATTCGGGTGGATATATGGACGTGCACTGAATCATGTGAGAAGATAAAATCAACCTTTTTTTCAAATATTTTGTCACTAAGCTCACAAGACCTTGTTTGTCAAGAATTGTTTGTCATCATTCTGAAGAATCCCGTGCCGAGTGCTTGTGGTTATGCAAGGTAATGTAATGGTTCAAGGACAGCGACCCGTTCCACAAGGCAATCGTAGCGTTATGACAGTCGTAAGTCTATATTAAAAGTATGTGAGCTACGATCGCCGTAGGTCTACGAACACTTTCTGGAACAGAGCTCAGGATAGGTTCGAAGAACCCCCTCCAAGTTTTGAGAACCTGGTTGACATTATATGGCCTGCCTGATTATGTGGCAGCCTACCACTAGGACATAGATGATCGGTGTTCATACTTTCAACCAGCGTCTATAACTATCATATACAGACTGCCGTGTTGTAGCTAGATCATCGTCAACTGCATCCGGTATAAAACAACATTTATCCGATAGGCGAACGTCGGAGGACCTAAGAGAATGAGGCGAAAAATCTTGGCATATATGGTACGAATGATCTGAGTATTTTGGATGTCAGTCACTGCAAAAAAAATCTTCATTTCTCGCAAAGCCATCCGAAATTCAAAATCTTTTGTTAATTTACTTATCATGAGAACAACGGTATCACAACGAGGTTCAAATCAGAGAAAGTGGAGAAAGTGTTACGCGCATATTAGATAAGGTTCTTATTTATTAACTCCGCATTCGGATGATTTTGGCTGCGATCGTAAAATCTCAACCCAGTAGGCAGAAAACATCCCCTCACTATCCTTGTTGTGTATAACCGACCAGAACGTATTCAAAACTGCAAACTATCATAAAGTGCATATAAATAACTATATTGAGATAAAGAAAATCAAAATCAAACATCGATAATTAAGCTCAAATTGCACTGACATTCTTAATCACGGGTGACTCGTTATCACTCCGACATAAACTGCCGGGCAAAAGAAAGCATACACCCTTGTTTGATGGTGGCTAAAATGAAACAAACAAGTAAAGGTGATCGCGATGTATTTGATACGGGTATCACAGTAGTGTTGTGGACCTTACGTTTGCAGTGTTTTGGCAACTGTTTTCAGCCAAGACACCTTTTTTGCCAAATCCAATTTCCAAGTGTGTGCACTTACTTTCGTTTTCCTGGCATTTTACTGACATACGTGAGTACTGTCTTTCACCTCTGTTCACGCAACATTACGGCGGGGGACGCCACAATTTGGCTTATCCCATAGTATTTTCCTGAAGGAGGTTTTCTAGCAGAATGATTTGGAACTCAGTTGTTCCTGGGATGCCAATCCCGTCAGTCGACTCTTTTGAGAAGCAGGGTCCCTTGCACTTAAGGGTAACTGAAGACCAGGTCTAACCCAGATGCATGTTCATGGGATCCTATGGTCACGTGACTTGATAGCGCCTCATCGTATCCCAACGGCGTGGATAATAATCTGACTGGTTCAGACTCGATTATATTTAGACAACTATTGCTGAGACCAATCGACACGTCCCCAAAAGACACGAGTGGTCATAGTGTGTATGTGTGCGTGAGTGCGTGTTTGTGTGTATGTGTGAGAGAGGGTGTGTACGTTTCTGTGCCACTTTTCACAGTATTCCGGCAATATCATTGTCGAACACAACAGATGATGAAGAATCAAACCCGGGTGTTTGGTGTGATGAGGGAACACCTTAACCGCTAGGCTGCTCCACCACTCTAAACTATATTATAGGACAGCTGATATTGTAGGTCGACGGCACCTGCTGCATGTGGTAAGAAACAAATAATGACTATCCGATAGTACAACGTGTGTCATCATGCCCAAACGGCTTGGGTAGTTGCTCAGGTTGATAAATGACGATGCCATTGACATTGATGTCATTCAATACGGGGAAACATTATCTCAGTGAGTCTCTGACATCACCAAACGTCAAAGATGACTGAAAAAACACAGGAATACTTTCATGTTAAGTGCCAATGTAAAATATTTTAATAGAGGCGCTGTCATTACGGAATGCAACATACTGGATGTCCACTTGAGACATTCAAAGAATCCGTTCGCTCGTCACGCCGAAGACCCTGGTTCGATTCCCGACATGGGTAAAATGTGTGAAGCCCATTTCTGGTGTCCCCCGCCGTGATATTGCTGGAATATTGCTAAAAGCGGCGTAAAACCATATTCACTCACTCACTCATTCAAAGAATCAGTGAGTGTTATTACTCTTAATACAATAATAATTAAGCGATTGAATATAGTTTAACACCGCTTTGGGCTTCAGACAATATACACATGCAGGAAATCAACCCGGGACTTAGGCGTGACAAGCGAATCCTTCAACACCAGGTTATCTCAAGACCCAACATTATAATTAAATACATTCAGTGCATGGCACACCAGTTATGTTGTCACACAATCGGGGCCTTCTCCGAGTTTTCAGGACCAGAGGGTAGCTCGCTCATTGGTAAAGCTGCCACGGTTCCTGTTGCTTCATTTCGGACAATCCCACATTCCGGTTCTCCTGTGCAGAGATGTCGCTGATTCTGAAGATCTTCTTCCTTCTCCTGAAACACCTGGTACAAATGTTGGGTGAGATCTGCTGCAACTAACTCGCTGGAATTCCGGGATATCATTGCCAAGACAAGTACACCATCGATTCCGAGGAAACTTCTGATGAAACGAGTTACATTGGGTTCGTCAGGGCGAGATCCTTTGGCAGCGTTGATGTGGGCAGCTATCCTGCCATCTCTTAGGAACGGTATGAAGAGAAATCCTGCCCACAGGACAAGGTTTAGGATTGTGATGACAGCCAGGAGGAAGACCCAGTACCACAGGAATATGAACATCTTCTCATAGATTTCGGTGATTGGCAGAATGCACTGAACAGTGAATTTTCGAAGATTTTTCAACATATACACATCGATGTCGCAGAAAACATGTTTCACAAGTAATGGTTTTACGATGGAGCCCATATCCAAACCAGCATAGGATCCTACCCTGATTGCCAGGTATTGTCTGAAGTATATCGTGAGGAACATAAACTGTGCTATGAGATTGACACATGAGAGAATCTTCACAAATAGGTACAACAGCGCCAGAAAGAATCGATTTCTTCTCAGTAGACTTCCAAATACTCGGGCTGCATCACTGAAAATGGCCTGGCGATTCTCAGCATTGGTCAGTTGTACACATTTCATGGACTCGACAGTTTCGTCCATGTTGAAAGTGAGGAAGTTCTTGCCACTGTTCCAGATGATGTTTGGTACTTTGAAAGCAAGGGCTTGGAAGAAGAGTATGAGTGGTATCCAGAGATGGTAGGAGGGGACACGTTCATGACTTGATTTGGGGACATAACTTGTGTAAGGTTGGTAAAAGACGTCCGTGAGGAAGCAGGCATGGTCGGAGTATGAAACGTGGGATGCAGTTAAATGTGCAGGGTACCAGCAGCTTGTAGGATCAGTAATGTATCGCACTAGAAATGCCCCAGCCGAGCAGAGGGCCAAGAGGAGAACCGACCAGAATCCGTTCACATTGTCCACCATGTCCTGATCCAAACCACGTCTAAATATTGACAGGAAAGCGGCCATTGTTGTCTGTAAACATACAACACATAGTGCATATATTAAACTGTTATTGTGTAGATAGGTGTAGCGGATAGAGCGTCTGCCCAGAGAGCTGAGGGCTGGTGGTTCGATCATACCAAAATGCGTTATGAGATCGTATTTGTTTTTACTCTGCCAGGCGCTCGGCATTAAGGGGTAATACTGTGTCTGTGTGAGGTACACATGTTTAACTCTAGCATGGTATCTTAGAGGGCTTGCACTATAATACATTAGTTCAGACTAGTTCAGGCAGCAAAGCGCCAAGTGTCACTCCCAACATACCATATCATAGTTACATAATATAAACTATTTAAAGTAATGTCAAAGAGCAAGTAAGTGAAAAAATGATTGCAATTTTTTGCGAATATCAATTATCCTATAAATATTAAGTCAATGTACATATACTGTTTCTGCTATTTCTGTTAACCCTACAAAAATAACAATATTGAATATCTTGAATTTCTGAATGTGTAAAGCGTCACCTTTGATTTTGCTGTTGTCAGTAATTAAAATGACAATTAACAATCTGTAACTAGCATTTTATTATTAACATCCTTTTGGGTGCCATAAACAGTGACTTGTTATTTGTCCAGCAGCTGGCCAAGGGATAAACACCATCGTGTTTCTTCAAACAATGTACGGGACCGACGCATAACGACACAAAAATACACAATACATACTCCAATCTCCAATTTACAGTATTCACAGTAAAACTAAATGTGAAACAGCATTGTCATAATCGGTAACTGGCTTTTGATCAGCGAGATGTTGTCTCCTTCTCATGGACATGGTCTGATTTCGAAACTTCTTCTCGGGGGGCATCAAACTAATTGGATTATCCTGCTCAATCTGCAGTATCTCAATGAATATTTGTACAGATTTGTGTGCCAACCCATGAGATGATTTGTTGGTGTCGACCCACTGCTCAGTGAGAAAACCAAAACTGTTTCCACCACTTGGCATTCGGATCAAATGTCACATTATTGCTGAAAATATAGATCTAGATATTATATCTCCATACCAGCTCTTATCTACTCCTCCCTGGCAGCTGGTGAGGCCAGAAGTAGACGTTTCTCTAACCCGTTTTATATCTGACACAAACCAACTAGTATATCAACAGGAATGTTTACAATTAAGAGATAAATATAACACACACCGTTCAATATTTACTGATGGATCCAAGGACAGTGACAAAGCAGCATGCACCACTGTCGCTGGATCAAAACATTTATCATCTAGAATGCCAGACAATAGCTAAATTTTCATTGCTGAGGCCAATGCTATCCTTACAGCCTTTGATATACATTCAAAAAAGCTCTGCATATAAATAATTTGTCATCTTTTCTGATTCTCTATCTTGTCTTCAGTCACTAAAAAAAGTCTCTTCTAATCATCCAAATATTTTTAACATTTTAGAACTTTATGTTGGTCTTTCAACTGGCCAATACAACATCGTCTTTTGTTGGTTGCCAAATGGCTGATGCTGAAGCTCAAGCAGCACTCAACAAATCTGCGACACCACTTCTAATTCCATACAGTGATTATAAACCTGTGATCAGGTGATCTTATGCCAAAGAAGTGGGACACCGAAGTAGGTATCAATAAATTACATCAAATTAAGCCAACTATGGTTACACCATTTTACGTATTGGCCATTCAAGATATGCACACGAATGTCTCTTAAAAGGTGAGGATCCTCCGTTTTGTATCCCTTGTGATGAGACACGTACTGCTTGACTGTATTGATTTTTCCATTACAAGGGATAAGAGTATCATTCACAGTATCTTTTCATTTCTCTGTGATTTTAATCATAGTATTTTTGTTGATTTTAACTGTTTGGCTAATCTTTCTGATCACCGCCAGTAGGCAGAGGGAAGGTATTAATCCTGCTGGGGTACCATGTAGGTAGCGTAAGTCCCCATGGTGCCTTGTATGGTGGCCTAACTTTGGTTTCTGGCGATCTACAGCCCGTTTTTATAATGTGTCTTCTGTTATAATCTGATGACTTTATTGTTCTAAAACTAGTTTTACAATTATAATCTGTGATAAATTGCTAGATGTTGTACTGTCCTTCGACGACAGGTTTTTATGATATGGCTGAAATAGTGCCAATGTGACTTTATATATTAACTCACTCACTCACTGAACATGATTAATATCACACAATGAGGCTAACATATCTCGAAATCAAATTCTTGTGGTAAACTAACTTTAACAAACAAGACTTTGTCGAACAAACCGGCAGTGAAGTATGACAGTATATGGTATTATGACTGCCAACGATCTTAAAGGACGATTAGGGTAAGATGGGAAAGTTTTTGGATCAGTAGTTTGCATCGCTAGTTCATACACACAGAATACATGAAATCAAGAAAATCACAAGTGTATGATAAGCAGAATATAGAAGTTGACAGAAACAATGGTCCACAGAGATTAATCGACCTTCCTTGAAAGTGAGAAAACGAGGAATGGCAATCCCACGCAAGTGTGGCACGTGCAGACTGTCGGTGTGTTTTGCTGTCATGTTTTATGGACATAAACGTTCAAGCATAGGATGTGTGTCGTCAACGTTTACCTTTGTTGTCAGGATTAACATTTACATTTCATGAGCCCCTACGTTTTTTGAAGAGTATATATTAAATCCATAATTCTGCCACTTTTAAACATTATACTGATCTAATGGGGTCTTCAATGAAGAGAAAAAAGTCCATGTCACTCCAATCACAAAACCAGTGCTGGGCTCTGATTCGGGGGATTTATCGACGTGCACTGAATCATGTTAGAAGATAAAATCAACTTTTTTCAAATATTTTGTCACTAAGCTCACAAGACCTTGTTTGTCAAAAATTGTTTGTCATCATTCTGAAGAATCCCATGCCCAGTTTTTGTGGTTATGCAAGGTAATGTAATGGTTCAAGGACAGCGACCGGTTCCACAAGGCAATCGTAGCGTTACGTAAGTCTATATTAAAAGTATGTGAGTTACGATCGACATAGCTCTACGAACACTCTCTGGAACAGGGCTCAGGATACGTTCGAAGAATCCCCTGCAAGATTTGAGAACCTGGTTGACATCATGTGGCCTGGCTGATTATGTGGCAGCGTTCCGCCAGGACGTAGATCGGTGTTCATACTTTCAACCAGCGTCTATAATTATCACATACAGACTGTCGTGTTGTAGCTAGATCATTGTCAACTGCATCCGGTTTAAAACAACATTCATCCGATAGGCGAATGTCGGAGCACCTAAGAGAATGAGGCGAAAAATCTTGGCATATATGGTACGAATGATCTGAGTATTTTGGATGTCAGTCACTGCAAAAAAAATAAAAAAATTACAAATCCGAAATTCAAAATCTTTTGTTAATTTACTTATCATGAGAACAACGGTATAACAACGAGGTTCAAATCAGACTGTTGGAGAAAGTGTTACGCGCATATTAGATAAGGTTCTTATTTTTTAACTCGTAAAATCTCAACCCAGTAGCAAGAAAACATCATCTCACTATCCGTGTTGTGTATAACCGACCAGAACGTATTCAAAACTGCAAAATATCATAAAGTGCATATAAATAACTATATTGAGATAAAGAAAATAAAAATCAAACATCGATCATCAAGCTCAAATTGCACTGACATTCTTAATCACGAGTGACTCGTTATCACTCCGACATAAACTGCCGGGCAAAAGAAAGGATACACTCATGTCTGATGGTGGCTAAAATGAAACAAACAAGAAAAGGTGATCGTGATGTATTGGATACAGGTGTCACAGTTGTATTGTGGACCTTACGTTTGCAGTGTTTTGGCGACTGTTTTCAGCCAAGACACCTTTTTTGCCAAATCCAATTTCCAAGTGTGTGCACTTACTTTCGTTGTCAGTCGACTCTTTAATTTGAGAAGCAAAGTCCCCTGCACTTAAGGGTAACTGAAGTCCAGGTCTAACCCGAATGCATGTTCATGGGATCGTGTGGTCACGTGACTTGATAGCGTCTCATCGTATCCCAACGGCGTGGATAATAATCTGACTGTTTCAGACTCGATTATATTTAGACAGCTATTTCTGAGACCAATCAACTCGTCCCGAAATGACACGAGTGGTCATAGTGTGTACGTGTGCGTGCGTGCGTGCGTGCGTGCGTGCGTGCGTGCGTGCGTGCGTGCGTGCGTGTGTGTTTGTTTGTGTGTATGTGTGAGAGAGGGTGAGTACGTTTCTGCGCCACTTTTCACAGTATTCCAGCAATATCATTGTGGAACACCACAAATGATGAAGAAACCCGGGTGTTTGGTGTAACCACTAGGCTCCTCAACCACTCTAAACCATATTATAGGACAGGAAATAGTGCCGGTCGCCGGCACCTGCTGCATGTGGTAAGACCCAACTAATGACTATCCAATAGTACAACGTGTGTCATCATGCCCAAACGGCTTGGGTTGTTGCTCAGGTTGAAAAATGACGATGCCATTGACATTGATGTCAATCAATACGGGGAAACATCTCAGTGAGTCTCTGACATCACCAAACGTCAGAGCTGTGAGAAAAAAACACAGGAATACTTTCATGTTAAGTGCCAATGTCAAATATTTTAATAGAGGCGCTGTCATTACGGAATTCAACAAACTGGATGTCCATTTCAGACATTCAAAGAATCAGTGAGTGTTATTACTCTTAATACAATAATAATTAAGCGATTGAATATAGTTTAACACCGCTTTGGGCTTCAGACAATATACACATGCAGGAAATCAACCTCGGACTTAGGCGTGACAAGCGAACCTTTCAACACCAGATTATTTCAAAACCCAACATTATAATTAAATACATTCAATGCATGGCACACCAGTTCTGTTGTCACACAATCGGGGCCTTCTCCGACTTTTCGGCGCCAGAGGGTAGATCGCTCATTGGTAAAGCTGCCACGGTTCCTGTTGCTTCATCTCGGACAATGCCACATTCCGGTTCTCCTGTGCAGAGATGTCGCTGATTCTGAAGATCTTCTTCCTTCTCCTGAAACAC